GTATGGATCATCATTGTTAATCAAAAGATGATAAGATGGAGTGGTTTCACCAACAACAAAAAAAATATGTTCAATTTTTTTTTTAACAATTTATAACACGTGCAATTAATAAAACACATATCTTAATGTAATTGTAATTGTAGTATGAACGAATATTTTGAACTGAAAATGTTTTAATTCATTTGTATTGGGAGTTTGAAATTTTCCCATTGACAGTTAGGATTGCAATTGATCAGTTTATTGTGGCAAAATATATACATCCTGTACGGATTGCCTTGATATAGAGCCATTAGGTTACAAGCATTATATGCAGAGATATATTGATCAAATGCAGTACTAATTATCAATGAGAAGATTCGAACTACCAATAAAAATAAATTAAACTTCATCACTCCATGGTATAAACAAGTACCTATGTGAATTCAGTAGCTGAGCGGACAATACAATGGCGTTTCAAGCAAACGGTACTGGGTTTGAGTCTTGAAGTGGACATCAACTCTACGATGCAGAAACATCCAGTAGTAGGATCCTGATGAGGATGAAACGCACGTACTGGATCCCACTATCAAACACTATCCGTCTTTGCCGGAAATTTTTTAAGTCAAAGAATTCTGTGAATATTTGCTTAGATTGTTAAACTAAAGTTCAACAGTAGTGATACCACTGAAAATTAAAGAGTTCTTGAGAACTGTTTCATTGAAATATGTAACTCCTCAGCAGTGACCATCCAGGGACTCATCAAGAATCAACTGTGTGATCTACGGGTTTTGTGCTGACCTTTGGTAAGGTATTAAATGTGCACAACTGAGATCTTCCACACCATTGTAGCATCTCATCATTCATTCATTGTACTTTCGTTTAAATTATTCAAATAATTGTATCGACCATAATTTTGAATTTGTAATAATTCGATTACAGTATCGATTATTGTATATTTGATTGTGTGTGGATGCTTACTCGCTTATGGCATGTCTAGCCTATTATTGTTTGACTTTGTATACTTAACCATTCTTCAGCTCAAGGAGAGATGGCTCACACTCGCCTTCTACAATTAGCTTCGTTTTGCTTGTACGCTTCCCTTCTCATGTTTGTCTGAATAAATGAATGCATGAAATAAATTCATCCGTAACACCAAAAAATAATTTCTCACAAATGAACTCAAACTTACACGTACTTGTAAGTACATACAAGCATCCACACACAATCAAATATACAATAATCGATACTGTAATCGAATTATTACAAATTCAAAATTATGGTCGATACAATTATTTGAATAATTTAAACGAATGATGAGATACTACACCATAACGAAACAGCAGTCTGTCTAGTGCTCTCTAGTTTCCAATGGAACATAAAATAAGATCAGTCGGCGATTTAAAATTTTTGTTGACATTAACAATTTTATGTTGTGGAAATTGGTGTTCAGTAATCATGTTCACCGAGAGAGAGACAAACATTATCGATGGCATTTTATAGAGATCATATAATATTTTAAATTCTAATAAAATTTGGAAATGTGTAACATTGAATCTCCATTCATCAATTAAAAACTATCACCCATGCAATATGATCTGAATCTCTCCAAGTTTGATCTCATATGTAAGTTTTTTTCAAGTTTTCAAAGCGATTTCCATCATAAAATAATTTCACTTTGATAGTCACTGAATCTTTCAAGGAATGTTGAACACTTACTAATTTCCCTTTGATCACTATATCTCATTTGAATTGTTCAATACAGGGGATAGATGTCAAATGATATCATATCGACATGGATATCGACAAGATGAACATATCTCATCCATTTTGAAGAATTTCAGCTCTAAATATAACCATTATATTAAAAGTTTGTCCAATAAGTTCCAGCTTTTAATAAGTTTCTGATTTTGACACATTATTCTAATTTTTAGTCTGTCTGCTTCCTTATACAAGTGCACATCAGTTTATAGTATATTTCTATATCTCTTTCGGAAGTAGCGGTAGAAGTGGATAAAACACTCTCTGTGAAAAGTACACAAGCCCTCACTTGGAACCTTCAAGGTAAAAGGAAAAGGGGAAGGCCAAGGAACATATTACGCCAAGAAATAGAGAAAGACATGAGAAGAATGAATAAAAATTAGAAAGAACTGGAAAGGGAAACCCAGAACAGTGTGTGTCGGAGGAAACTGGTCGGTGGCCTATACTCCATTGGGGGGTAACAAGTGTAAGTAAGTAAGTAATTTATCTATTCCTTAAGCAAGTCCTATAGCTGAATAGTTTAAGATATTTCATTCATAAAGCTGTCAAACCATTGATTTTGTAGGTTAATATAAATAATAAAAATTTCAAATCTTTTCAAATTCATAATATATTATTTTGTAATGAGTGAATGTTATTGATAAGTTTAGTCAATTGCACACACCATTCACAGGATCTTATTGGAAAAATTCATTAATCACGATGTAATTATTGTAAAATTGTAGACCAATTTGTAAAGCAATAAAAATTATCTGTTATTATATAGACATAGACATACATTGAATATAATTTTTATAGGGAAATTTCTTTTTTTTAGTCATTCTGTTTTACACTTCATTATTTGATGAATATTTTTGACTGTGCAGCTACTACTATGATAGTTGATTTTCTAAATGGTACAGTTAGCAATGACTATTCAAACAAGTAACATTTTATTTAACATGTGATAACTGTCTATTATACAAAAATTTTTATATGCAGAATCAATTTCTTTTATTCATGTCAGCAGGTGACACCCTACATAATATATATATGAATTAAGATGAATGGTTTTAGTTTTATTACTATTCGAAACATTCCTGATTTTTGTTTTATTCAATAATTAAATAAGAAAGACAAAAATCAACTTCGACACTAAACGTTAAACAGTCAAAATTCTCAGTCAAGTGGAAATTTTTAAATAAGTTATGTATGTGATAAGAGAATTTCGGTATGAATTAAATAAATCAGAAAATTAAATGAACGGATGACTGACTGGAAACATTGAACTTTCAGTGGTTATTATGTTCATAAATTGTTATGATGATGAAATTTTTTTCTTGTCTTTTTTTTTTCGTCAGAGAATGATGATTATTATTAGAAATGTTTATGAATTATAAGAGTAGTTTCAAGAAAGTATGAAAAAAGTTTCTACTTTGATGCTTCTATAATAGTTCTATTAAACTTTAAATTGAAAAAGAAATTGACATTTTCTGTAAGATATTATTAGTAAAAGAACTCAACAAGTAAACAGTTGCTTTCTGTTACTGTTCATTCTATCATTTACACAAAAAAATGTATATTTTGCTTTTAAAGTTCAAACCAAACTGATATGATGGTCTAATTGTGAATGTTTCATGTGAATGACATTGACTGATATGTTGATTTTGTAAATAAAACTCTGAATTATGATTGAAAGTTGATCTATTTATCAGTTCAATGGTGGTCATCTGATTTCAATCATCTATCATTTACATTATGAATAGAAGTGAATAGGAACCAGGGATTTTATACACAAATAATATTTATTATCGTTATTATTTTATATTCAATAATAGTCTTAGGCTTTCACTTCCAAAATGATTGTTAAATAATTTTTCAAAGTGATCATTTGAAACTCAGTCCGGAATGTTTGTGTTGGAACTCATTTTTGTGAGATGGGTCGCTAACTATAGACCCAAACCTATTATATTCACCCTGCTTTGGGATTAACATTAACTTCATTGGAGCTCTATGGGGAGTTCTTAATTAAATAGCTATTTATTCCAATGAAAATGTCATTTAAAAGAAAACAAATATGTAGATATATATTTTCGGACATAATGATTACACTTACCCTGTGTATTAGGGAGATATTACATAATGACTTTATAAGAATAATATTTTTTGATAAAATTCTCATAACAAAAACATTTTGACATCAAGCACTGAGGAATGTCAAATTTGAACGTAACAGCATTAGGAACACAATTGAAATAAGCGTTTTTTTGCAAACTTTACATTTTTGATAGACGTGTGATGTGTTTCCTTCACTCTCTCTTTCTCTATATATAAATATATTCATTTGACAGAAGATTTCACATACATACCTATATAAACAAAAGACATTTCAGTTACCGGGTCTAAAACTTTAATTGATTGAATATATATATATACATCAAGATTTTCACAGTTCTCATTTATCAGCTAATACATTGTCATCATAATTTTTCCATACAATAGATTGATAGATTTATCAACTGATGAATACCTATTCACTGTTTTTGTCACTTATGATGATCACATAAACATGTGTCATCGTAATAACAATAATAGTTATAATAATAATAATAATGACAGCAATATCCCATGATATAATTCTTTAAAAAGTATTTGATAAGTGAAGTGAGAATTCCTATTATTTTTCCCTTCTATTTTCTCCTCTCCCTGCGACTATAGTGATTTAAACAGAAAATCAATATGATTATGAATTCATTTCTTATTTTTTTATTTTATGGTTAAAATTATATAATAATAATTATTCAATAAATGTACATCAATGGTTTTAATCAAAATCGTCATTTGTATATAAAGTGTCACAGTGATAGCAGAAGTAACAGCAGAAATTCCCTCTAAATCCATTAAACAATCTAGTATTCAAATATTGGATGAATTAAAAGAATGTGTGTGTAGTAAGTAGATAATTGTAGCATTAGTGCAAAGGTTGGGTGAGAAAAATCCGTTCATTTTAATTTGTTCTCTTGATTGGACCAATCATTTTAAAGCGCGATGACAATGTTTACTAAAGTATACCTTTTTCTTTCTCTCTCTAAGTAAAATTTAAAAGAAAGGTAGAAATTTTAAGAAAATGAAAATACATTTTCCTATCTCAGGGAAATTCTAGCCAAATTCTCCTATAAATACTGCTGACTTATTATTATTATTATTATTACGTACTATTAGTAATTTTCAAGATTGAATTTTGAAACAAGAAAATACAAATTATTGATCTATACGAAAAAAAAATGGAAGAAATTCACAATACTCATTACCAACAGAAGTTAAGACTAAGTCAACAATCTTATTTAGAATCGATCATAGAGAAGTATTTCTTTACTACAAATGATTCTGGTGAGGAAGATAACATTAGTCTAACTACTACTTTACCATTATCACTATCAAATGTCAATCCTAATTACTATTCAATGATACAACAACATTGTGTACCTCTTATACAAAATGATTACTCAAACTTAGATTCATCATCTATTCAATCAAATAATTACAGTTTTATGAATGAAGTAAATCATTCGGTACACCATCATTCCAATGCAAATGATATATATACTACTACTACTAATATTAATAATAACATAACATCTACTAACATCGTTACTGATACTACAACTATTGCCACTAATAGTCATCATAATAATAACGATAATCATCAAAATTATCATGCAAGTACAAGTACTCCACGTTTTATTCATGACTCTAAATGGGATGATAGAAATAATCGATACACAATAGATAATTCATCTTTTTACACTGAAACATCATCACCATTATTATTATCGGCATTAACATCGTCATCATCATCATCTATGATATCACCATGTTCAATGATTCGAACAACTAATGAAAATCAAATTGATCAAATACATACATCATATTTACCTAAAAAATTAATCAAGTCATTTAATAAAAATTTATCACAACAAATCAATACAGTAATTGATTTAACACAGAACTATATTGAAGATTCACCTATTGTTCAAAATGTAAGTTTGTAATCAGTATATATTATTTAAATATTTAAAATGAATAATTTCAACTAATTTTGTTGAATGTTATTTTACTAAATGATATTATATTTATTTATAGAATATATTTAACCTTTTTTTCCCTACAGATATAATAATATCTACTAGTATTGTTAAGCTAAAAACATGATAAATTTTGTATGGAAGAGATTTTCCACTCGTGAAATCACTTACTTGAATAATGTTTTCTGGTTAGCGTTTTTTTTTGCGAGTTAGTTCTTTTGTGAGATGGGGTCGCCAACCCTATGTCCAACCCTCATCTTTAATCCGGGCTTGGGACAGGCAGTAACCCTAGAGGGGTTTCAGGCGCACTTAATTGTGAAATAAGTTATTCTATTATTATTGATTTGTTTATAATGAAAAGATAATATGGAAATTTATATTTACTTAAATATTTGATTTGATTACATAAGTAAAAGTTAACTACTTTTAAAACAGTGTTCAAATGATATTTTCAATGTCAGTGTTACATGACTAAAACTTGAGTATCTACAAAAGTGTTGATTTTTTGAAGATCTAAAATACCTATTTTCCTTGTCGATTGGAACGTAGTGTTGTATACAAAAGAAAAAAACACCTTAAACAATGATTTTCATCAAATAGTGAAAGCATCTGACAAATAAATAATAATCAGAGGATGGTGAACAATTATTTCTTTCTAGTATATGACTACTTAGTAATTCGCTTTCTCTGCTTCATAAAAATCGAGCCTGCGACTTTAGGTACTGATAGTGAATGCATTATTTCTGGACCGCTATTCAAGTTTCGAAATCCAGTCAGTAAATGAGATGTAATAGAGTTGATGAGGAACAATACAGTAGGCTATTAAACGATAAAATTTAAAAAACTTTATGACATTAAAATATAAGACATTTGAGGGTATCATTTATTAAATATGATACATTAGTAAAATAATAAGTTAAGCTTCAATTATGAATAAACAGGAAAAAGATTAGATCGCTTTTTAAAACAAAATCAATAACGTTGGGACAATTGAGCAGGAATAGATTTTAATCAATGGAATTTCGTAACTCCAGTATATTTGTAGTTGTGTGACATAACAAATTTGTTGTCAACTCTTAAGTAATTGAAATTATTTGATTATATGACGTAATAAAATCGGTTGTAATATATTTGTCAAAGTTAATCAACATTTGAAATAAATATGAAAACCAAAATAATTAAACTTTGATATTTTCATTGAGTTTTTTATTAATTTATAATTAACTCATTATTTTATTAACATAGAATCCTAATAATAACAATTCAAAATATCGTCGTAATCCCATCAAACGTAAACAACATCAACGTGAACAAGATAAAAATCGTACAAAAACATTGAACACTGCATTCTGTCGTCTTCGTTCATGTTTACCAGAAATACCGAAAGATACCAAATTAACAAAGATTAGAACTCTGCGTTATGCAATAACCTATATTCGTCAATTGATAGATTTGATTAATCAAACTGATCCAGTCAATTCACATGCTATAATGTTTGATACTGGTTCGAATTCATTAAAAATGGTAAGTATTATTACTATTATTATTGTTATTATCATTTACAAATAATATTGTACTTTATTTTCGAATTAATTATTTAACTTTTTGTAAAACACTGTCTCTATTTGATCATTCAGTCTATGAATTATCTTGAAAGTTAATTCTTTAAATAGATTCTAATGTTTATAGCTATATTAGAATTGGAATAATTATAGGACACTAGAATAGTGTATCATATGATCTCTGTGTGTAAAATGGCTATTCTGATACTTGGATGCATAAAATGTATGCTCAATGATACTTTGCTACTAGTTACTGTCAGGATAGCTCAGAGATCACATTTCTAACTATGAAACTAAGTGATTTGAGTTAGATCCATCAAGGAATATTAAGTTCATTTAAAATCACAAGTACTCTTTGCTGATGAGTGCTGACTGGTACGAATCATAGATCAAGCTGTTTCTGTGGACTATCTACAATTATCAAATACTGTTATCTGATATTTAATATCATAGAGTTTAAACTAATAATGTTCTGGGAACTTTTTAAAATTAAGACATATTTTTAGTAAGTTAAAGACATGGTACTGAGAAATACTGAAGTTGATATTTGTTAGTTGTAGTGATGATTCCTTTATATAATATTTATCGTGAATTTTACTACCACGCTCTAGTCTTGAAAACTGGAGTTCGTGGGTTAACAGGTTCATCACATTCATGAAGCAATCCAGTGATTGCTGGTTTCTCAAAAATTGTTAATTAATGTCGATTCGTGAAACAAACTATAAAGTTTAACAATCAAAATAATTTATTAATACAAAGCAACTCTTCACCAGTGTTAATCAATAATCTCTGAAGGAAATGGATTAAAAATGTTCAGATCATAGAAAAAATCATCATCTGTATACTTTACTATCTCACTACTCACAATAGAACACAAAACACTTTATATTTTCGCATGTTAATGTACAACTAACTATTCAACTATGATTGATCAATTATCATTTCGTCACTTTTTCTCTATATTTTAGGAGTCTGAACTTGAGCAGTCGTCATTAATGAAGGATAGTGGATATCTAAGTTTCATGGATAGATAAAACTGATTGGGTGAAGTGTTTTTTTTTATAATTAGGAGATTTGTCCTTCAGTTTTTTCTATTTGCATTTTACATATTCTGTTTAATTATTTTTCTGTACAGAGTTATTTATTCAATAGGATTTTTATTTTTTCAGTATATTATCTTTTTGATTTATACATTTTTTAATTATTCACTGTTATTCACTGTTTAATCTCACAAATTATTATCTATAAACTTTTATTGAAAGCAATCTACACTTATTGGTTTTGTGCTAATAGTTCACTTATTGACGTTAAGATTTGTTGAATAAATAAATATTCCTGTTAATTTTCTCAAAATACTAAATACAGTATATCAGAAAACTCTTTTGTTAAAATATTCCAAATTACACCGGGAGAATTGAACTATGATAGATAGATAATAAACTGAGATTTGAAGGTATAATCCATGCAAGTAATATTTCAGAAGATTTCTGAGCCTAAATCATTTTGTGTCAGAACCAAAAGCATTGTTTTATTTGGAATCACCATCCAATCTAAGTTAGACAGCCATTGAAAACCTGTAAGCTCTGGATGATCGCTTGATTCTTGTTTATATAAGACACGCCAGCAATACGTTTTAGCAACTCTGCAACTATGAATTGGTTGTTTATTTGTAAGCTGCCTGTTTGCCCCATTCTAAAACTTAACGAAAATCAAAAGTACACTGAAACTTTAAGTCATTTGATTGTTGCTTATAGATAACTGGACTGTTGTGATCGATAGAAGGTGTGTGTAGGCTACATGTTTTCGATTGTGATGTGTCTTCAAAGTATTGCTCGTGTTTCATGGAGCAACCAAGTGAGTAATGTTGACTTCATGCATGATTCATTTACTAAATGGTGTATTAGAAAAGATCATTTCAGTGGCGATCCATATTTTTGCGAAATGCGGAAACGATATTAATAAAGTAATTTTACCCGAAAGAAAGCAAGTTGTTGATGCATAAGTGGTTATTTTTATTCCCAGTATCATTTTTATTTGAGATTTAATGTGGCTAATTGTTCAAAAGTAATACTATACATAGACTGGAATCCATCTCTCTAACAAACAGCCTACAAATTAAACCATACTCTATGAAACCTAATGAACAAAACTATATTAATGTGTTCACTAGTAACTTACTTCAGGATGTTCCTGAAGTGCTAGTGCAAGCTGTGATTAGTAGAGTTTAGACATCTTGAAAGCGAAGAAGTTGTCACCACTTATATTGAACGAGTGTCAGACTGTATCACAAATTGATCGAAGTTGGAACTATACCATAGGACAGCGAAGCAATCGTTTTAATAATTGTGCTCGCTGCAGGGTCTAGAGGTCCTGAATTGGATCTGTACTAGGGTAGTCAGTGTAGATTAGAATGAAGTTCAGTATTGGGAAGAAACCGCTGTATAGTATTCCTTGATTTTCAGTAATACCTCAAATGAAGTAATTTAGTGAACATAGTTTAGTGGAATTATAGGTGAAACGGTGTTGTACAAATCAGTTTAACTTGTAAGCTGTCTTAAAAAATTATCAGTGTGAAAGTGAGAAAAATCAATTCTTGAAAATGAGTCAAGAATATTTATTTATTTAAACACATAGACATTGTTACAAAGGGGGGTATCAAAATGTTTACGCACCACGCAAACCATTGAATTTGTTTCTGGACTGAGATTCTGTCCAAGTGACCAAACTAAAGCAGGTGGTTTTGTTAGGGCAACGCTATTCGGGCTTCTGATTTACAGGTCTAATCCAAAAGGCAGTAAGGCAATAATAAGAGATGCTGTACCATAGTAGTCGGTATCCAAGATTAAGTTCATACAGGGTCCATGTACACCACTGGTTTGGAATAATCGTTTTCAAACTTCCGTAGGTGAATCCTCTGTAAACATCAATTTCATTTAGGCCCCGACCATTTGCAACAATAAAAATCCGATTTATTATCGGTTTGCTATCTAATATGAATTTTTTAGTAATTGTGAGAGTAAAATTCACTATATTACTCGAATCTTATAATGTAGACATTTTTAGTTTGTTCATGAATCCAAATCCAACGATAATTGTTTTCGAATGTATTAACTTAAACTACTGAACAGTGATATTTAGGTTTTGAATTAGTAGTGGTTTACTTATTACCACGGTAAACAGCATCAAGACTAGAGCCAACATTAATAATTAAAGATAAAGCATAAATGGGCAAGAAACATTATGGTTTTATATGAATGATTCTCTCAAAATAAAATTTATTCATGAAAACTATTGGAAAACTTTAAGTAGATAAAGGTTTGACCATTAAAGAAAGTTTATTACAATAGCTCAGTGATATTGTTTTAGATTTCATTGTTGAATAATCAAAGTTTAAATCCCTGAAAGGTAAGAACTCTCCTTCATGTTACACTTACGATAGGTAAAAGAGTATATGACTCTGGATGAACCGAAATATTGTCATGCTAAGAATCTTGAGTAAATTAAATTAAAGACTAAACATAATTCAGTTAACATCATGGATTCGAATCTGAAATATTTGAATAGTTGAATATTTCTACCTTAACTTCGACTAAACTCCAAATTTTATCTTTGTCATATGAGGAAGTTAACATTTCAATCACATTTTAACTGATCAGGCAATTTGTAATGTTTTTAAAAAAATTATTAGTTGTGTAAACGATAAGGTAAAAAATTCCATTCATCATGCAGTATTTCGAATGTTAGTAAGATAATTTTGAAAGGCGGAGAACCGTGAGAATCAATCAAACTGATGATCATGATTCAGTCTTGTACAAAATATGATGAGTTAAAAAAAACTACATATAATTCCATCTATTCTGTACGAGGTGTAAGTGTGAGAAAATAACTTTTATAACAGCCGTGTGGCTGAAACCAAACAAACAGAAACGGATTTGATTACATTTGATGAGTGAATTATCCGAATAGACTCATATTATGGATAATTTTAGATCCACATTACATAAGGATGAGTCATAACATTTTTAAAAACATCCGTTAAGTTTGTAATCAATTTAAAGAATCTTCTTTTACAGATAAAGTGGAATTACAGTTGGTCCCTTAAAAATGTAATTTACACCCAATGAAAAAGTTAGTGGCTATTTAGAACCGGTAGTTTAATGTGCAAGAAATTGTCATTTAAAGCAGAATATACTAGATCTGAGTCTTAATATGGATATCAACGCTGAGATACAGGTATATCCATCTGACGAGTCTTAAATGGAACGAAAATCACGTCATGCATCCAATTACTAGCCATAAAACCTTTTACAACTCAAACACTTCAGTGTTGAATAAAATAGCTTCACAATTTAGCATATTTTACTCAAGTTTTTATTAAGTTATGATCTTGAAAAAAACATGAGTTGTAATGATTTTTGTCCATAGTAGAGTATATTTATAAGATGAAATCTTTATGAACTAATGAGTAACATGATTCCAAGTGCAATAGTTGATATCTTATCAATTTTTATGATCAAACTCTGTCTTTAGAATATGACTAATTGAAACAAATTACTCTTCTTTTTATTTCGTCCAATCACTTTTAAGGAGGGGGTGAGTCGATGTGTTTTCAATATTGATTCGACTTGTACTAACCTGTTCTGAGACTGATAAAATCTTAAAAAAGGTATGTGTTCATGAAAATGAACTATATATTATGATCAGTTCATCGTAGTTTCAGGTAACTTTTCATAATAATAAGTTCGTTGGTAACACTTATTTTTTTGGTAAGTTGTTGAACTGGAGAAAGATAGTGAACTTTCTCAAATGAAATTAATTACGTTTTTAGCTTATAAATGATATATTTAATGAACTGAATATAATCGGTAACCGTCAACATTAATCATACAAAGAACCTATATATTTCTTTATTGGCTTAGATAATTGAGGAATTAGTCAGGAAGCATCATCATTACTTAGCCTCTATCAAGATATGATCAAATATTGTATAAATAAACTCTTTGTTCTAAAGCAGATACCACTTGAGTGTAACATGTCTTATGGATGCTCCTACAAGCTACAAACAAAAATATAATGAGTTCTGGAGGAGTTTGTTAATTTGCCCGGTACAAGTAAGTGCATCTTAATTGGATAAACAATAAATATCTGATTGGTGTCAATCTTTTCTAAGATTTTGTAACACTAAAGATAACAAGGGATTGTTAATATTTTAGAGTAAATTAACATACACCTAGTCAACGTTTACAGTAGATAATAATTATCAGTTCCTGAAAATCTTTTAAAATTTATTCAGTATAGTATGTAAAATAAAAACAAGCAATGTTATTCAGAAAAAGCAGATAGAAAATTTCTTTTATTGTCCTCATTACTCATTTTTTGTTAATTCTACCTAACAAAGAAACATAATTGATACTGTTCAATTTCAAAGATCATATAAATATGAGTTTATAAAAAATTAATAAAACTCTAAGCAAATGAGATATTTGGCAGTCCATAAATAATCATATTAAATGGTTCTAATGTTGGAATTTCTAAATGTTCAAATTGATGATCAAATTGTTGATCCATTTCATTGATTGATTTTCTTTCTAACAATTGAACGTCTTTACTTTCAGTGATTTGTTTTAAACAATTCACGTAATTATCTAATTCTATTTTAAAAAGTTCATATTGTATAAGTAAAGTTGATTGTCCAATTGGATAAACTTGATCTAACAAATCTAAAATATAAATTAAATGGGAAAAATTCAATATGATAATTTTATTAAATAATTAACCAAAATTTTTCTTTCTGGTTTAAGATATTCATTATATGTAAATTAAGTGATGTTATTTAACTCTAATCAATTTATATAACAAATGAAATATGAAAAGGTAGACAAACTGTAGTTAGTTAAGTGGTAACTCAATGCTATTCAATGCATAGATTTTGAATTAGGGGTCCTTTTACTACCGGGAAGTAATGTTGTTTACTAATAGGTTGTCTGATCTCAATAAGTGGGTTGTAACTCATTTATCATGTATGCGTTTTCAAAATCAAGCTAGTTACATTAACTGACTGCTTAAACCGAAATAGGTTTAGTGGACTCCAAGATTACAAGCAATTAATTAAAATTTGAGTAACTGAACAAATAAATTACCAACCAATCACTCAATACTTTTAAAGCCTTGACTAAATGTCCACCTCTCAAGAAATAAAGGAAATTCATCAGCTAATATCCTCATTTTAAGATAATGTAACTCCTACTTTACAGGACAGTAGGTCCTTTCGTACTTTTACAATCGAAATAAACTTGTATGTATAGATTGGATCATGGAACGACTAAACAGGAACTACAGTAATTAACAATAATATGAAGTACCTTACAAATTTGTTTGATCTAAGTGTACTAATAAATAAAGGAGTAGAAAAATAATTTATCCTTCATAGTGTTTGGATTACGTTGTAAAAAGTTATCACGGGTGTGGTGATGTGTTGAGTTTTTTCACCGGTCATATTAACAACAACAATAACTTATAATCAGCCTGAGCGTGATTACTAAAATGTCAAATTTGTGTATTAGAAATATATATTGATTACAATGAATTAATAACTTAAAAATTATTCAAACTATGAACTGAAGTTTAAACATGTAAAACAGTAAGTGAAATGATGATAGTTTAAGAATATCACCTTCGTTGTTATCAAATTTAAAATAAAAGGAATATTTATGTGAATAATTGTTTCCAATGACTTTAAGCCATATTCAAACATTCAGATTAGTAATTGTCCGATAATAATCAGTCACATCAGTGTTAATATGGTGGCTATATCAGAATATGCAGAATCATTTTACTCAATTTAAGAAAAGTACGATGAACAACATTATAAAATAATAAGACCTATTAACCTACTGCTGTGAACTAGATTATGGAGTGATTTAATTTTATACGCAGAATAATCATCTCAGTTTTTCATTATTTGCAACAACTTAATTAATTAGAGCTACTATACGCAAGTTTTAATCGATAAAAAACTTGCATTCCACATATTCTTTAAATCATGAACTGTCTTCAGGTTATTGACTACATGAAAGCATTAAATAGCTGTTTTATCTCAGTTTAAGACTCAGCTGCTAGGTACATTCACAATTAACTAGAAATCGAATTCAGAAACAGTAAACCTCGAGGCAAATGAGTTCAACTTAATTTAATTTGTCCCAAAAAATAAAGATAATAAATAGTTACTTACATCTCATCAGTTTTTCTAGTCTAAACTGATTCGAGTGTACTCGAGTAGACCATTGTAACAGTATTGTAGAACGCGACCCGGTCAATGAGGAAATAATCGCCATAGACAGTGGTTGTTCTAGTTCACATTCCAATATTCTAGTAAAGCAAATATTAATCAACGGTGGAAGAATTTCATAAATATTGTACAGTTTTATATTAAAGAAAAAGTCGATTATTTAATGTTATCTCTGATTTATAGTCGGGTCCTCGTTAACACTTCGTTTTCACTTGTTCTATAAGTACGTAACTATTGGATTATTAAAGTCTATACTTAATTTTTCAAAATATTTAAGATTTTGTGAATCTCATTCAGTAAAAGAAATCCGTAGATTCAGTGTTTTTATTATCATTCAGATTCAAGTTTTAATGTATATGTACATATAATAAAAGAAAAGAAAATTTTAGCATTGTATGGTTGGTTGTATAATACTGACAAAGCATTAAATGGCTAAGTTTCATGTTTGTTCACATTAATTAGTTAATCATAGATGCAAATTCGTTGAAATTCATGTCGACTTTATAACCAAAGCCCATATGGTTTAGAAGGTACTGTGGTGTGAGCTACTTATAAGTAGTATATGACGTGAGTGTCAACGTAATGTCTGGCAGCAGAAGATGGGGGAAGATCAAGAAAGGAAGAGTTAGAACACAATGGAATTTGTATGAAACGCATGAATAGTGACAATGGATTGATGTTTTGCAACAGGAACAGTCTAGTTCGATATGATGAACTGATATTTTGCAAATTACCGATTTACGCTATGGTTTTCCGATTTTACTGAGTAAGTTTGTAATTTTTGTGTTCGTGACATTAATATCCATTAAATTTTACAAAAAGGCGAAACATTTAAAGTATTCTCAGTTATAAATAAATCGACCAATGTATAAATTTATTTTATATATCACATTCATTACCTTGTAATTTAGTACTGTGAAATACGTTCGTATTTTAAATTTAAGATAACTAACAAATGGTGTAACTACTGGTTGATATAAATATGTATATACACTGTAGATCTCAGTTTATAAAAAGTTTAGTACCAAGCTAAATATGATTAGTCCAAACAAGTAAAGAATATCTCTTGATAAAAATGTTTATTTCTCAAGTACTGATTTGAACTACTTCAGTTAAACGAATATTATATATTATAATTCAGTTTATTCACAATTATCTAAATTCACCCTCATTTGGCAAGAGTAATTTTACGTTAGTTTTCAGGAGAATCAGACACTGCCCACATGTTAACATTACAACGTGGACAATGCAGCTCAATCATGTGGCGCAACCACAAAGGTAGCTGACACCCTGGTGGATCATTCACACCATTTATATACGTCAGTACACATAGTGATTATTTCTGATCAGTGATTGTGTCAATCAATATGCACAGCATGAACAGGTCAATTTGACCCGTCCCGTTTACATGACTGACAAACTCATTATAATTAACGACGGTAATATGCAGTACAGCACCCCAATGACGATGGCCTTCGGGAACGCTGCAAGACAACCACCAGTATCAATGAAATCGGTCTCCCTGAGTTAAGGTTAGTATCCCTTAAACGAATATTATAAGGCATAACGATTTTATACTTTGGTATTCTCTGTTCCCAAATATCAATCAGTATGATCAGATTTTACGTAGTCACTATCTAAACTCATCGTTATTTAGGTAGACTTGAACCTAAGTTTAGTGTCGATTAATTTCGGGACTTCCTATCTTAAACTATTCACTATAGAATGATATATAGCCAGCAAACTAACTGGCTTACATTTGCACAACATACTATCATAATTGAGAATTGATCATCTTTTAATATAAGTTAGAATATCTGAAGGTAATACACTTCCAAATGCCTTACTCTGTATTAACTCAGAGAGAAGTAAAAAAAATCATTAATTTTGCTGAATAAATCACATTTGAATAAGATATACAAAGTATTGAACTGGTTTTTTAAATGGAGTTTGTAAGTAATGAAAACTCTTCAGAAAACAAAACTCTTTTCATCTAAGTTTGAAATCCCGACTAAAATTAATGGTCAATAACAACATTCAGTGCGAAAAACAACTTACGTCTTGTGAGTGTTCAGCCGAATTTGTCGAAGACGGCTAGTTCTTGTGTAAACTTTATCCAGAAGGCATATTAAATGACAATCTATGAAATCAACGATAAGTAAATAGATTATACAACGAAAGGTATCCAAAATTTAATCTTGTTTAAATTGTTTTGAAAAGATTAACATCAATAACTTGAATCTTAATAAAAACGTTTCTTGAGCTATACTATTTCTCTTTTGCGATAAAAAGAACTATGACTGTTTATTTGAGTACATTCAGCATCCAAAGATCAACAGAAAGTCTTTTTCATATTCGATATTGAGCATATATTAAGAGTACAAAAGGTCACGTTTAAATTATAATAGTTTTGGAATCGAGATCAATACGACAATGGTTTATACATTAAATGAAGGTTCATGATTTACAAAATAAAACAGGGATAGGAATAAATGTTAGTGTTTTATCAACGCTGAATTAAGTAAAACCACATTTTCAAAAACCACTTCCCTTGTTCATTTCTTCTCTCTTATTTTGCTGGTCATATTAATGGGAAACAGTAAATATTATTTTTATATTATTTTGTCTTTCTTTAGCGTATGCTAGATATTTCAATCCCTGAAGGTAGTCATTAGAAAGTTTAGAAAGTCACTGTTTGTATAAAAAGATTTTTGAGGAGAAAAAAACTTGATCATATATATATATATATATATATATATATATCAGCAAACTGTAAATTCCTATTTTATTTTCCCTTCTCCATTAAGTATGGTAACAAAGAGTAATGTCATCAAATCTAATTACAGCTTTAACAAAACTAAATTTTATACTTACTTTTAAGACTAAATAACCCACAAACATTATAAATAGTTAAAAGTAAATTATAAAAAGAATGTGAAGATTGTGATCCACTGATCCATCTAAGATTTAATTTCGAAGAACTATTCAATAATAGTCTTATAAACATCCCAAATTATATTAACTTAGACAAGAATTTTATACAATAAGAATCTTATGCTACCCATTCTGTAAATGATAATGTAAAGCAAGTTTAAATGAGGGAATTTGGCACATTATTACCATCTAGCTGTCATGATAAAATTCACCTAAGAGAATGATTTAATTATTGTAAATGTGAAAATAGTGATAATAATAATGATGCAGAAGAAATAGAAGAAATGAAAGGAAAAACCATAAACGTGAACAACAAAGAAAAACAATGGCGCCTACATAAACAATACATTCAATTCTACATCACTATTTATTCTATTAGTCTTTACAATTTTCTCTTCTCCTAGATTAAACAAATCATTATGGTAAAATTATGTACCAAAAACTCCAAACATGTACATTAAAAAACACAGAGGAGGTGATGTTGAATATCAGGCACAAGACTGTTTATCTTCTGTTTTATTTGATTTCGTTTATAACACAACTAAGAATTGGATGTGACGTCACGAATGGGAAAATAATGCAGGATAAACCATCAATTTAGGGGATGTGGAGTGATTAATAGTAGTGATTATGTATGCAGCTTCATGTAAATTTGACTCGATATAAATGAAAAGGTGAATACAATACACGGCAAGACGACGGTTCATAAATCTACTGTCTTATGTCCATACCTTATTAAATCAAACAATAATGGGGTTTCAAAGGAATTTTGATGGGACATATAGGTTAGTTCACACGATCACTATAAGAAGGATTTATAATCTTTTACATACAAACTCACGAAGTAGACAAGTAAAATCGATTCACTTGAATTAGAGAGCCAATAAAATGGCTGGAGTTATCAGAATCATTTTCAAAGTTCACTAAGTGTATTCTACCCAGGAATTGTGGTCATTTTCCCGTTAGTTTAATTTAAAGTTTCAGCATATTAGATAACAATTTTTATAAAAAAATGTTATTTCATGCCCAAACGTATATTATATATGTGTTGTCCATTCTTCGTATCCGGTCGTGTTACAATGAAAAGTTCACAGAAGATGGTTGTGGGCAATTTCAGACTCAGATTACACTGTAATACTCATCGTTTTGTATAAAACATACTTAATGAACAACCAAAACTTTGGGCAATTAAGATAATCAACACTGATTAAAATAAGTCAAACAATTGCTAATATTGAATGGATCCTTGTTATCTAATGAGCTTGCATTTGAGAAATTTTGTACGTAAATCAGCTAAAACCTTTCATCAAATGAAATCCAAATCATTCGACCTTGAAAGTCTCTGCGTTAATCATCAAAGTATTGATCTTAATCACAATAAAAAATGTCTCATCTCTGAGATGATGGGAAAGATTCCTTGGTCATAATGTGGATTTTAATGATTTGTGTTTTATGAACTATTTCAGAAAACATGGCACTATCAGTATATCTCATTTGTATCAATTCATAGAAAATTTCTATTTACGGGTAATCTTGTGTATTACTGAAAAGTTCCGTGAAATCAGAAAATAGATGAACAATATTTCCAAAACTCTTAGTATTTTTAGGCTTAAATCATGATATGTTAAATACAACATTATATGTTATAGTCTTTAATTCGGCAAAATGTTGTTAGACACTATGTAATATTTTGCCGGTTCGAGACAGTTGACAAAGAGCTATCAAAGCAAATTATTGCTTTGTTAAATAATTTATTATGAATGGTAATTATCTATTACCCTAAGCTGTTGATCAAGATCTCATTATGCTGTTTTAAGTCACTTGCTAGACTAGTATTTATATTATCCTATTATCCTTGCACCTAACAATAGCACACTTCTAAATGTGCAAACAAACTTAGAGCCAGCCTTTACACTGACTGTTAACAAAAAGCTATATGATAAATGCTGTTCAAGGTTAAACAACTCTTGAATTTATCGATTATATTCCGGACAAAAATCATGAAGAGAAATAGTACTTTGAGGTGTGAAATAAAGACAAGTTAACCAATGGTGTAACAAATATTAAGTGTTATGATAATGCAAAATTATGTTACGAACTAACTCAAATGTTAATATGATTTTTATTGCATGTTCCTTCTCATGTTTCGTTGGCTAGCCAGAAAGCTATCCAATTTTTATTGAATATAATAACTGTGAATGTTTCTCGATTTGTTCGGGATTAACGTTGAGTTTATTAAATCACACAATTAAGAAATACATTATTACATAAATGGAGAAACCTAAAAGGAATTTCAGTTATGAAAATAACTTATTGTGTTTTTACTACTTGCTAATTATAAAGTAGTATAGCCTTAAAAGCAAAATAATATTCCGGAAAGTGTTGAAATCTAGCTTTCTATCGAATGTCGAACAAAACTGTTATACTGAGTTCTCTAAAATTCTTAACTTTTTCCATTTTTAAGGAAGCGCATTATTGCCGAAAAATTCGGACAGATGAAGCCAAAACTATGAATGTATGTCTCTTTGACTTGTTATAAACTAGTAGTATTGCATGAACAGATAGTTAAACACAAGGAGCAGCTGTTTTTTTAGCTGTTGCTATTTCAATTATAAATCGAAATTTAGGTACATAAGATAACGTAGTATGGAACTTCCTATAAACTCGGATTCTTCTACTTAAATTTATTACATAAATTTTTCTGAAACCTAACTGTACTGTTTATGAAGTAGGATATGCTACGTAAATTAAATGAAAATTCCCTCACTTATTTCACTGATAAGTATACTATATCGAATAATCATGTACGGCGATCACCCACTATAATATAACGCAAATCAAACTATCTTTTGTCAAAATTATTCAAATTTCTGAAGCTTAAAGACACTTTACACCCCAGTGAACCAAATAATTTAGCAAGAGATTGGGATATCATCACATATGTAGTCTGAATCTGTATTATTAGGAATAATAAAATCTTTCATTAAAGCAGTTAGGATAACCTAGTAATATGTAAGTGAAGTTTCATTAGTGTTCAAAACTACTTGAACTCTGAGCAGACCAGAAAAGGTGATTTTCCAAATTTTTAATCATGAACACTTTTCTCATCTTATTAAATAAATAAAATAATAGTTTCTTAAAAATTTATTCTCTATTTTGAGCTATGAATTATGAGACTGAAACACTATGTGACATTAAAACAATAAATTCTTTAACTGTAGGTTTACTAAAGGGTAGAAAATATTTTGGAAAAACGTATGATATTTATCTGAAAGCGATCATTTGTGTAAGCTTTAAACATATCATAATGTCAACTCAAGACTTTTATATTTCTTAGCTAATACATTAGATTTCGGTGGCTGATAGCGGACCGTTAAAGGATAGGAGATAAACTCCATCACATCAGTAATCTCTCTTGAGGATGAATCCCAATTTTCAAACAAATAAATATCAAAAGTTAGGACCATAGTAAAACCAACCGAATCAATTTTCTTGATTTTTATAAAGATTCAATTAATCTATGTTGATTTCATATCACTAATCACGTAAAAGACGAGTTTTTAAAAAATGTGATATAGTCGAACAACAGACAGTAAAACTGTCTATCTCCTAGTAAGATAACATTTATTTCAGTAGAAAAATTGAAATCAGGCATCACACAATAGCTATTGGTGAAAATCTCTAATCACATAAGCCAATAACAACATACAGTATGTCCAATATATAAATACGCAACGTTGAAGGACATGGCACATAAATATTATCAGTACAAGTTGGGTCAGAGTACAGCTGCTCGACGATAAGTACCCATATAGAACTCGGAAATTCCATGATTCTGATGTCTTTAAACAAACAAAATTAACATTCTTAATTCAGTAAAAAGTGGAGAGAATTGGATTAAATGTATATGAATAAAAGAAAATAGTATCATTTGCATAAATGACTTCAATAATAGTGGTAAAACTAATCACAAAATGATTGCACTTCATACTGACTAATGCTCAATAGGGAATGTGGACATCAGTCATTCAGTTATAAATAACACAAGATTTAGCACAAATTTGTGAGTTCAATCTACCATACTTCATATAAGCACGATGGGAAGCATTAACGATAGGTAGACTACTGTTAAGTTCAATAGGAAAATAGGGATAAGAAATATTGGATAGAGAAAAAGATTTATAAGTCGCTAGTAAGTTAGTTACACCATCAACATAAAATAATGAGAACAAAATTTGTTGAGTGTAAAAAAGACTAACTTACTAGGAATTGACAAATTGATAAACATAGATGGAGGCAAATACGACAAGAAATTTTCAGTGATATAATTGATTAATCCACTAGCTCCTTCATTTAAAAATACTAATAATTCTTCTTTAGATGGTACTTTATCAATTTCACTATCACCCATTAATCCAATCCAACGTGAAGTGAATTGTTGACTACGTGTTATCGGTTCTTTCAGTAATAATTGAAAATGATTTTTAAACGAATCATTAATAATTGGTTTGTTGTTTTGTAAATTTGTATTACCAGATAAATCATTTTGATTATTACCAATTATTTGTTCTGATACATTACTGGAAGTAGTTGAAGTATTAATTTCCGTATCCATAAATGGATCAACCAGATAACGTACAAATGTTGTATTAATCAGAAGACATGCTGAATTTTGCTAACGAATGAATGTACAACATAAAGATGGATGGAAAGTAAATTATGGTGGATTAACAAAATCGATGTCATTTCAACAATGATTAAAAAAATCGGTATGAAAGTAAGGATACGCAAAGACATGATTAAATCTAAAGTGATGTCACTAAAAATAGTACTCACTTTGTACTACTTATAATAGTAGTGGTAAGGGTTGCAGTAATGGATACAAGTAACATTTATATTTAGAGTGGAGATTAAGTTGAGTTCTGATACGTCAGTTACTTTAGAATATCTAAAGTAGCAACTCTGCCGGTTATCCACTCTATCTATATATCCTTATTGGAGACCTTGATGCATCCTAATGATCATGCCTGTAATAAATAGCGTGTACCTGCCATTTTACAAATATATGTATATATAATTAGAGTTATAGGAAAAGTTGACATCAGTAGTTGCCGTTAAGCGTAAGTATTTAATGCAAAGATAAAATGGTCCACTAATTCATCTTAAGGAAATGAAAGGAAAGTGATGGTTTTTTAAAGAGCAGGGGTAAACACAAGCTTGTGCAAATTTTGTTAAAGTGACTTACGTATTGACTCTCCACAGTACTCATAATCTTTAGGTATCATTATAGTCTATCTGTTAAGTTCGTTTCAGAGAGCTGGTATTCCGTCATACAGCATGCAAATATCATTAATATACTCAAGATCGAAAACTCTTTATTCTGATTGTAAATGCTTACAGAATATTATCAGTTCTATATTAGGGAAGGAATCATGAAAGGGGTTTACTATTTTTAAATTCACTGCTAACACGAAATGACATAAACAGATGACTAAATGCCTTAACGCTGTTTAAAGTATTTTGGGTTTAACCAAATTTCTTAAAGTTCAATCTATAAAAGATAGCCTAGATGTCTAAAACCACCATAATTTTCGGTTTGTGATTTATATGATGGTGTTCGAAAATTTTTTTGAATAATGAAGAAATAATTGATCCATTTAAAACTCGAGGGAATCTAGGTTAACTCCTTGAGTTATTTTTCCACTTACTATTATATTTTAGTTTACAGATTTGATAGAAATGCATTCTACAACAAAATAACCTTGAATGACTTTAGTACATCTTTCCAGTTCTTGACAAAATGACTGAATAGAACTTAATCTTATATCTAAAGAAAACTTAACTATGGGTCTTTGGTAAATTGTTTGTTAAATTTTGGAAATTCGCGTGAACAATACAATGTTTTATTCAGATTCCAATGTGAAATAAAGTATAAAATATTAAAAAACCGTTTATTTAAATTACACCATGGTATCTATCTAAATGTGAACAAATTGACAACAGTGAATGGCCTAAAAATTTATTCCTACGCAAAGGCATTTATATTTCTCTTAGTTTTAAACAAAAGCTAAATGGATTAATAATAATTAGGAAAGAATAATAGTACATATGACCTACTTGTTTGCAAACCTGCAATGGTGGTTGTTTTGACCCGATATCACGTAATAAAGGATGACGACTATTAACACGGCTGGTATCTGGTTTCTTTGAAGTTTTATGTTGTGGACTTTGTTCATGTGTGTCGTTGGACAATTCATCGGTTTTCTGTGTGTTCTGATGGCCTAAAATTATTTATACGTAGAATTCAGTTTATTTTATTTTTATGTACGAAGGCTGAATTTTTATATCGGACATACATAAATTAAGCAGTCGTATATATAATTATGCCTATGCTCCATTGGGGGTAACAGGCGTAGGTAAAGTAAGTAAGTAATATATAATTATCAAAGATATCTAGTCATATATTTAAAGTAGTAGGATATTAGTTGAGTCTTTAAATAACGGAATTGATAACTCAAGATGTTAGAGATATACAAAGCTTTCAGTGATCGTTCGGTTAGAAGATAGCTTTTATCATAGACAGATAACAGTGAAATAATAGCTGATCATTCAGTCAGTTACAAGTGACGTAGAACTTGGTACACATGTACATCAAGTCGCATATTGTGTTATTAAGTCAATCTACTATCGTACCTGACAACACAGTAACGCATATTTTAAACTAGTTGATAAAGTATTCCATTACATGTACATAAGTATTCTTATGGAAATATGACTCATGAACCACAAAGTGGCCGTATGTTACCCTTTCGTAATCTCTGATACCGATCCTTAACTCTCCGAGCCAATGAAACACTGCCAGATATAATGTAGTTAACAACACTTCATCTGTGTCCTTGACAGCATGTGAGACGACGAAGCTGGTATTTCATAAGTTAATAGCGTTTATATTTTGAAGAAAAGGTGAATATTAAATGAATATTTAGTCTTTGTATCATTGGACAGAAAATAATAACCAATAGCTATCATTTTGAATCTACTATTTTATTGGCCATAAGGTATGGAAAATTCCTTAAGATAGGACGTCAATTTTTTTAGAAAAAACATACAAACAACCGAATGATAAAGTCTATTCCAAACTTCCCCTTGTAGTTCAGCTTTGCTTAAACCCCTTCAAATTCTGTAAAGAGAAATTATTCTCAACTTTCTGTAGATGTTTCAGTTATCCACTTTCCGATTAATTCTATAGTTTAGTGGAAAATGCAAACGTTTTTTGTCAGACAAGTTTTCACTTTCACTTGTGCATATTTCTGTACATCATCAATACAAATAATACTATCTAATTGGTTATTCTGTTAATTAGCGATTAAAATTAACTACTTTAATAACAATTAATTTACTGTTTTGATAGTGTACATGGTCTGATTTATCTAAGATAGAAACCGAAAACTTGAAGTATTTTGGTTTGTGCGTCACTGTTTTACACTGACGTTATAACATTGTCCAATAGCCAAAATATTACTGAACTCGTTTTTGGGTAGGAATTTTATTGATTTCATCAGCGAAATATGTTAGAAATGTAGGTAATAAAAAATATCTACACCATCAACAAAGTACCTATCAAGTACCTCATAATTTTTAATTTTCAATTAACATTCAACACAGATTTTCTACAGACCTACATAAAAACAAATCAAAACCACCACTAAATGATTTAAATCTGTTAAATATTACCAAATGTGCATAAGAACTACTAACCTGTTAAACGTAAATAAAGTAATTGTACACTGAATTCTCTTGTTAACCAACTGAATGGTAAAACTGTACAATTTCTCTTCAAATTAAGTGAGGGGTTTTGTTTCACAGAATTTGATGTTACTGTTGTCATTGAAAATTTCTTTACCATTGAACTATGTCTTCTAACTGGTAGGCAATTATTTTTACTAATATCACTAAATAATATATTTGTAATTAAAGATTCTAATGGGAGTTCATTTAACCAAAAATCTGAAATGATTATCAATCCATCTTTGGGAAGATCTGATTGGTTGTTTAAATATTGATCTAATTGAAGCGATAACTGATTAATGCTATTCATTTGATAAGTTATTCCATTTCGATCATTGTTATTCATGTTATCATCATCATCAGGTTTATTTTCACTAGTATTTGAATAGATTTCTGGTAACCAGTGTTTTGATAATATTTCAAATACTGGATTCAAATAGTTGAACAATAGAATATCTTCAGTAGAGTTTTTAAACAAATGACTTTTCATCATTAAAATCTAGGAAAGATGTTAAAGGCAATAAGTTAGATGATAGCACAAAATAAATTTCGGAAAAACCAATGAGGCTGTAATATATATTTATATTGTTTTAGAAAGATTTCTTTCAGTGAATGAGCTAACAATAATTTGCGAATGATTTTTCAATCATTCCGGGGTTGTGAAGATTGTTAAGTTACACATTTTTGAAACCATGAATCGATCAATGTTAGACCACCATTAGAAACCTGGAAGCACTGGACGGCCGTTTCGTCCTGGTATGGGACTCATCAGCAGTGGTTATCCACGACTCCTGCAGCCCGCAGGATTCGAACCCAGGACCTTCGGTAATGTGCACGAACGCCCTAACCATTAGAGCACTGAGCCGGTACCCAATGGTGTTAATGTCTAACTTGATCAAATTCACGGGGTCGCGCAACCTCATACACAGTCTTCGGTAGACACTGCCTACACCCGAACAAGTCGAACTTCACTGGTCACGTCTTCTCACTAGAACTCAATCAGACAGAGATTATTGAAAAAAAACTATTGGAAATCAGAAAGCATCGGTTTTGAACAAAAAGTTCTGCCTCATTTATTACTTTTATTTATTGATTGATCGAATAGAAAATTTTCTAATGTTTTATTTTATAAAGATTAGGCTGGAATAGAATGACTTGAGTTCTGTATCTGTCTGCAATCAATATACAGTGTTGTGTGTTGGCTATTCAATTCCACTGAAAAATATGCTGTCAGCTCTTATTATCACCATCCTCCGTAGTACAAATTCCTGACTAAACTGCACTAACTCCATGATAGTGAAAGCAACTAATAATGGTTCTGTGGAGAAACTGTTAACTACCAAGATATGATGTTATAAAGTAACTGATGTTAAAAGGTATTTAATCACGGAGCTGGAGAAAAAGTATCAAATATATATATATATATATATATATATATATATATATATATATTGTTGATATTTCGTTAGTTTTTTTTTAACTTTAATCACTTGACATGATCGATAAAGTCCTTTCATAATTGGTCTATATTTGGGAGATGAATTTATTATAAAACTCTGAACGTTTCATTACGGACTCGATGCATTGTGTTATTTAGATTAAAAAGGTAATTTTTAACGCAAGCGTTTCGTGTTTTTAAGTTGCCACTTGTTCTTAGTTAATGAATTTAAAATATTTGTAAGCGATGTCTTTGAAAAATAGGTTTAATGAAGCTTTAGCTTGAGGAGTATCTGGTAATTTTGTTTCCGGATTTTCATCTCAAAAATACAGAATCCTCTTGATGTTAAGTATAAGATATTCTTTGCGCAGTAATTCCTAGTAGATTTCAATAACATCCAGTTATAACTAACATACTGACTAGGTTATGGATCACTCTCAATTTATATTCTTGGTCGAACCAGTTATAATAAAGTTTTTAATAAAGTTCTTAATACTGTGATAACTATAGTTACATGATATTAATTACCATTAAGAGAGTCTTTGTGAATGATAAATATTAATCACATCAATGAGATTCATATATTTTGTTTTATGTACTGTTCATAATGAACATGAAGCTCGAAAACAATTTATTAGCAATTTTAAATTGAAGAAAAAAGTCTCAGCAGAATTAGGAAAACTGTTACCATGTATTTAGTGTATTTTTAGGATTTTTCATTCAGACATTATCATACTGTATTTCAGTAGTTTGAAATAAATTTTTACCAAGATTTACATAAAACAAATAAAACTCTTACTCGATTTGTTATTTCTTTAAATAAATTTCTGTTGTCACTTTTAATATTTGCCGCTTTCTTTAATTGTTCATTCAAATGATTTAAACGTTTTTTCCATGAGAAAATCAATTGACATCGTGTAACTGGATCAGTTTCTAGTCTAACGAAAGTGTACTGTACAGTGCCTATTATAAAAGAAAAAAGATAATTCTAAATATTTGTCTTACATTAGTAATTATGGAGTCCCCGTATGAATGTGTATTGTTTGTGCTAATTAGGGATTCCTTTGTACATTATTCTGAGCCTGTCAGGAATTCCAATTACAGTTCGTTCATTTGAGCTTATCGGGTTCTATGGGACTGAAATTGGACATTTCTGGGAGTTCCTAGTTGACATACTAAATCGAGTATTTCTGAATGTCATAGAATATCAACACTTACATGCATGTGTAATCAGATGACGCAATAAAAATAGACTCGACTTTTAACCATTATCTAACTCGATTTTGAATCATTCCGGAAGTCTTGCGAAATTCCCCCCATTCATCGCCAAACAATCTTTAATATTAATGAAGAGACCTAACGTGTTACCTAACTGTAATAAACTTTTCTCAGTTGTGACAATTTTAATCTTATACGATTAACAAAATGGCTTTATATGAAAAGCAACTCATTAATTAAGGGTGAATTCTAATTAATTGAAACTAACTTAATATCTATACACTCAATGTATTGAGATGTAGTTTTGTTTATATTTTGCATCAATCTCAACTAGTTTTCCTCTTTACCTCATTAGTAAAGTCATGTAACGGTGTATATGGTCATTGCATAATAAACTGTGTTTAAGATGGTCAGAAGAAACACAGTTGAACCCAGGTTCTTATTTGTGTGCTGCTTTTAACCACGACTCATAAATTTATAAAAAAGTTACTTACTCTCTTATTAAATATTATGATAATTGCACGAAATGAAACATTCTTGAAACAATTTACCAGATGAATGATTTACAATTAAACTTATTGATCATATAAGGAAACCAGAGAAACAGTAGAAATTATGTCTGAATTTCTTTACAACGAAAATAATAATATAGCAATTCAAAATGAATGAATTGTATTGTTCAGATTTCTAAATGTCAACTTTGAAACTCTATTAAAATTCATTTATTTTTTGGCATAGTTTTGTTCATTAAATGTAATTTGTATCAAACAGTTAACATTATCTTGTGGGGTTGTTGTGAAGATTGTTAAGTTTTATTTGTAACCATGAATCGATCAATGCTGATGAGTCCCATACCAGGACGAAACGGCCGTCCAGTGCTTCCAGGTTTCTAATGGTGGTCTGTCATTGATCGTTTCATGGTTACAAATAAAACTTAACAATCTTCACAACAACAACGCAATGCAATTACGTGTATCCACTAGTGACTAGCTTCGTGAGGAATCTTCTCGAAGTTCTAGTGGGAAGTCATGACCAGTGAAGTTCAAACCTGTTCGGATGTATAAAGGGTATGAGGTTGCGCAACTCCGTGAATTCGATCAAGTTAGACATTAACACCGTCGGATACCGGCTCAGTGGTCTAACGGTTAGGGCGTTCGCGCACGATACCGAAGGTCCTGGGCCCGAGTCCTGCGGGGTGCAGGAGTCGTGGATGCGCACTGCTGATGAGTCCCATACCATGACGAGACGGCCGTCCAGTACTTCCAGGTTTCTAATGGTGGTCTAACACTGATCGGTTCATGGTTACAAATAAAAGTTAACATTATAATTTATTTCTCTATAAACAGTTAACAGTCAAACGATTTGGTATTGTTTAAGTGACATAATATATACTGATTATACATGAATAAATATAATCAAACAAATTTAACCTTTGTTTGTATTTTTGCTAGCTGGTATACTGCCCCGCTGAGTTCGATTCGACATCATTCTGTTTGTATTTTTTGGTATAGCAACATATAAAAAGTGTGAATCAATTGAATGTTCCATAATAAGAAGATTCCAATTTTTAGCCAGTTGTAAACTGGATCCAGGTAATGAACTTATAGTTGATTGAATAATTTTGCTTGAATCAAAAACTATAGAAGGATTCACTTCAGTTACTCTCCATGCCTAAAAGAAAAATGAATAAAAGTTAGAAATTTATGTTCTTTTAAAAAAAGTATTACAGTGGTTGTTACGAAGTAGGTGTGTCTCATGTTCATAAGAGTCAAAAACCTTTAGAATTTCTAAAAAACAATTATCTCTCAGGTGCTTTTATTATGATCATTATTATTTAAATTTCAGAGATATTCTTAATGGTCATTTCTCATCGATTTCTAGGTGGATTATTCTTTATTGACTAATTTGTAATGTGATCGCTAGTTTGGGTGACCTGATACAAAAGTGGATTTTGTTTACTTTTAAGCAACTAAAGAAGATTCTTGGTAAGCCATGGACCTTGGTTTTGCACTAGCTAACAATCGTATTGGGAGGAGTGGTGTTCAGTATCCCATATAGAGACATGTCATTCAATAGCACATCACACTGGTTTATACTAACTGATCATTTTATCTGCAAACACACTACTGCTATGAGTTAGTACCCATCTGAATATCTCAAAAATAATGCCTCTGACTGTGACGTCCAAATACAGCTGTTCAAACCGTACAGGGAACAACAGTTCTTCAAATAATGAGGACATTGTTTACCAACGAATGCAGACAAACATAAAAAAAAGGATTTCAGTGTATTTGTTCTTACCATCTAATACATTTATCACACGTTTAACAAGTGAAATCAAAGACGAATTTAGTTTCCTCATACGAAATTACCGATCTCCAGTCTTCTACACTTTCGTTTGTCTGACTTCTAATTTGATTTTAGACTTAAAACTGGTTTTCTAAGCTTATTATAATCAAATTTCATTTTCGAAATCATTCTACAATGCTACACAATTGTTTCGTTAACATTACAAACTTTGTTTGGTATCTTTTAAAAATTAATATTTATGTTTTATCTTGCTGTTAAGATAATAATACTCAATAACTTCAAAGAGGATTTCATATCATTTAAACATCTTTGTCATGGAAATAGTATTTGAGGTGGTCAATGCACAAATGTTTAATCTAACTGAAAAATAAAATTTAACCAAACAGATTTGTGAGAATTTTAAAAACTGCAATGTTAACAAAAGTTGGAACTAATGAAAAAATCAACTGACTTGTGATTGTGACATTAAACTTCGTAAAATAACTGGTATCCATGGACTGGCTGATATGTTATGATCTTCTGATCCACTGCACAAACCTCCAATGGAACGTAGGCGATTAGAAATTAGATTAACTTTAAGTCCTGTTATCCAGGCTAATGCTTCAGGATAAGATGAAGGCTCTGTGGTGGAAAAAAATCCTAATAAACTGAAAAAACTATCATCGTCATATGCAGAAGCTGGAGAAGACCATATTAACTGGCGAACAAGTGCTTCTGAGGCACTTAATATAGGTCTATCAGAATATTCATTTTCTACATTTAAATTACACATAGTACCTCCAGCAAATTTACGCGCATCATATGATAACATTGTTAGCCAGAGGTGAGTACGCAGTCGAACAGCTGTTGAACAACTTTGATATCCTATTAATAAATCTTGTGTTAGGATGGAAACATTTTCATGACATCCACCGAGCAAATTCAATAAAGATTCAGTAACTTGACGGGCTAAGCCCTGAAGAAAAAGAGAAAATATTTTTTGTTAAGTCTTGCAGGTGAAAATTAAAAATTTAAGGATTAAACGATTTATTGCAAAAATTAAGAGTAAGATTTGATGAGAGTTACAAATGTAACCATAACCCAGTTTGGTATATATCAATACCTTAGTAAGCTGTGGTAATATGTGGCATATCGAAAATATCTACTTTTTAAATTGGGAAAGTAAGTTCATCAAGTCCAACTAATTACTTAATTTCCTAAATATTGTGAAACCATGAATTGATGTTTGTGTGGGATCTAACCTTGAAGTCTTGGTTTCAGGAATCGTGTGATTCAATGATTATTCATGGTTTATCAACTGTTCAGTGTTCTTTAATTTCTGTGGTGACTACTGCTTAGTCATTACTAGGAAAGATGACTGAACTAATTATAACTACAAGAAAATTGAAAAACGAATTATTTTGAAATGGTTGTTAACTTTAAATGGCTAACAGTTTGGGTACTTAGTACTCACCCACCCACCGACTGCTGTGACGAGCAATGTTGTGTGGTGTAGGAGTAGGTTGGAAGAAAGCTAGGGGCGGCCAAACCAAAACATGGCACAAATCCATGAAGTCACTGACAAGTGGAGTGAGTCATCTTGGTAGATGCAGGCTACCTGGTTAAGGTCCGCGAGACGAAAGTCACCGATGGTTAGAGACTGGATGACGTGGCTCAAAATCGTTTACAATGGCGCAGGTGCATCCACTCGTTATGTTCTCTGAAATTCTTATCTTCTTAATTCCTTATCACCTCTGTCTTTTTCTTTCTAAATTTATCTCACTCATATCTTCGAACCTTAATCTTCCCCATGAGCGCTGGTACTTCCACTATTGGATTTGAACTGACAGTTGTGTCTCTATGCTAATGTGGTATGGCAACTTGAACTGATGTACATACGTACGAAGTTCTACGTTGTAAGTGATTGACTGACTGACTTAGTACTCTGCTGTAGATTACTAGCTTAATCGCTTTATTTAGTTCAGCTTGATCAACCAAGTAGTGTCGTTAGTACGTACGCAGTCGGTCTGATTTATAGTTAATTTCTGCTAAGAATATACATGTTGTCCAAATGTTTGGATATTGCGTTTGCCAGAATCGAAAACCTACAGATGTAAAAGCTTATTAATTTTATTTATCGATAACGGTATTTTCAAATAAAGAAAATGTTGGTATTTAATTAATCCGCCTCTTTTTTTTACCGCAAAAGTGACCCTCCAAAGTGGAAATCTAAAGATTTCATTACAAGTGAAAACAGTTGTAAGGATATTTCTTTCCTAATGTACACATATTTTACTATTTCATAAAATAGCAATTACGAGTGCACTCTCTTCTGTAATTTATTAGCACTAAAACGAGTAAAGTGACCATATAGTTTCATTTTTGAATTTTGTGAAATCGGATTCTTTTTATTTGTCAGACTGTTACGTTAATGATGCCATATTGGATATAATTTAAACGACATCATAACCAGATTTATAAACTTAAATTACATTGTTCGAAAATCATTTCAAAAAAGAGGGATATGTACGATGAAGCAAATGAAAACGGTTAGTAAATCTGGTTAAATGTATTTCTGGTTTATATTTAAAACGCTTGCAGAATGGGACTAGTACTTCGTTACTTTTCTCTTTGAGAATGGAAATCAAAAATGATTCTATAGATATGGACGTTAAATTTTAATCTGCTAATTTTAAATCAATAAAGTTTGTAAGTTTGTAAGTTTTTGGTGGTTGATGTAAAGGGTTGTAACTAATCAAAGACAAGTAACGGGTATAAGTCTGGACAGATTAATCAATACTCATCAGGGAGTCCATCTATTTGATGAATCCCGATAGAATAAAACCATGTCCTGAATCCCACTGTGAGCCATTTTCAAACTTTAACAAATGCTGTTTTCACTGAAGAGAAGCATAACAAAGTTTAGGCATAAATAATACTGAGGTGATTATGGAATCTCAGGTGGATAAAGTAAAATCTTCGAGTATATTGTGAAGCATCACCAAACTTAAATGGATGGTCATGAAATTAGTCTAATGAAACACTGTTATATATAAGAAAGGTTATCATAAAGATAGATATCTTTACTTAACAACTAATTAGTAATTAAGAATGATCAATTACATTCCTCCATTGTAGGATTGAATCGGATCCATTCGAATAGGGCCACCGGTTGTCTATATGAAGACTTATATATTTATATAATATTTTTATAAGTATATTTCAATTACAATACGATTAGTGGACACATTCAACTTACCAAGAAGTTTTGAGCGAAACAGATTTTCAAGCTTGTAATAAATAATGATGAAGCATGTGAAAATAGATCCATTACTGAATTGTAAGTTTTCTGAGTGAATTAATTGATAAACATACAAAAGATAGTGTCAGTAATGTTTATCGATATCAATTTGATAAATTATAAAAATTAAACCTCTTTTTTCAAGAGCAATTTTACATTGGTTTTCAGGAGAACCAAGGAGACTTCCTACGTGTTAGCATTTCGACGTGAACAGTTTGGCTCAATCCCGTGGTGAAACCACACAGGTACCTAAAATCCTGGTGGATCAACACGTCAATCAACATGCATGGCTTGAACAAGCCTATTTGACCCCCCCGGTTTATATGACTGTCATGCTCATTATTATTAGCACCCCAATAACAATGGTCTTCAGGAATGCTGCAAGAAAACCATCAGTAGCAAAGAAATCGGTCACCCTGCAAACCAACTTTGTATATGGACTGTTAGTAATACTTGCCAAAGTAATGCCAAACTATCCACAATGTTCACAACGAACCTTTGGTCTCATAGGAAACCTTCAGCTCATTATAACAATAAAGCTTATGGCATATACATCGTATAGCACAGGATAGTGAGAGATTCAACCCAGCTTGATGCAAATGGGCTCAAACATTGTCATTACCCTTTGTCTCATGTCGGGTAACGATTTTTTCGCAATATCGAAATTTCCATTATTCGACCATAAGAGACCTGAGTTGGGGACAGTATCTCTTATTGATATCATCAGTGTTAAAAAATATAATGTTCAGTAACGGTAATAACATTTTTATAAAATAGTTTGTTCGACAGATTAACAGCAATTGAAAATCAATGAAAACTACAAAACATATGAATCATTGATATCATTACATGGTGTAAATTATCTTCAGGATATAGAAATCTCCATGAAGAGTAAATGTAACAAACAGTACGTACCTTCCAGATGAATCAGAATCAGAATCTGTTACTTACTGACTCAAAAAACCCTGAAATGTAGTGGTTATTCATTGGTAATATCGAATAACAGTGGTATTAGTTTGCGAATAAATTGAATTTTAAAAATGTGAAATGATGAAATCTGACTCAGATCTAAATGTTCAATCTCAACAAAACAGCTATCCGTTTCTTCATTGGCACCTGCCCTAACAGTAACTAGTGATGAACAATAATTACAAACCGGACTAATTTTCTTAAAAATGTTTTTGTCATAATAAACATTTCGCTTGAAATCTATGGCACAATTAATGAAAAACGATAGGAATGATAAACTGTTAAACTCTACATAATTTAATCCAATGAGTTTAAGTTCTAGGGATTTCAGATATAATGACAGACAGACTCTGGTGGTGTTACGTTTTCTGAACTGGATGTTTTGGTTGTGAAGACTCCTATCTGAAGTTTGTGCTGATGATGTTGTTTAGGAGAACAATGAAAGCTTCACAACCAACGAAGCACCACCACAGTCATTCACCTGAACTACAAATTTTCTCCACCATCTGAAGACAGACTTGTTACCGATTTATTAGGTCAGTATATTCTCTGAATCAAATCATAATTTTTGTCCTGTAATACATGGTGTCTCGTTTAACAAAATTGTAATAAATTTTTTCCTACCAAATCATTGAGTACATCGTTATGAGTTCTCCAACGAAAACCTGAATGTAAGGTAATCTCTTCCAAATTTTGTTTTGTCATCTCTTGAACAATATCATTATTTGGAATTATTGGTTGACATTTAACTCCTTCATTACCTTCATTACTATTCGAATTCCAATTATCTTGCAAATCTGGTAGTATTAGTTGACCTTTTAAATAAATTGATTCACCGTAATAAAAGAAACACTAAAAAGTAAAAAGAAAAGTGTAATAGTGTGAAATTCATTGATTGAATGTTACTGCAATGTTTACCATCAAATCAAAATAGCCTGAGGAGATCATCATTGGCTACTAAAGTGAAATAATCTTGTTCGAGTTTTCAATTCCTTGTGGTTACACCGAAAATATGGTGAATAAATTAGTGCATAATTTCGCTCAACCGAAAAAAAAGATGATGATACACTTGAGAATATAGTGATTTTAGTAATCGATCAGATCAGGAAAATAGTTTGCTTTACTTTACAAACTATTTGACAGCAAAATATCCAGCTTTTGTGTGATTTAGAAAGAAACAAGTCAAACCAGTATTTTGAAAAAATTGATATTTGAAAGTTTGGTTTGAATACGAAATTTTTTGAAAAGTTTCTAAGTGTTAGCTTATTGTCATGCCATGTTCCAGTTGCTTTGTGCGCCAGAGCTATAAATGAATGCAGTTATAGTGTGTATGAACTGATGTATGGGGTTGCTAGCATTCGTGGTCTAGAAATCTAAAGTTGGAATGATACACTTGTCTCGATTTCTGTGGTTTTAACAATTTTTCGATTGTTAGACCACTATTAGAAACCCGGAAGCAACGAATGGCTGTTTCGTCCTGGTGTGGGACTCATCAACATTTATACATTAACATCGTTGGATGTCGACCCAGCGGTCTAGAGATTAGGCGCTCGCGCGCGAAACCGAAGGTTGCAGGAGTCATGTATGAGCACTGCTGATTAGTCACATACCAGGATGAAACGGCCGTCCAGTGCTTAAAGGTTTGTAATTGTGGTCTAACAATGATTGATTCATGATTTTAGTGATTAAAAACAAACTCCATAACTCTATAATGATTAATTTTTCGATTCTCAAAAATAATTTCATTGCAAGTTAATGTACTTTTCTAGTTAAAAAAGTTATCGATATGACTGAACGTGAAGTTTATATAGTAAACTGATTCTAGCCAGAGAACCATTGGACAAAAGGAAGCACTAAAGTGCGGTTTCGTTTCAGGATAAGAAAAATTATCAGTGGGTATACAAGACCCTAACCGGAATCGATACTCAGGCCTCACAATAAGCGACAACTTTCAGATTATTTAGATAGAATTCAGCAGTTTGTATTTCTAACTTTGTTTAATTTGCAATATTGTTATTGCATTGCCATTTTGTCATATTGTCTAGTTATATTTACAACAAATTAGGGTAAAACAAGTGTTCCAGCTACAATTTTCCTTGTTCATGTTCAATTTACTGAAGACCGAATAACTATAACATTCTCCGTTTAGTCAACTTTCTGTCAATTTCAACCTAACATAGCAGTTGTTTTTGACACAATTTATTCTAGTTTTGTCTTTTATATTCATTAGAAAATTTCTTTTAAAGGCAAAGAAAAACTTCTCTGATTATTTTCAATGATTAAATCAAAAAAGCCTTGGTTTTAAAATAAAAAGTCTCTTTTATTTTATTATACTTACCTTGGCAATTAGATGAGGTTGTCTGTCGCTCATTGAAAATATATCCGATAATAAAGAGGATACTTCATCAAATGCAGATGAAATAGAATGATCCCACAATCGCTGTTTAGTGCAATCACATTTGTCCAGTGTTTCTGTCAAATTGTCTGAAGAATCTTCAGCGATATAATTTTCGACAGCCTTGATAAATGCAAAAAGCAAGTAGTTTACAAAAAATAAACTAATAGACTGACTGGATCTTAATTCTGTGTTGCATTCTGTTGGGGACGTTAGATCCCCAAACTTCACTTGGAAAGGTCCTAATTTTGTAATTTATTCAGAAATCTTGAATTTCCATGTTTTCGCACCAGTTGACCTTCATCTCACATTTTCCCTTTGGAAAATCCTTGACTGTCATTGGTTGATGGATTATTTTAGCACACTGTTTTTGGCTCTCCCAAAGGCGTTTCTATCATTGTATAAATAAGCTTAATTTGTGTACTTAGACTACTCGTATTTTCTGTATGCTTGTAGAATACATTCTCTACTCCTTATCAAGACTTCTTGATCTAGTTAGCCGGGATTTGGATAAACGGAGTAGAACAGCCTATTGTGTTACTGAGTCATTGCTTTCATTCCGTTTACCGAGTAAGGTGAACTCGTAATAGCATTCAAGCATATCACATTCTAGTTAAAAAGCTGATTTATTAATTCCGTAGCTTGAGCAAGCAAATAAACTTGACTTTAGCATCATACTTATCTTTTGATTTTTTGACTTGAATAGCACAAAGCTAAATGTCAGTAATTTCAATCTCTATATTATAAGTCAGTGAGATGCTCAAATATGTTTCCCTGAATTAAAAGGATATTCATTGTTCGTTGATAAATTATGCACCCGTAATTGATATTGATGATAGCGGTTTGGGATGAAAGAGTCGTTAAACTTATTCGTCCAATGATTTTAACTACGGTTTCATTTATTGAGACTGTGTTTAGGGAATCATTCTTTTATTGTTAGGTTTTTTTAGATAACATAAAAATGAACATTGAAAATGTATGTTTACACCTCATTCAATTAAACACTTCATTAACTAGATAGAACTTAATAGTTTTGTATTGACTTCAAATGGAATTCTAATTTGTGAGTATTTTTTTAAAGTTGAGTCTTCCAAATGTAAACTTTAGAAATGATCAAATACGACTGATTGATTGACTGACTGTGTAGCTAACAGAAACCAGATTGAAAATCTTTTGTTTTCGAAAGAAAAAAGCACAAGTTTGCTGATAAGCAATTAAGAAAAAAAAACGACTTACACAATATAATGGATCTTTTAAAGCATTTTCTTGAAGTTTTGTTTTCATATAGACGATATGCAATTTCATGATGCTATGTAATACAGTGATCAACATAAATTTCACTTCAATTAAATCTCGATGTACTGGTAAACTACATCCTTTTAACTGTGTATAGAAAAGAAACATTTTGAAGTAATATTAGTGTAGATGGTGGGGAAAATTTGTAGCTCAGATGGATTATTGTGGTGGTGTTTTGTTTTCTAAGCTGGATATTTCAGTTGTGGAGCTTTCGTTGTTCTTCTGCACAATATCATCAGCACAAACTTCGGATAGAAGTGAAGTATTCAAATTTCTCCACGTTTGATCCCTGTAGCTTGTTCTGTTAACCTCTATCTTGATTGGCTGCTGTTGACCTTGACGTCTGTGCTGATGATGTTGTTTAGAAGAACAAGGAAAGCTCCTCGACCGAAATATCCAGCTCAGAGAACAAAACACCACAACAATAATAGTAGAATTATTTTTTTAGCTTAAATAAATTTCATATTAATTTTATGTTAGCTCTCTAATGAAGGTCAATTTATACGAGATGGAGTTTTTTCATTTCATTTCTATGTTACTAACATAATGACAGCATGTTTAATTGATTTAGGAAATAAAAAAATATTTGATATATTTCTATGAATTTTCTCGCTCTACTTAACCTTAATGATTAAATTTTTGACAAGATTTGTGGTATAGTTTAATTAGGAATCCATGTATTATTCGATTTCCCACCAGGAAAATCGTTGGCTGTGATTGGTCACTGTGCCATTTTAGTGTGCTGTTTTTGTGACCGTCCCAACGACGTCTCTATGGCGTATAAATAAACGCAATTTGAGTGCTTGGATTCATTGTGTGCTGGCTGGGTGTTTGTAGAATACACTTTCTACTCTATATCAAGACTTCTTGCTGTGTCAAGGGATCGCAGTAGCTTACCTGTTGAAAGCAGTTCACTTAAATACTACAAAGGAAAAACGATCAGTCCTATTTTAAAGAAATATTTTCTTGATATGTAACGATACTGGAACCATGTATTGGTAATCGGGTTTTAATATAAAATGGTAAGGTTTCATTAAAAGTTGTAGTTGAATCAACTATATTGTATGTAAACAGAATGGTTATCATATTAACAAGAAGACCTATTTTAAGTCTGTGAAAACGGCTGAATGTATTACATAAATGCAGGTGAATTAAAAGATGTTACTTGAAACTTAAACCCGTATACTTGATCATATTTTCAGTAAAACGAATAGGTTTCGTAAAATAATCAACTGAATATTCATAATCAGAGAAATTTCACTTAATAATAATAATAATAATAATAATAAATAGATTTGCTTACTTCATCTATGTTACTAAACGATTCAGATAAATTGACAGTTTCATGAGCAAAATTTAAGCATTGACGTGAAATAGTTAAAGCAGTTTCGAATGAATTACAAACAGTAGATGGATGACATGATTTTGTGCGTAGTTTTGTGATCTGTCAAATAAAGACAATGATATTTCATGATGTATTTGAGTGAAGAAAAAAAGATACTACCTTAAGAAAATGATTTGAACAGCATTTAACTATTTCTTTGTGAAAAATGAACTAGCTATAAATTATGTATCACAAAAAACTGATCATGAGAAAAATAACACTAGAATAGAGATTGACATTTGGGTCTGTACAAAGCAAGTTAGTTTGACATCAAAGCATGCATTTCAAATGTAAATATTTTTAACTTCCTTCGTTGATCAGTTCAACAAACTAATTAGAAAAAACTAGATTGATAATCATGCTATCTGTTGACAGTATGGTTGTTTGAATTTTATAGAGTCTTGATGTAACATGTTTAGGATATTAAGAAAACTATTCGTTGGTTGAAGGTGGTTCACAGGAAACCCTTTAATTTAAGTTTCGTGCTAGTTGGAATAGATCAAAAAAAGGACATCTGTGGCGCCTTCACATACATTTGAGTTCGTTTATATTTAATTTGGTTAAGCCGTTCAATTAATTTGTTCAACTGAGCCATTTGTACAGCAACAACTTATATGTACCATTGGTTTTTATGATTGTCTGGTTTGTTTGAGCTGGTATGACTGAATATTGCTTACCGCCTATGTGCATATTCATCCTATTGGCTTTAATGTTAATCTCTTAAACATTTCCATGACTCAGACATTTCCCTATTCATATATATGAACATTCTAATCTTATTAATCAATTCGCCGATTTGCTCATTCACTTGCTTGCTTGCCTTCTGGTACTCGTACATCAGTTTCACGTCTGTGGTCTGCTGATGTATTTGTGGTGTGCGAAATCAACATATTCAAACCTACGTGTTTATCTTCTCATTTATAAACCATCAGGCGTTATTTATTAATGATTGTCTAAATGATTAAATTAAATCTAAGAACACATTGCTCACCACACATCTACAATTTTGAGGGGGCTGAGTAAATTACATGACGTTGTCAGATTACGTGTTCATCACTTAAAATTGATTATCTTTAAGTTAAATAGATAAAATTCAATTCTTTGTACTTTCTCACAGACCTGATTCTGAACACAAGAACACCATGATGTTGCAGAAATTAATGATGACTATTCACCTATCTAGAATCCAGTGTATTAATTCAGAAGACCTTACAGATAAATAACGATCGTTGTTATAATCAGATAACGTTTCAATCTTTTCTGCATGTAAAAGATAGCACTCACTTGTGAGTTTATTTCATGTTTGAATCCTCTAACCCAGTAGGCTAGTAATGGCATCCAGCCTACTCTAAGGGCAGTTCGTTTATTTGAAGACAAAAGACATATAGCTTCTTCGAATAACTTTGGAGCACCATTTGGATTTGTCAGTGAATTTATTGGATGAGATAGTGAATCACATGTTGAGGATTTATCCTAGATGAAAAAATATTTTTAAAATTGAAGATGTGTAGTAGAAAAGCTTTTATTGAACATAGATCCATTCATTAATGTTTGTGTTTGAAATGCATTACATTTATGAATATATCAAAAATATTATATCAGTCAAATAAACAGTATTTCTAAACATAAGGCTGAATGATTCAAAGTTGTGAAATCATGCTACCTTTAGTGCTTTCAACTGATAGTTTACAGACAACTGAATCATCGCGCAATTCATTTTAAGGGTAGGTGGAAGGCCTTAACAGTGAGGTGTAATTAATTAACATGATTACAAAGTTGTTTTACTAGTTTAGGTCATAGACATAAAGCCACAAGCATAGATTCCATGTTTGTCAACAGTTATCCCATCGTGAGGTTAACAGTAGGTTATTTAGTCCAGCTTAGTCATTTGAAATCAGTTTCTCACTTAAATAGGATGGTTACGGGATTGAGCTCGCTTTGAAAACTGTTGAAGAATCTTGAGGGCAAGACAGTTAGCTCTCAGTAATTCCGAAATTATTGTCAATACGTAACTAAGTATTTCTCTACAAACTACTGAACTAAACGGTAATTTGCCAGTTATGTTCGTCTCAGATTGATTAATACTAGAACTGTACCATTAGACACCTGACAAGTGGTATTGATAGTTAGGGGTTCTCTTTAAAACTTTAGAGTTTTGAGTACGATCCTCAGCGGAGTTTTCAGTGTTTACTATTGAGGATTCATATGCTAAAACAAAACAGTTGTCAAGTACTTACTAGTTTTCGGTTAAATACCAATCGAAAGCAATCTGTGACGAACACAACCAAAAAATGAAATTAATCTCTATAAAACTGTCAACCAAACAATACTTATCATTATGAGGGTTATGAAGATTGTTGAATTTTATTGAAATCACAAATCAATATAAAATAGGCAACAATTGAAAACCTGGAATCATGAAATAGCTGTTTAGCCCTAGAGTGGAACTCTTCAGAAGTGTGAATCCAAAACCACACAACCAGAAGCAGTCCTATATTAGGATAAAACGACCGGCCAGTGCTTTCTGGTTTTCAGATGTTGTTTAATCCGAATCAGTTCATGATTTCAGTCGAATTCAACAATCTCTAAAATCCAGTACTGACATTTAACAGCTGCTCACTAGTGCCTTACTTTAAGAGGAAATTTCCAGAGTTCCGGTGAGAGACCATAACCAATAGAACTTAATTTTGTCGGATAAGAGGAAGATATCCATCGAAGACAATAAAGGATGGCCACGCAGTTTTGTGGATTGATTGAATTCAGATATAATCACCATCAGTTTCCGGGCCAGATGACTAGAGGCTAGCGAACGTTATAGGTTTGATCGCTAGTGTCTGGATAGTGGATGCCTACTGTTGCAAAGTTCCAAACTAGGCTGAGACAGCTCTTAAGTTCCCAGACTTTTAGTAATTGCCTAACTTTCGTCGGTTCGTGATATCGTGATATTTGTATACTTTTCTCAGTAATATCACATTATTAAATATAGCGCATAGAATGAATGATGTATGACTTATCCGATGTATGTGCAAGTTTCCCTTTTACGAGTCCCAACCAAACAGAATGAAACGCTCGTCCTGGATTCCAATGCTGGCTACATTACATTAACTAGCATCATAGTGGATATATCGAGGCAATCTACATAGAATGCTCATATGCCAACCAAAACTGATCAAGTTTCGGTCAGAAGTATCAATAACAGAATCATTTGAATCATTTCAAACTGAATGAAGTCAAGTACTGTTTTGTGTCGAAGCATAATCAATGGTAGGATAGTTCTTCTGATATAGAGATTCAACTTTTCAAGCTTCCTTAATGGATTAAATAATTATCATTTAACTAAAATTTGTTACCTGCGTCTGATTTTAGAGGCATTTGGTTTAATATACAAGCTGATACTTGGCATTTTCAAATAGAAATGTAAACAAAAAAAGAAAGAAATATTTATTTAATCGTTTAAAAGTAAATTATAATACCTACCGATGAATTGAATAATAATGTTTGATGATAATAATTCATTTCATCCATCCTAGCAATTAATTGAGCTTTTTTTGATAGAAGTATTCCTTGTAATTTATTAAACCAACCATTTCTTGACTTAAAATGTTCTTTTCTTTTTTGTAAATCATCTATTGCTAATTGTAGTTCTTTGATAGCTGTTTGTATTCCAAAATGTAAAGGAGATGAAGAAGAAGAAGAAGAAGAAGAATTCTCGAAACATTGTTGTTTATCATCATTTATTTCTGATAATTTCAAATCATGTATAGTTAGATTAGGATCATAGCATAAAGCATCAATTCTGATTGATAGACAATCAAACCAAAATGACTCATCTTCTATTTTAAAAGCCTACGTAAATAGAAATAGATGTGAAGAAAATATTCAAAGATTATTTAATAAACATGAAACTTGATTGATGTGGTAGAGAATAAGTATTTTCAATTTCTGTTTTAAAGATGAATTAATGTATCAATCATTGTCAAGTTCGGTAAAGTCAGCAGTGCAATATGCTTGTAAAATCAACTGAAGTCTCGAATAAATAAATAGCCTAATCAAGTTACATTAACAAAGAGATTATAAACAGATCAAGTATTTAATTTGAGTCTACATGATTTAATAGAAGAAATAACAGATAATCCAAAAGTGTAACAATTATAAATATTAATCTATTCAACCTAGAATAACCACTATTTAAAGAAAACTGTTTATATTTGTTTAAAGTAGGAAAGTCAAATGAAGAACTTCTCATGGTGGACTAATATTGATTGATTGATGATTTCAGTGAAACTCAACAATCCCTACAATCCGATGATGAAAATTATGATGTGCTTACTAATGGCAAGCGATATGAGGAAATTCTCGGAGTTCTAGTGAGAAACCGTGACAAGTGTGATGCAGTTACCCACAGAAGACAATGGATGAGGTCACGTAGTACCGTGAATCGGTTGGAGTTAGACATTAACGCCGTTGGATCCCGGCTCAGTGGTCTCGGGGTTAAGCGTTCGCGTGCGAAATCAAAGGCCCTAGGTCCGATTCCCGCATGGCAGGGTCGTGGGTGCGCACTGATGATGGGTCTCATACTGGTAAAAAACGGCCATCCAGTGCTTCTACGTTTTCAATGATGGTTTAACGTTGATCGAATATTAATTTCAGTGAAACTCAGCAATTTTCTACAACCCTGTAATGAGATAATCACTTGTTTGAGTGATCATATTCATTGATCACTGAGTATTATAACCAATGTCATATATATAGATATATATATAGCCGTTAGTGCTGATCGAGTTATTTTAGTCAGATTAGTATCCCGATCGAGTAAAGTTTACTGAATGCTGAATATTTCACAAGAAGTTTTTATGTAAAAATGTTAAATCTGCCAACATACTAACTTGGCAACTTTATTACATTGTCCCGCATATTTATAATCATTCTTAGTGCAATGAGAACAAAATTTCCCTATAAACTTTTAAAATGGTTCTATTTCATATTAATGTTTGTTTTAAAATAATATTTGGTATTTTGGTATACCAATCCATTCCATTGGTATTTTTTTGAATTTTTAAGCAACGTGGGATCGAGGGAATAATTATTATTTTCTACAAAGGATACGGTGAAATGAAGAAATGACAGTGGTCAATCAAAATACTTGAATTCCAGGTGTGGCTATTGTTAATAGCCTACTAAAGCAATTTACATTAACCAGTTAGACACTTATGTTTTTCAGTGAGTTTAATCGTTTCTGTTTTTGAATCGAGAAAATCAGGCGTAAACTGAATGAAATATAATAAATATTTTATAATTTCGGATAGTAAATTGAAAGTAATATTAAGATAAGTAATTGGATGTTTTATTAAACTTAAACATCAAGTTTGGACTTACAAATATTTTCGAAATTAATGATCTAGTTAACTTGTATTGACCTTCAGCTAGAGCTAATCTCGCTCTTGCAAGCAACCAATATTTCATTTGATCGTTATGACGTAGAATAAATTGTTCCGATATACTTAAAAATGTACGTGCATGAGAACATTGACCAATTCGAGCTAAACGATCGCCTATGTCAATCCAACTTTTGACTAAATCTTTAATATATGGATCAGCTGGATTTGTTTTTAATAGTGTATATGCACTAGAGAAGTTAAATAAAAGAGAAAATATAATTGAAAAAAAGATTAACTGACTGAAGGACACTACAATATATATGTTTTCTCGAATCTGAATGATCTTCAAGAGATTTTGTGACTTATTTTTGACACAAGAAATTGACAAACATGGTTCAGAATGAAAATCAATAAAAAGAGAGAATGAGATAAAAGACTATGCCGTTTAAGAATCTTTGCTTACCGTTTACTGAAAAAGTATACTTACTACTTTTGTGTAATTATTGGCAGGCAGACCAACTCTAACATTGGACATGTAGGTAGTAACGTTGACTGTAAGGCAAATAATTCTCTTATTCACCATAGCTAAGCCACTATTGGATTTAAACTATCACGCATTCTTGAGATATTCTATGACTCATTTAGTTTACACTAACATAGGTGTATGCAATACAGAACCTGATAAATCTATGCATTAACTCGACTTTCCACACCATATTAGCACAGCGAGATGAACTTATTCAGACAGACCACCATGTAGTAGAAATATCACTATCAACACTAGTACAGAAGATTAGCTGTAAAAAGAAGTATGAAGAGATTTGGGGATTCAAGAACTAAAGAAAAAATAGAGTTAATGAACTTGCACCAATGTGGATCATCTTAATCAATGTCACCCAAAATCTCTACTTATTGATCAGTATAGTCGTGTTGACCCAAGCAAGCAAACTATGCCTGGCTACATGGATAAGTGCAACAGTTAGTTTATTCACGGACTATTGTGGCGTTTTGCTTTTTCAACTCCTAGTTTTCTTTCAGGCTACAATGCCCGCCTAAAAAGTGTATTTTCATTGTAAAAAACTTTACCTTTGTTTATTTTATTTGACTTACTCAGCAATTTCTTGTTCATTTGGTAATAAAGGATTTAATTTATTTTGATGATTAGTTACTCCAGATAATAAACCTAAACAACAGGAAAGTTCCATAGACCTAAGGGTAAAAATGACAAGAAGATTTACTGATAAAAAATATTGTAAAAGTAATTAAACAAATATTGAGAGAATTCCTACAGAAATAATAAGACAACGTTTTGCTTGACAAAATATTTGTTTTTAAATGTAGATGAAGAAAGTCACAGTCCACAGATATGGTCCAGTACGATATTATTCTATTATCTAAAGTCCTACTGTGTGTATTCGCTACATTATCACATAAAATAGAACATTCCCGAATATACCTTAGTAAAGGACTAGGCGTCCTTTTGTCTACATTAAAAAACATGAGTTAAAATCAAACTTAATTGCTTTTTTAGAAACAGAAAAAGTAACAGGCTACAGTTATTTCCAAAAATTCCTACCTAGAAAGGACACAACTCGTTATGCGCATTTTTTACAAACTTAAATTTTCTATGCCAGAAGGCTAAGTGATTTAAAACAGTTCGCTGAACAACAGATTAAAATGTCCAAATAAAAGTTTTCTGACTAAGTATAGGTATGATTGAAAATATGAAGACAAGAAACTTATAAAATATCTTCCAGCGGTCTAAAATGTGGACTTTTCAACCTAATCACTTGGTTTCACTAAATAACTTATCTGACAAAAAATACCCTATCATCTTATCCAAAGAAACATCTAACTGAAAAATAAAATTGGTTTTTAATACGCAGCTTACTTCAAGTGAATCAGTTTTCCAATACAAGTACATTTCGCTAATGAGGAAGATTTATCATATCTCGCCCAGCTGCGAACGAGGCAGTCTTGGAAGACTAAAATAGGATAACCAAGTTGACCTGGGCCCATTTCAGTTAATAAATCCAACAAACGGTCCAAACACGCCATAGTTATAAGCTTGCATTATGTGTTTTATAAGCAGTAAATACAGAGTTTTTGTACAGAAAAATGTAAATAAAATTCGAAATGAGATAAAAGGTTAAAAATATTCATGAATCTTGTCAAAAGTGGTGGCTGTTTAACGCATAATTACATTGTCGCATAGTAAATCAAAGTGGGAAAGTGATTAAAGTTTGAAAGTCATCTGTAAATTAATGCAAACTAGATAAAAGAGCAAACCATCACTTAAAATAGAACATATATAAGGAATGGCCAAACCCTTCCCTACCATCAATAAGTATTTGCTTATGAAATCAATAAGTATCTGAAATTTTAGGGGAACTGATCTAGCCTTTGAGACCAAAACTGTTTTTACGCAAACTTAACTCCATTTCAACATTTTTTGGATGTTTAAAGGATGATTTTTTTTAAATTCCTCACCATGGCTAGTGAGTTTAAGGCCATTAAAACAACCAAGCATTGATCAACATTTTTATGATGTTTGATGCTTCTCTTTAGGTTGCTATAGGTTAGAAATAGTTTTTATTAGGAGTATCAGTTATTGAAGGTCGTAAAATACCGTTGAATATAGGTCAACAAAAGGACTTTGAATATTACTCTTATAATGATGGATTATAAAGAGTTGTAAGACCACTGAAATCCATGAGGTATTGAAATCTAGGATGGTTTAAAACTGAGTGAAACAATTATAAATTAAGGAAATCATTTCAAGTTACTCATAACACTCATCAGAACACTTTAATTGATCTGAATCTTGCTAGACAAACAAATTTCTTAGTTACCCAAGAATAAACTTGAAATTTTTCTATTAAGTTTCTTAATTGTGAATACGATCATATCACAAGTCAACTGATAGAAAATTTACAGTAATTTAAAATAGGGTCAGAAGTAACAAATGTAATATGATCAGAATTAGGCAATAAATAGTAACCAAACTATTGATGAATTTTTCAGTTATTCTAGAGATAATGTAGTAAAGTAGATGTGATTGGGCTCATTTATCTAATCTCATTACTTTTACTTTCATGTTTTGAACTACTTATTTTTATTAAGTAGCCTGAGTATTTATTCATATACTTCCGTAGGATGGTAAAGCATTTTTAGAACTATATTTATTCAAACAGAAAACTCATTCTAATGGTTTATGTGCATATGCTTCTTAAACTTAATTAATTAATTAATTTCTTCTGTTCTTTACTTTAATCTAAAAATAAGATACTTGGGACAAAAAGTGATTGAGCATTATTAAACACATCAAAATCATCATTAGTATGCGCACGTACCGATCAGAAAACACTGGATGATTGCATGAAATTGCATGATATGTATATATATATATATATATATATATATATATATATATGTATACAGGGAAGAAAAATTAATCATCATTTTATAACTTACAGGATAACGAATTGTCAATGGGTTAATTTGTTTTTTCACAGAATATATATCCATTAGTCCAGAGAAATTAACATTTTCATTTTCTAAATCAAATTCATTAAAATTTGTTGATTTGCTTAGGTATTCTGTATAATTTTTATGCCAAGCTTGTATAATATCATCGGATAATTCATAAATAGACCATTCAATGATTGTTTCCGGTAATATTTTCTTTTGATTAGGATTGTGGTGCTAAGTAAGGAATTGAAGATTAAATAAAACAATTGATCGTTTTTAGGTTATAACTAATGAAAATGAATTTCAGTATATGATCTGTGATATTTTCTATTTCTAACTGATGTTGGCGTTGTCCATTTTAACCCATACACTACTACATATTTTGATAATCTATATTTTTAACTCAGCTTATTTAAGAGTGTTGACTTTTAAAATCCATGAGTAGACAGTATTGTAAATACAAATTTAGGAGTAAATTACGTTGATGATTTTGATTGATTTGAATATGTAGTTTATGATGATGCTCAAAATGCCATGTTACAGTCACATAAACAATGAGCTTATCTGGAAAATTTCGAGTTATAATTAAGTAGTATAGTTTACTTTTAAGACATTGGTTAGTAATGGAATTTAAGGCGTGTATTCTACCTTATTTTGATGTATTGGGACTCATGAATTTTGCCATTATTATTACTCTTTAAGACTATGTTCGATCAGAGACTAGATATTTATACTCCAAGGTGATAAGTTTAAAATGTAAAGGAATACATGTCCTCTATTCCAATGGTCATAGTACGAAATTTAAAATAAAACTGCTCATAGTATACATATAGGGCGTAAGACTAATCTACCTCAATTCTCAGGATTAACATACAGAAAGTAAAAACCTTTACAACCTTGTAAAATAATCTTTTAATCAAAAAATTAACACATTTCGTGAGTTCTCATTGCCTAAAATTAGTTTCCAACACCAATTATGATCAGTGAAAGAAATGCTACAAAACCAAAAGAATCATGGAGAGTTAGTTTTTCTTAGTTTGCAACCTGTTAATAATTCTGAAGAAGTTTAAATCCAATTATCTTTACCTTCCTACTTGGATCGTTTTCTGACAAAACTATTAGTTTTAATCCAGAATAATTTTAGATTACTTGGACTGGTCAATAAAAAGGAATACAATCGTAAAATGTGCTTACTAGTGACTAGCTTCGTGGGGAAATTCTCAGAGTTCTAGTTGAGAAGACGTGACCAGTGGAGTTAAACCCTGTCGGGTGTAGGCAGTAACTACAAAAGCAAATGGGTGAGGTCGCACAAAATCCCTTGATCAATCAGAGTTAGACATCAACACCGCTGGATGCCGGCCCAACGGTCCAGAGGTTAGGCGTTCTCGCACTATACCGAAGGTTCTGGGTTCGGATCCTGCGAGGTGCAGGAGTCGTGGATGCGCACTGCCGATGAGTCCCATTCCCGGACGAAACGGCCGTCCAGTGCTTCCAGGTTTCTAATGGTGGTCTAACAATGATTGATTGGTGATTTCAAATGAGGGAATACAGTCCCCTAAACAAAATATTAAGTATCAAGACGGTATCAACACTTGGTTTCTAAACAAGTATCTTATTACTAACGTATTGGTATAACTGGTACTTACAGCTGAGGTGTAATCACGTATTTCACCAAATTTTATGCTGTGTACAAATCAGCGAGTACAGAAGTATCATTGAGAAGTTTCTTAACAATAATTTTTAGTTAGCCAAAACAATAATACAATAATTTTGAATAAAATTACAACCATTACTTATATGATCTAACATACTTTAGTCTTAATAATGCAATGTCTTGAGTATTTCAGTCAAATAGCGATTACAGAATATTCTGAATCTCGGTAGATTTTCACAGATTTAATTTAGTGCTGAGTTTTATGTGACCCAAAACAAATTCATTGCTATCATCATAAACTTGGTATTTAGCAAATACAAAAGTCTTCTCTCCCATAAAATTGACTTCTTCAGGGTGTTAAAATCGTAGATAATTAACAATTATTTAAACATTGTGAAGATTACTGTCTACAGTTCTTTAATAGCTTGGTACTTCAATAATACTGAAGTCAAAAGAACCATGGTCAGTAAACAGTATCTTGATATTTGTGTAAAATTTTGTATATAGTGGAAAACTTTGCCTTATATTGTGATTTGCAATCTAATTAAGATGGTGAACACCCAGCTAACTCTTGATCAGTCTAAAAAACCAGACAAAATAGAGTGTAATAAGCTGTATTTTTGAATGCGGACGAGTGTAATTACTGTTTATATGAATCTATAAGTGGATAGACTGGCCCTGATGAGAAACTGTAAGCAGTGAACTACTTGTCGGATAACTCATTTATACACTATAGCTCGCAAACTTTTGCCTCACAATCTTTAAATATTATATGACTTGCCTCTTTCGAACGGTAGACTACAGAATCTATTGAATCAAAATTTTTAAAGCAAAATAAACTCACACTTTGTTTTCCACGATTAGTCTCACCTCCACTTGCTGTATTCGATTTTGATCTCATTTTAACTGAAGTGGATCGAGGACTTTTCGGTGATTTTTGGTCCACGCGTGGGCTTTCAATGACTGATAACACAGAGTGCTAGTTGATTTAAAGATAAATTTTAGAAAAATTCAATTGTTTTAAATTAAACCTAAAAATTTTAGTTCGAAGATATTTCAATAGCTAAATTGGATAACCTACCATTTACATGTCAAACTTTCGTTAATTTCTTGATCCCAGTTGCTGAAAGACTTTATTGTTAAGTTTAGTGAGCTTTTTTTAGGTAGTAATTATCACGAGTTGACCTCCTTTGAAGTGGTCATCAAAAACTACGGTGGGGGGAATGAACAATTGTTTCCTCTATATGGGGAATTCTCAGTATGAAACAAAGACACTGCTAAGAATTAAGTCTGACACCTTAAGGTTTCGTTGAGTGTCTTTGGCCATTAGACTATTTAATTGGAATCCAATCGTTCACACTTCCAATGTCATTGCGGGCTATTTGAGTCTAAATCAGTGATTTAATGGTTAAGCGTACAGTTAAGGACCTTAAGGTGTCAGATTTACTTCCTGGTAGTATCGGTGGTACATTCTGAGAAATCCCATATTATAAATAAACGGCCATCCAGAGCTGTTTGGTCTTCAGTGGTATCCCAAGTTGAGACAGTCAGTGGTGAGTAGCACCTAAGAACTAATATGATCTCGAAAACACTCCTCTATCAATAAGTAACTACTGTTTTAAGACTTAATGAGACACAATACAGTCTGAATAAAAGAATCTAAGCATTTGATCATGAATGTTAATGTGTTTACTATAAATTTGTACCAACTTTAGGATAGATGCTCGAGTAATGTACAGACAATTCTAGATAAAAATTATCATCATAGAAAATAGTAGCATAACAATAGTAGCTAGAAAATAGATACACTCATGTTTTTGTAACAGATGAAAAAATAATCATGTTCAAATAAGGCGGGCATCTAAATTAAAAATTTTATTGAGAATTATGTTGTTGATTGAATGAAAATCGTTGAATTTCTTAAAATGTGATACAACAGTTTATAAGTCATTTTATTCAAAAGCAATGCATGAATGACCATTTAGAATTTTTGCATGAATATCGAAAACACCAATCATATTCAATGACTGGACCATTGAATTAGAAGTATTTGGCTAATTTTTCTAATGTTTCGGAGAAAGTATGATCAGTTTTGTTTTCACGCAAAGAAACTATTTTTAGTTGAATTTTATTCATTCAAACACTATGAATATTTACTTTAAAACATTAACATACATGTAACATAGTTTTGACACAATTAACAGCCATGATTAAATAATCCAGTGAATGAAGGTCATGTTCTTGGTCAATGTTTGAATTGTTTGCTTCATAAAACTCCGCTAATAAAACGCATGCTCTCATTAAAATATCCAAATATTGAAGATTTTTTGAATTGAATATAAGTTGATCTGTAAGGGATAAATCGAAAACTGAATACTGGGTTCAACTAGTAGTTGCCTACTTAGAATTGTATTTCAAAATTCGAATACAACCTTGGGCAAAACTATAATTTATGCACGAATCAATTAAGTTTTCAGAAAGTGACTCTTTGATTTTGGAGCTGAATTTGTTAATGTATTTCCCAAATAGCACTTTGTTACTATAGCTGAGGTGGATTCATGATGAATATCCTAATTTTGATTCGCACGTCCAACTTCTGACTCTCAGTCCAAATTCTAATTCCCCATATTAATTAATAACCCACTCTAGACCGTATTGAGTAGGAGAATTTTCTCAGGTCACTTTGTTCCCTAGTTCATAACCTTTCTATTGAGTTTCCGCTTTTGATGCATACTCACGTAGAACTTTATTAAGGAAAGAGTTAACCCTTGTGAATAATTTTTATTTGGGCATATCTTTCAGTAGGTATATACTTAACGATAGCCATATTCCCACGATATTTCTCTGGTTGAACAGAACCAGATAAATGACTAAAGAAAGTAAATGCATTGACCGAAAGCAATAAAGTTTAGTTGAATGCAAACTATATCAACTGAATATCCTTCTGCCGCCTTTGGCAGCTGTTCGTACTTTTTTAATAGCTAGTCACATCCAAGCGACTATTTTGAGCTAAATTAAGTTTAGTTGAACTAGTTAGATCACTAACTAATGTCAAATTAGTATAAGCTGATAGTGACTATAATCATCAGGGTTTTATTTCCGGTAAATAATTTGCTATTGACTAAGGTTAGTCGGTATCCTTGGTGAAAGACTGCTTTGGGAGATTGAACAAATATACCTCATATTTACGGGAGAAGTGACTCAAATGCAATCTGAATCAATCAATGCCGGATAATCTTGCCATAGTTAATGTGATTCAGAGCTTTCGTAAAATCATTTTCAATTAAAATTATCAAAATAAATTACTGACTGATACTTGAAATAAAAATACTTCTTTTGTCATTTTCATTAAACTGTATCATATTTCAGCTTGCATGATTGTACTTTAAAAATCAATAAATTCTATTCCATCTGATCAGAAATTTTTATAGTAAGGATCGTCTGACTTTAGTTAATGTTTTATTTATTCAAGGTTGGTGTTGCGTGAATATTTTTTGTTTACTCACTATGGTTCATGAAGACTATCATACAACCTACTTATCACCTTTTATCTATATCTAAGATTCACTCAAGTTAGTAGGCCAACCATGAGTGTTACTGGATAGTGGTGATAGGGAAGAACTCTATAAAACATTCTAATTACTTTCAGTGATCATTTAATGAATATAAATATATAGCAATGGCTGTCCTATCTTGAATTTAGAATTATAACGTTCCTTTAAGGAGAAAAATAATGAACTTACTATACTTTGATTCATCACACTGATCTAAATCACAATGTTTTCTATATAAGTCATTTAATATATCCACAGCTTCTTCAGCCAAACTTATACATATAGGCATTTCATATCCATGGGCAAATAACCATTGAGCAAATTCCAGTAACAGATCAGATTTTAGCACCCAATAATCGGGATTCTTTAAACAAAAGAAAGAGGAATATAATAATTCAAATCAATCAAGTTGAAGTGAGTTTGTTTGAACCGGTTATACTTTGGAATATTAGAATAATTCGGCTTTTTGTTATGTATCAGCGAATTTCAAATATTTGTATGTTACATTATAAATAAGTTGCATATTGAATTTACCATACTGTCAAGGAGTACTTGATGAATAAGCATGCATACTTGTCAATTCGATCTTCAGTAAATATTCAATTCAGCACAGTAAGTTAAAAAGTGATATTTTTAATCAGCAGATATTGATCCATTGAATTCATTGAATATTATTCAAGCACTGTTTAACTTGGGCAACATTTCAATTATAAAATTGTATTTAAAAAATATTAATTCAAAGAAATAAACACATAACTATGTAGTTGTTAAATAGTTAGTAAGTAAACTCATGTATGAAGTTAATTTTTTTTAAATTTTTGTGATTGACTTGAAACTACTAATTTCCAGTATATCATATGTGGTGTAGATATTTCATCAGCACAGATTTCAAAAAATTTCAGTTTCTTAAGCCTTTTTCTAATATACACACTTTTGATAAGTTTAAGTTTATTGAATTTTGAAAATGGAGTTGTATATCACTAGCCTAGTTGTACTTCAGAAGTAAATGCCTTTATTTTCAAATTACGTTACACTAGTGTGAATAATTTTACAATGTTGGAGAGAACAAACTAGATTCCAGTGGAGGAGGAAATCAGTAAAAAGGGGTGAAAATGGATAGGACACACATTGCAAAAAGCACCGAACTGCGTCACGAGACAAGCCCTCACATGTAACCCTCGAGGCAGAAGGAAAAGAGGAAGGCCAAGGAATAAATTAAGCCGAGAAATAGAGAAAGATATGAAAAAAATGAACAAAAATTGGATAGAACTGGTAAGCGAAGCCTGGAACACAGTTGGTTGGAGAAAACTGGTGGGCAGCCAATGCTGCATTAGGGGTAAAAGGCGTAAGTAAAGTAAGTAAGTAGTGTGAATAAACTTAAATCTGTAGTGTCGTTTCGATGTCGAACGTAAACTCCAACTATTTTGATTCATAGTGAATTTAGCAGGTAATGATCACACCGATCAATCAGTCTTGGCGATAATCTACAATCAGCTACAGAATTTTATTTTTTTATTTAAAAAGAAATCACATTAGTCATGCAAAAATATTTTTTCAGTGAAATCATGAACCGATCAGTGTCAGACAACCATTAGGAACCTGGAAGTAGTGGATGACCGTTTCGTCCAAGTATGGGACTCCCCAGCAGTGCACATCTGTCACTACCGCTCACCGGAGTCGAACCTAGGACCTTCTGTCTCGCGCCAGATCACCTAACCTCTAGACCACTAAACCGCTCAACAGTCTCCACAACTGTATTATGAATATCAAAGGAGTATCTTTTGGAATAAATCACTCATAGCAGCAACATAATTACTTGACTTGAAAAAATGAATAATTTTTCAATTTACTTTTATAGCATCAACTGAATGCTTGAATGCCATTAATTGAACATTGATATCTGGACTAGCATAAGCAATTTCTGTCCATATTTGTGCTTGTAAATATTCTGGTTCTGACTAAGAATATAATAAAAAGAATGTTTACAGAGGAAGATATATAACAATTAAATTGAATTAACTGCAAATATCTGATAAAAAATTATTATTTCGTTTTAGACTTACTGTAGGATATTTAAATTATTGAACAAAGTACAAAGATATCGGACTAAGTGAACATAACAAAAGAAGAAATACTAAGAAACTTTGTTACTTACTTTCTTAGTTCATTTTCAAATGCTCATTTTAATGTAGAAGACTTGTATCTCAGCGCGATGACTTTGGGGGAACTAAATTTTTTGATCTGATTGGATCAATCATAAAACTTTAATCATTTTGTCAGATGATATCATCAGTACAAACTTCAAATAAAAGTATAACATACAGTCTAGTATATACAGTCGATAAAGGATTAACTAATATGATCCATCCGCTTAATTAGATAATGATAAGAACGAATATGCAGTGAGAATACACAGACTGACATTGAATACTATTATTAATCCTGATAAGCGATGCCTCACTGAGGTGCAAGAATATCGACAAAACATACTTAATGTGACTAATAAGACTTGCTATCTAGAAAAATAGACTTATTCATATATGCTTTTAGTCAAATTTGCAATTATAACGGGGGAATGAATGAATATCGGTTGATCAGTTCAAAGCAAGAATAAGTTGTTCAATATGATTACCCTAACTACCTTGTATGATGAGTCGAAATTCGAAATACAAAATATTCTCTCATCAATTGTCTTGAATGTCGATCAACAGTTCAACTACATGCCATCAGTAATGGATTGAAAATAAACTACAATTCTGAATATAAAATTAAAGAAATGTGTTGCTATGCGTTGCAAACATTAAGGATAAACTGACCTAGTGTAGATTAGGTTCATGTCTTTGGTAAAAGTTAGAAATAAAATGTTAAACTAGTAAGCAGCCAGATTATAGATAGGCTGTTAAGAGTGTAAAACAGTTATCAATTAGTCTCTGGGAACTAATTTAAAAAGAAAACATTTCTTTGAATTGTTTTACTAATATATAAAACAAAAGAAGTTTTGTGTTCGTCATTCAAAATGCAAAAACTCTACATAATGGGCTACTAATTTACTAAAGCTTTTTCGTTTCCATTGAAAAACAGCTGTCATGATTCATTCACCTGTACTACATATGCAGTTCCATTTTATTATGGCTTTATATTTTTCGTTAATTTTAAATTTGATAATATTTCTTATCCATTGACTGAAAAACATTTGATAATGGCTACCTTCAATCATCAACTGCAATTAGTGACTCGTTGTTTAGCTCCAACTGTATTTATTATTATTGATGAGGTGTTGCATTTGTTTATCGAAACAAGACTTATTTAAAGGTATATTATTTAACTGAAAGGAGAAATTTGTTAGGATTTTAATTATAGTAAGCTTACTGTGAATTTTTGCATGTCCATTTCTACTGACTGACCTAATTTGGCTTTCGTCACTACCAGTTGACGAAACAGTGACCTAAATATCAAAATATGGTATAAAATACAAGATTAACTTAGTTGAGTTTCACAAAGGTAACAAATAAACATTTTTCAAAAATGATAGCATATATGAGGCATTATGTACACAATAACGTGTGTCGATTTGTCCAAATAATTCAACATATTCTTATTAGTTTCTTCTAATTATACAAAGTATCATTTGATACGCAAATAACCTTTTGAAATAATATCAATTTAACTGTGAATATGTAGCTCTTTAAATTTAAGTACTACTTAGGAATAACTGGTCATATTTGAAGTAGTCATAACTAAGATCAACAGTACTATTTTGTCATCAGTTAATGACCCTAAAAAATCACACTTAAATAGATAGTGTAAGATTAAGGTTACTTTATTTCTTACTGAGGAAAACATAGTCTAAGATCAGCTCGTGAACTAAGTTATAAAATTCACGATTTGTGTGCTTGTAAACCTCATATTTTCTGGATGCGTGTAGAATACACTTTATACGTCTTATCAAGACTTCTTTCTCTACTTAGTGGGGCCTTGGGAAGCCCGGATTAGGGTAGCCTATCGTGTCACTGGGTCATTTGTCTCCGCTTTCGTTTACTGACTAAGGTGAACTTGTATTAGTTTCAAGCATATCAATTTACGAGCATTCAAAATCTTTTTGCGAATGTTAGATTACTGAATAAGTTACTCTGGAATAGGTTCGTTGGAGTATGGGAGAAACTCTTTCAATATTTCGAAATGTATCATCCGTATGTATGTATCTTCCTTAGACCCGTGCTTAATTAGTCAATATGAGGAAACCAAGTGATAAAGCAATTTACTTACATTCTGTGTTTGGTACGTGGTAAACTACTTGTAGCTTTAGCCAGTACTGCCAACGCTTCTGCAAAATTTTCCTTGAGAAAACATAGAAAATAAAGGTAATTTATAATATTATCCCACTATATTCCCAGTTACTAATCTTACGTGAAGTAGTACTTGCACCAAGCATCGGTATATCATAGAAGGAAACATCATCATGGATTTCAGATCACAGTATACCTTTCATTAAAAGTTGTAGAAATTTACTACTGCGTTCTTTAATCTTCAGAGTACATTCATTTTCCTAGTTGGTAATTGTACTTTTCATGTTGTGAATAGCAGATAATCTCATATTTTCAGTATTCTCGAGAATTTACATTTAACAGGTAAGCATGGTTTCACCCAAGGACGTTAGAGCGATCAAAATGTGCGTTATTCTGCAAAGATTTATTGAACATACTAGGCAATAAAAGCTACCAGTTTATATTATTTTATCCTTTCAATACTATCAGGATAAAAACTACCTTGGAATTATGATTCCAGTCAGTATTTCACGAAACTAATCAAATTTATGGTTTGAAATAAATATTTTTGACCACAAAACTAATTTGCAATTAATTTTTGTTGGTGATTCTTTTGTAAGTCAGGACCCATGTTTGGTCTATTACGATTTATAATCATTCATAAATGTTCACTGATATCTTGAGGCAATAATAATCAATTGATTAGAGGAGCGATTAGTAAGTTTGACTGATTGATTTCATTGACTAGGTAATGAAGGACTTATAAAATTTGTGTCCTACAATCGCAAATATTTTAAATGATGTGAATCATGCTTACAGTTGTGTTAAATATTTTACTGAAAACTTTATCTTCCGACTTTAAAAAAATGACTCTTGTTCTAGGTCAACTGTTTTGTCTTTTGATTTCCGTTCATAGCATAATAGTGGTCAATAGTTTGATTATCGTGAGCAATCGTCACTCGAATACATCAATCTGGAAAACCAATAATCGTAATACTAGTGCACGCTTTGTGCAATAACATCTGTTCGATAACAGAAAAATAATTCTCAGTACAGAAGCATGTATAACTGCAGCAAAATGTTTCTGTTCTTAGAATTTAACTTGAGGGTATCCAAAAGATATTGGTTTTTAAACAGCTAATGATTGCTAGTGATATTCACTCTTAAATATCTAAGACCAGCTTCGCTGCCTTGACATCCCTTTTCATCATATGTTTTATTTAATGTGTAAGTCCTTTGGAAATCACCTCATCGTAGCACAGGAATGAAGAAACTACATAAACTTATGTAGGACTATTAATGTCAGTCCGTTTGCTTGATTGTGACTGTTCACTAAATATAATACGGGAAAAATTGATAAACGAAATTAGTAATTTACCTGTTTTGAATAAACATTGTATAAAGCCTGGTACATTTCAACTTTCAGCTGCAAATCCATTTCAAATTGGTTTACTGTAGGGTACGGAATGTCTGCAGTTTCATATAAACTGGAAACTTGAAAAATAGATTAGTATGGAAAAAAAAAATAAACGAGATGAGCATTTTATATCTACTGATTATATGGTGTATAGTGAAGGTTCTACTGCATGACGTCGTGATGTAACAAAGTATTTTTTATATTCTCGCGTAGTAAGTATGGTCGTCTATGGTCATCTGCTTACACAGAATATATGGAATAAGGTTATCAATGGAGTGATCAAATTTCTATCAAAATATTAACGACGGGATAATCCAAAACATTTTAAATGATCATCTGTATTTTCCTTATGTCATGACAAACAAGAATAATCATTGGAAAAATTGTGGTTGCTTTATTATTGATTTCTGGTTGTCTGTCACTAAGATTAATATCATTTATTAACGCAAAATTTGATAAAAAGTCTAATGAATGTCATATTGAGACTTTAATCATAAGTAAATCTACGAACACAGCTTCACACAGAGGCTCTAGACCAAAACTATTGTGTTTGATTCTTGATTTTTTGAAGATACTGGACAGCAAACCTTGTAACATACAAATAGAACATCATCAATGTTGCTGAAGCTGATAATACTTCTTGAAATTCAGCAGACTGTTTTGTGGCTACCATTTCAAAGTCGTTATATTTGAAATTTCAGAACCACAAGTGGTTACTTCGATAAGCTGATCTATCATACTGTACCATCATTAGTGGCCATGTATTTAGTTTTCACAGTCGGGAAGTTACGGTAATCAGATCTGGATTCCAGTGTTCTCATCCATAGATCTCAACACCCTAGGTTGAAAGCATTGCGGAGTTGTGGCAGGCGCTGATAATGAATCTCGAGGAGGAGAACAGTCGTTAAGAATACCTACACTTTCGACTGGCTTTTCAGATTGTTTGATTTCGCGATAAAAGACATCTTCTATTAGTATAGTACTTCTCCGACCGTCTAATCAGATGAAAAATCATTTATTCATTTGTGAATTGCTTCAAAACAGACTTCTCGATATGCTGCTTCGAAAATTAAATCTGTTTATTCAACCAAGTAGATAATTAGGCTCAGATAAGTTTCTTAAAAGCTTTTCAATATCACATTCAGTGTCAATAACTCTTCCTGAATCATCTATCTTAAAGAATATACTAACAAGGAATAACGGGCTTCATTTTCAGTAAAGTTTTCAAAGTTAATTTAATGTAAATATGTATGAGTTGCTTGATGTTATCTCATAGAGTAATCTATTTTTAATATCTGGAAAATACTACTTAAAATGTTTCGAAGAAAAAACATTGAATAAATTAATTTACCTTCTTTTGTATACTTGACTGTGTCCATTAGAACAGATTGTAATTTCAATGTTGAAAACTCTCTCGATAAATCTTGTTTATTTTCATTATTTCGAATTTGTGCTGCTAGTTCATTTCGAATTTCCGTTTTCATACATTGACTCAACCATTTGGTTATATTTTCAATCTTTTTATCAAATGATTCTATATTTTGTAAAACAAGAGTGATTTGATTTGATGGTGCCAAAATTGGATGATTTAATAATGCCCAGTATAGTGCAGATGACATGACCAATAAATCATAACGTCCAATTTGATGAGCGATACTAAAACAAAATGCAAGCTGACATGTAATATCGAAATTTCTAAGTTATAAAAAAATATACGAAGTTTTTTGGGGATGTTAGATCCCTAAAACTCGCTTGATAAATGCCTTATTTTGGATTTCACGTTTGCCAGCATGGGCTGATCAGTTGACCTTGAGATTTCAATTCCCACCAGCAAAATCCATGGCTGTGATTGGCTGCCGTGTATTTTAGTGTGCTATTTTCGTAACTGTCCCAAGGAAGTTTCTATGATGTATAAGTAAACGAGAGTTGTATGCTTGATTGTACTGTGATTGCTGGGTGTTTGTAGAATATACTTTCTACGCTTACAAAGCCTTTTATCTTCAACTTGGGATTCAAGGTAGCCTACCTGGACGCTGGTAATTGTCTCGTTCGCGTTTATCGACTAAGGTGAACTCGTAATAGCTTCAAGCGTACCTAGTGACGAACTCTACAAAGTTTTTAAACAGTTTACTAACATATCAAGTATAATTAGTTTAACCTATCCAATTATCATAATTTTAAATTAATATTTGGTACTCAGAAAAAAATATATATATAGGTCAAAGTAAAAGGAAGTGAATGTTACTTTATAACTGGACAGATAAATCTGATAAATTTTCAGACATAAGATTTTAGATTTTCTTAAAGTACTGTTGGCATATAAAGGAACCAAAGACAATGAATATACAATACTCGATACAAAAATTTAACCATATATTTCATACATCATTTTCTTTCATATCTACGTTAACTACAACTTTCTGTTAGCTTTGTCTGTAAGGCTTTAAATCAAGTCTAGTTTAAAGAGAGAAGATTTTTAATACAATATCAACTGTTTGCATTATTTCTCTTGTTGTTCATTTATTAGGTTTTTTAACGATATTACTCAGTTGTAATAGATACTACTTCGTTCAAGTCGACTTATCTGTTCAGTTAACGATAATGTTGAATGTAAGGAAAATGCAAATTCAAAGTAATTTTACTTGGATGCTTTATAGAAGGCCTCTTCGCCTGCTTCAAATAGGCTATTCTCAATTGATTGACTATCTTCACTCATTGAGCTTTTATCACGCTTTAAACCCAAAAGTTCAACATGTTTATATTTCGTATCAGTTAAACGTTGTTTACCACGCATTTGTTGCTGCTGTTGAGTATACTTTCCACTGGTTTTTAAATTTTGTTGACGTAATAGTTTCATTTGATTTGATATACCGCATACAGCTAAACCTCTTAGACAAAGTAAATGCACTAGCCAATAATTAATATTCACATCGGATTGTTTAATGCCTTGATATAATTCTAGTTGAATATTAGACATGTCAATTATATCTAGAATAGATGAGAATTGTGATGTTATAAATGCTGTCATAGCTAGACGAGTCCATAGTTCAAGTTCTGTAAAACGTTCTATAGGTGTCTGATTTAATCGTAAATCATATTTAATATTACTTTCTTGCTCTTTGACTGTATTTGTTTTACCAGTGGGTTGTTCAGTATGCACATCCGATTTCTGATTACAAAATAGTAATTGCATCAAATGAATAGCCTTGGAGAAAAAATAAATATAAATTGATAATTAGGATTGAAAAAATATTGAATATAAGCAATTATCGCTCAAAAAATAGTGCCAAATTCAAAAGAACTTCTTTTGATACACTTCATATAAAGCATCCAATTACGTGTTCAATGTACAATGACTGAAGTATTCAACCTAGGCTTTTTATGGTTGACTTCTAAAAAGAAACAGTGCTGTCATGTTTTGAAATTACAAAGATGGACAATTACTATAAGAATATCAACTCTTTCCAGAAATAATGCACTGATTGATTTCATTTGTGCAATAAGAATATTAAATTCACCCTTTGAAAATTTTTTGTTAAGTTTCCTATTTGCACCGACTATCATTACATTTGATTTCTGAATCACCACTAGCTTGTGTTATTGAAATTCGCTGCATTAAAATTTGATACTCTGTACTATATTAATAAGACATGTCAGTGAACTACAGAAATCACATTACTATGTTCTTTGGATTGGGTAATCTACTAAATTTTTTATCATAAAAAGTTTCACCGATATATTATAAAAGATTCAGAACAATATTTAGAAGTCTATATACATAATATGAGCATAAAAGAGTTAAATTAAAGTAACGATAAGAATTATTTGTTAGAACTTTTGGAGAGAATAGTGAGAAGAAATCATCTGTAACCTGTAACGAGTTATGCATCTGACAGTTTTAACCACATTTTGTTATTAATTGTAAAAGAATTGTAAATTTAAAGATACTTTTACTGAAAATCGAATGACTCGAAGAATGTGTCACCAAATAGAAGAAACCAAACATTTATCTAGATGTTTTAAGCAACCTGATTTTTGAATTGTCGTAGACGAAAAAGTAACTTGACTATGAGTAGTTTCTATCCTTCCACGCATTTAGTTTATTATTCTAAATACCCCGGGTCAACTTTCATTTGTTATTTGTTCGGTTAACAGAAAAGCTATGATAAATTACCGAAGAACCATACATTTGATATACAAGTAATCAAACAGTCAGATAAGTAAATACATTAAATGATGAGTAGTTACCTCTGTCAGTGTTGGAGCATCTTTAAATCCAGCTAATACATCTCCTTGTTTCAATGGTTCAGCTGATGTCTGAGTACTTTGTTCATCTATGAGTTTTGAGACTGCAGCAGGCCATTCAGATACATATTTATGCTTATTAGTAAGCCATAAAGAATGCACTGCTATCAGTGTACGAGTTATTAAAGTTTCTAAGTACATTTGAGCTTCTTTTTGATTAGTTAATACAAGTTTACGCGTTTGACTATCAGAATCTAACATAGGATTTGTATCAGTATAACTGATAGTTTCTGTTGAAGGATCTAAAGGAAATAGACCTCGACATACTGGAGGGTTGGTAATTAACTGTTTCGCTGATAACCAACAAACAATTAAAGATGAACGTGTGCTGATTGGTACAATTGGTTGTAGTTGACAGGAATCATCAATATTTTGTAGTAAATCCAACCTATTTGGTTCACATAGTTTTCCAGCCACTATTAGCCAGTCTATGGCTTTTTTAATGTAGGTCTGTCCTTCAGCAGGTGCCTGCATTTAAATAAAAATAAAAGTCGAATAACAATTTTTGAAATACTTTGTTAAGTTAATAAAGCTGAACAAAGCAGGCAAAATAGGAGAATTGGACAGTTATTCATCTTATCAGTCGCACAAAATCCATGAATACTGCTTCAGATATATGTGTTTAAAGGAAGAGGTAAGCAATGTTAAATGGATTCAGTAAATAGTCCAACGTAAAAATTTTGATTTACAAAAATAGTGTACAAACAAATCTGTTGGTTGACTAAACATGTTCAAATGTTCCCTAATTATTTGAGTAAGTTTTTACGGTTAGATAAATCGGATTAATGGGTTATCATTAATGAGTTAAAGTAATTCGATAACTTACAAGATAAAAACTTGGTTTGGCTGATTTTCCTCGGCTTACTTTCTGGCTTTTCTGTTGTGTAGTAGGTTGTACAGGTTTAGTTTTTTCATCAGTAGAAAAATTCACTGGTTTCGGAAGCCAAGGCTGAATCAGTCCATGAGCAAGTACAATGGTCATTTCAATATACAACTGAATCGGTAGACAACTAGATCCAATTTTATTTGCATTCTCCAAAATCACCTAGACAGTTTGTAAATTTTGAAAATAATTTTAGCCATCATAACTTTTCATAAAATAATGAATATGAAATAATATTGGTTTAAGATAATTAGAAATAATTTAGGTGTAAAACAAATGATTTACTAGTTATGCATTGTGTAAGCTGATTTTTTCTTACTGTGACGCTTTTACACCTAAATTTTAACATTCATTAGAGCAAATTAAACAATAAGACATCTTCTTGAGGTTAAAATCAATAAAAGACTAACTCATAACGAATATCTAAACCATGAATATTTGTAATCGGATACTGTGCTATTTTAATAGCCATCTACAGTCTTGTAAACTTTTTCGTCAACTATAATCTTGGCTTAGCTGGTTTGCAAACGGGTTCATCGGTGACGTTTAATGTTATTCACTGAGTGATTTACATTCAAAGCTTTTAGCATTCTCCAAGTTGCTTCAACATAATGTTTGAATATTTTCCTAGTTTTCTACTGAATATCAATTCTTCATGTATCTTCAGCTAGTATCTGTTGTTTGGATGAAATAAATAGTCAGCTACTTTAAGAAAAAACTATTTTTCACTGTTAAAGCAACAAAACCCACTAAGATCTGTCAGAATTACTAGCCAAACAAATAGATCCAAGTTGCTTATTTATCTATCAAGACTTATTGAAAATATGGTCGATCACAACCCTGGTTACAAATACTTTTCAGAAACATTAGTGTTCATTCTTGAGTTACCAGTCTTTATACACAGATGAGTCTTAAATATATTTTGTTGTGAAATCAGTAACTTTTATTTACCAAATCTATCCAGTATATGAGTGAACTGAAATATTAAGAAAATCTTTTAAAAAAATAAAGAGTAGATCATTTTTGTTCTCTTCAAGAATTATCATCATTTATGACATTTCACTTGTCTATCCACCAGTTTTCCTCTTTCGAAAACATGCTTGGAAGTCTCAAGAAGTCATGCTTTTGCTCTATCTCGTTTCTATCCCAAATGGTGCCCTAAAATTGTGTGGATAGATGATTTTCCATAATTTAGTTCATTGGCCCCCATTATCGAAGTAGTGAATTTGTGATTGAAAACTCAAGAAGTCACATACATTTGATTTTTTTTTAATCGAACATTATTCTTACAGTCTTTCCAGCCCTTGTTTCGATATTCTGACTGCTTGAAAAATCTGTTTTCCACTATGAACTATTTTGATAATCAGCCCTTAAAATTTCATAAATATTGCCCAAAACTTTACTATAAATTATTGTTTTACATGATTTTAATCAAATGACTGAAGAATAAAAACTGCATTCTGTAAACGCTTCATCAGATTTCGATGCTGGTCAATAGAATGCAGCATTTAAACTTGACAGGACTTGATGACGTCTATTCGAATCCAACTGCAAACGAATTATTATCATGTTGTGGAGTTAAAAGAATGCAATTTGAAATTCTTTAGATTTCAGTTAGTTGATAATACTTAAAGAAAAAATATATATTTTTTAGTTATTGTACAATTCTATCTTAACTTAACCTACTGAGAATGTAGTAGTTAGATGACGATGATCATTTTGACATATACTTGGAAGACAATAATTCCATACACATACAGCACATGAATGCAAATTATGTGAATCGACTATTCTGGCAGATAAAACAGCGCTACGTTGAAATGCTGATAATGCAGCTTCATTGACATAGCTGAACCATTCACTAAAAAATATGTTAAAGCGAAAAAAACATTTGTTTAAATTTAATATCGAATACAATAAATAAATTAACTGATGTAGAAATAAACAGTAAATAACTTGGACAGGACGGCTTAAAGTAAAAGTGACTAATAGTTTTCTCCATCAGTTTATTACACTTAACTAAAAGGTAAGCATAGGGATAGCCAAAACTCAGTTTAGAATCTTAAAAGCGAGCTGATCAATAATAAGCAGTGATATGTACATATTTCCTCTCTAAGTAAAACAAACGAGTGACACGAAGCTTGTTCATTATAACTGCTCTGATTAATGGCTCAGATTTCTTTAATACTAATATATACTAATGAGTTGTCTAAAATAGCCTACAAATCAGTATTTGAAAAATCAGTTTTAACAACTGATTATTCGAAAATTCATCGGATCAAATGTTGCCATGTTGAATGTTGATTCGGTAACATCCCTAAAGCTTCATCAAAGTTAGTTGTACCTGTTCGTCGGTACTTTTAAACAGATACCAAGTAACTAAGAAATAGATTGTGGCTCTCAGCATTTCACATTAAATTTCATGATATTTTAAAGACGAATTTAAAACAACTTTGGATAATGATTTGATTCCATGATGGATCGAATGATAGCTGCTTCAGTGAGGAAATTTCAGTGAATAACGCATAATAAATATTTGTAGCTTCTTCATATTCAATGATATAAAATTCTCATTCGGTTGTAATAGGCAGTGATATTATTATTTTGAAAAAGCTGAAATAAATATGGTAGTGTTGTTATTTTTTCGAAATCTCATTGATGAACATAATTTTAAAGTTACAAGAATAACATGTTTGTCCATAATTTTCAATAATACTTTAAGTGAAAATTACTTTCATACTATATTATATTTACACATTTTTGAAACCATGAATCGGTCAATGTTAGACCACCCTTAGAAACCTGGAAGCACTGGACGGTCTGCGAGGTGCAGGAGTCGTGGATGCGCACTGCTGAGGAGTCCCATACCAGTACGAAACAGCCTTTCAGTGCTTCCAGGTTTCTAATGGTGGTCTAACATTGATCGATTCATGGTTTCAAAAATGGGTAACTTAACAATCTTCACAGACCCGTACTGTATATTATATTTGTACAAAAACCATTGAACTGAATAACTTGCAAAGTTGAACAAACTAACCAGAAATTTTTCCAGTGTACATTATATTCATGCTGTTCTTCAGCTTTTCTGACGTTTCTGTCATCATTACTACTAACTTTATTGGTCAATAATGAAGTATCAATCCAGGTTGGATTTATATTATTCATGCTACCGGCCAGTTGAATACCACACATTTGTTGACGTAATAAAATACATGCGCATTCAGCGAATATACAATAAATCTGAGATAATGCACTATATAATTTCAATTCAAAACTAGTGACAATATCAGGATAATTAGTAATGTTACGTGGATTCAACTTTGATTTGTTTGCTGGATTTTGAATATCTGTTTTTGATGCTATCAAAATGTAAACAAAATTGATAATAAAATAACTAGGTATTTTTAGTAAATATAATGTAAATATCAGTCAGTAACTAAGACCAGGTACAGAAATATTGACTTTAAACCATACAACCAATCTGAGAAGTACTGATACTACGCGACTGAGCAAACGGTATTATAGAGGTATTCAGACTTACCATCTGGAAGTTGAAATCATATGGTCTAACCACTAAAATATCGCTTCGCTAACTGTTTATCTTGATTTAACTCTCTAAGAATAACATCATGGGATCTTAACTGCAACGGCATATACATCATTTCTAATGGACACCATTTTTCCAGTTCAAATTTAATTACTTTTTGAAATCATGAATCGATCAGTGTAAGACCACTATTAGGAGCTGGGTCCCGTCGTTTATTTATAACTCCAGTCAATCCGCAATATAGCGCGATTATCAGCCAAAACGTTTGCTCCTAGTTTACACTTCTTACATATTTAAACTTCGGTGTTCAAATGTACCTCATATGCAATCAATCTGTGAAGAATACTGCTAAGGAGTTAAGTGAATCTTCACAAAAACCTTACAAACCTAACTAAACTCATAAGCAAAGATAGGTAGTGGCTAGCAGTGCGATCCAGGACGCGCGTTTTATTCTCTTCAGGACCCGTCAGATGAATGTACCTACATCCCATAGTTGACGTTTACTCCAAGACTCGAACCTAATGTCATTCGCTTCAAACACCATAGCGTTATCTATCTAGCTATTGGGTCGAGACAGTCACTGGCTTTTGCAACGGAGTGAAGTTTAGCTCATTTATATCGATAGTTTAAATCTTCTCATTGGTAGGATTGCAATTCATCAATCTTATTTGGCATATATGCATCCTATATGGATTACCTAGATATAGCTAGTAGATCACAAGCATTATGAACGGAGATAGGTTCGAGTTCGAAATGAACATTAACTCTGAGATGCAGGTACATCCGGCTGATGAATCTTAAATAAAACGAAACGCGTATCCTGGATTCCACTGTTAGCCACTATCCATCTTTGCTTGTAATGCATGTGACTTAATGGCTATATCGAGGTGATCCGCACAGCATGCATATAAACCGAATGTGACTGACATATTGTATTCCTTATTATCAATAGGAAGATTCATTCTACCAATACAAATGAATGTAACCAAGACAAATTCACAACGCTTGATTGAATAGTAAAACCCAAATAGCTTTGAACAAATCTACTCTCTGAGTTCCTAAATTTCCTGGGTTCGACCACTGCTGAGGCCGTAAATGTGCACCATTTATGAGAAAAGTAAAATGACGTAGTTGTCCAGAGTTACCTAGTGTTTAATGATCCTGGGTGGGTGCTCACTGCTGAGGAGTCCTATACTAGGATAAAACGGCTGTCCAGTGTTTTCAGGTGTCCACTAGTGATCAGTAGTTTTAACTATGGAGAAGTTAAATAATTTAAAGAAATGAGATCAAACGAATTTATTTTCTAAGTTTTAGTAACTCAAATGGTTTATCAGTACGCAAAAATAAAAAAAATCCTTCTGAAATTCAATCGAACCTACCAAATTGAGTATTTAAATTTGTATCTGTTGATTTTAAGTTGGTTGTTGGACCAATAACAGGTTTAACTCGAGTAGCTCTTTGAGTAAGGAATAAAAAGAAAAAGCCTTTTCATTTTATATGACAATAAAATTTTTTAAAAAATTCGTTTATTTTAGTTTCTCTTGACAATTTATTAGCCGTTTTTTCGTGGTCATTGTAGAGCAATTGTGTTTTTGTCGGAATGACTTTGTGGAAATTGATAATTTGTGATAAGTAGACAAGCTCATAAATTCCTGTAATTCAGTGTAACACTAGGTTTTATTTCCAGTGTAGAACTTTATAATGGTTTTATCCTCAGTGTAATATTTTAGTCGGGAACATATTAAATTTACATTTTCCTGTGTAACATTATTTCTAGTTAGTATGTTTCATGTTAATTAAGTGTAAATTTTATTCTCTTTGGGGGACATGAATTTTCTCCCAATGTACCAGTTACATTATTTTGTATAATTATGTGTAAACTTTGTGTGTGTTTTACAGTGAACCTGTGTATCTTTTCATTGATATGATGTTTGTAAACTAATTATCAGGTGCATGTAAAGTTAATATATTTAGCTTAAAATTGACGTGATTTTGGAGAGTAAATAAAATTTTCATTTGTAACAATCGTTATGCTTCCAAATTGCATCGCAGGAATGACAATGGTTCTCATTTCTAAATGTAAGCAATAGAACCACAGATGTTGCAGATATTAATTTATTTTGTGGGTGACATTCATCATGAACAGACTCCATTATTGGTACTACTGAAAACCGGAGAGTACAAGGCAACTGTTTCATTCCAGCATGGGACTTCATACTAATAGGTATGATAATTAGCTGGTGAAATCATGAAGAATTTCATTTAAACAAAGGGACTGAGTTACCTTGATGATTTAACTAGTGATAATTCATAAACGATGGTTTCTTGGCAGTCAACCTGACAAATTTCACAGTTTAAATTATATTCTAGAACATATTGGCAGCTGAATCTACTAAGTGATATGATGAAGAGATAGTATTTGACTGCATAGTTCACCTGTATTTAATGTGTAGATCATGTAGAAACATACTCACACATTCGATCTCGTCCCTAATTAGTTGAACTTTGTATCACATTTCGATTTTACCAGTCACCTATACCATTATTCGAAAAGAAACTGTCAGTGAGTATATTTCATAATTTGAACACAACTCACCGATACTGCTCTAATTTTCTTAGTAGTATGTTCCAGTATGAATCATCATCGAATGCTAAACATAATCGGCAAATGGTTGAACACAAATCCCACATTTGATATTTCTTAGCTAATTTGATCAAATCGAACCATACAAGTAATCTGTAAGCAGTAAAAATTAGATGGACTTATTTTTTTGATTTACAATATCATACTACTTAAAATAAGTCACTAAAAATAACTCAGATAAATATGTAAACAATTCAATATAGCCACAAGTTGATACAGAAAATAGTAATAGTTTATCAGAGATAAGTGATGAGTAAGTCCTTATGATGTGATTACGATTTATTCAAAATTAGTGGTGAAGTAAATGAGTCTAGTGTTTTCAATCACAGCCTTAGTATGAGATGTTATGAAGTTTACGAAAAGTGTTTAATCATTTCGATATTATGTAAACTTATCAAATCACAGTAAAGAATTTGTACCCTATTAACATACTTTTTTGGTTGTAATGAGTCATGTTCGACTGCATTCGATTTGTTCAAACAAGCGATATTTTTTAAGTTTTAATGAAAACTGTTAAGACAAATTTCACTTGACCCCAAAATATTTGATAGTTTAACCTATGTAATTTTCTTTAATCCTTATCACTGACAGAATTAACAAAGTTCTAGTAAACAGAAGTGTTTACGATCTTAGTAGGGAAGTCTTGTACGTAATTTTTCACCCCAGAAAATTATAAGATGCCAGGGATGTAATGAATTGTATGACGGGGTTGTGAAGATTGTTAAGTTACACATTTTTGAAACCATGAATCGATCAATGTTAGACCACCATTAGAAACCTGGAAGCACTGGACGGCCGTTTCGTCCTGGTATGGGACTCCTCAGCAGTGCGCATCCACGACTCCTGCACCTCACAGGATTCGAACACAGGACCTTTGGTATTATAGGCGAACGCCTAACCATCGGACCACTGAGCCGGTATCTAACGGTGTTAATGTCTAACTTGACCAATTCACGGAGTTTCAAAAATGTGTAATGAATTGTTTCTTATCATTTAGTAGCTGTTAAGGTACTGATTATTTGGCTACTAATCACGAAGTATATCATCCAACACTCGCGAGGTACTTACATTCCATCAATGAACAAGTTGTTGTAAATCACCAAACGATGTGAACTAGCTCACACCATTTGTTTGTATTTGATAAATATGATCTGGATTTTACGAAAATTGGAAAATACTACTTATTTATTACCTAACTACTTAGAGTTCTCATTATTTTTAACGGTAAATCAATTAATAAAGATGTTTCTCATAATATAAAAATAGAGATACACATCTGGTGAGTCAATAAGATTCAAAATAAGTAGAGTAATAAGATTATAAATGCTCATTATAACTGTGTACTTTCTAAACTCACTTGTCATGGATGTTTATCAACATTAGGAGTTAGGTTATTTTAGAAAACTATACATTAACAGCCTTTAGTTTATGAGAAATGAAATGAGAGGATCCATAAAACCTAATTGTCTTCAAACTGGACCTAATCATAGAAATGCGTTCTAATGAGGAGCTCATTCAAATTCAGGATTGGTGTGCACAACTATCTAGATCTTATTGAAATGCACACTAAACTGAAATATTATATAACAAACAACTATTGCTTACTTTTCATTTATTTCATATTCAGCATTTGTACTAATCACTTCACAATGATGCTTAATTGTATCATTAATTTGTAACCATATTTGTTTGTAGGAACTTATTCGAAAAAGCAGTTCTTTATGATTTTTATGTTTGTACTCAGAAAATAATTTTGAACTACCATACTGAATTGTTTCATATTTAAAAACTTCTTCAAATATATTTTTATCAACCAGTTTACTGATATGAATTAATAAGGTACGCTAAAAAGAGGTTGTATGAAGTAGAAAAACGTTCTATTAAATATGAAAAAAAATCAGCTGTCAAACATCTATCAAGATAAATCTGAAAAACAGTGATACTTTAATATATTAAATGTTACATCGACAATAATTAATGGTTAAGAGGAATTTTTATCCAAGGTTTTGAGTTCTCTGCGCTAAACAGTGTAATTGTGAAGCTCTCATTCCTGATGTTGACAACACTTTTGGGATTACTTCGTCTGATATTATATATATATTCTACTTTTCGTCTCAGATTCATTTCGTGCTATTCAATACGATTAGCCCCTTGATTAGCTTATTCTAAAGAATATAGAGGGAAATATTTCAACCGCATAAATAAAAATTAACTGATTTGGATAAATCAGAGCATCCAAATGCAGGATATTGCACTTTTTAAGGATACAAATTGGTTGAAAGCAGTTAACAGGAAGTTCTGTTTGACCTAGTTGGCACATGGTCAACAAAATATGCCATTGTTCTTGAGAAGACAGATTGCTTTTGTGAAATTCCAACTCGCGCCATCCAGTTTGACAGTCTAAGATGTTAATACTGAGCATTTTAGGAGGCAATTAACTTCAATAATGATTCTGTGTGACATACATGTCTTCCTTCTACACCTTATTTAGAAAATTTCTCATTTCTTATTTTGTCATTAATTCCTCTTCTTTCAATATTTGTTTTATTTATTTTTCCTGTCCTAAAGATTTTACTTTTTATGCATTAGAATCTTAATTTGTTGACTATTGAATTTGTACAGAAAAACCATTGAGCTTTAAACTCAGTGACATAACTTAGTCTCGTTCATTACAAGACCTAAAGGTATTGGGACTCAAATCGTTATAGGTTCGTAGGCGTGTTAAACAAGAGTGAGCGTCCTGAGTATTAATGGTTTCCCTGATGGTTTCAGACAGTTGTGAAATATTTTCTTTGTTCTCCTTACTGACAGTGGATGATTAATACTCAGTTTATTGGGGTCAGTAAATAAACATTAAACAAGATACGGTATTCATAAAAACTTACCAACAAGTCAGTAAAGTCACTCGATTCACATTCAACAAGTTCATTATTATTGTTATTATTATTATTAAAATAATTAATATGTTTTAAAAGTTTTGTTATTTCAGTTGATGATAAATTATTGGTATTTTGAAGACGTTCAATAATTTGACGTGCTTGGTCAATTGTTTCATTTGGTATTTCATATAAATTTGAACGTAGTAATAAACATTTTTTGAAATAATTTAAATTGGCTACAAACTCTCCTGTTTCATCGAATTTCATAGCCTAAATAGAAGGAATGACATGAAAGAAGAATTAGGAATACAAATCCATATTTGAACGAATTCACTATGCAATAATGGTCCTAGTTTTTGATTTCATTCTTTGTTTCGGTGTATTGTAGACATGTTACTGCCTTCATTTAATGTCTCCATATGTATGAATTGTTTGAAATATAATTGACCTGTATATTGCTTACTGTATTTTATAATTTATCTTAGAAGTGGTTTCACTATGTTTTCGAAAATAGCCTTCAGATAAATGAAGAGAGTTCAGTCATCAAATCCACTGCAGGTTGAGTGTGGAAAATTCTTATTTTACTTGTGCTATTACTTCACTTTAACTTTCTAATTTAACTGTTGATTGTTCTAAAGTAATATTGATTATTACCTTTACATGCAATTAATTTCAAGAAAAGAAACATTACAGCCATATTTCACCATCATTGAAAACCTGAAAGCATTGGATGCTCGTTTCGTCCTAGTATCGAACTCCTCAGAAGGGTAAATTCACGACCCCACACGCATTAATCGAACTCATTAAAAGGGACTCAGCGAAGTTCAGAACTTTTCACAACTCTATGATCACAAATATCATGAGTTAACTAGGGGCTAGCTTAGAGAGGAAGTTTATGGGTTCTAGCGATTGTTCAACCAGGTCGGACGTGTGTCAGTCACTAACAGGAGATGGGCTCACAGTCTCATTGGTTGGTTTAAGTTAAACAATAAAAGTGACGGATGTCACCTAAATAATCTACAGACTAGATTCTCTCATATGAGACCGAAGGTCCTTAGTCCGATTCCCACATTTGGAGTCGTGACTTCTCATTGCTGAGGAGTACTACGAAGGAACAAAACGGCCATCCGGTGCTTTCTGGATATCGATAGTGGTCTGACATTGATCAGTTCATGATCTCAATGAAATCCAGCTATCTTTACAAACCTACGCTTACAATAAGAGCTATAGTGTGTTAATTTTCTGTTTCAGCTGTTTTTCTTAACCCATTATTTAGATCATCTTTGGCTATCAAGATTGAAATAATAAATGTTTACTTTTGAACACACCTTTGTGCTTTATACCTGATTGATCTTCATATTAACACACGTATTTGAGAAAAGTAATGTCGGAAGTTTTCGATTGAATTACTTTTGGTCAATCATATTTTGTTAGCCATTAGCATAACTTATTTTCCATAATAATCCTATCCTATACTGGCAAAGTTTTTAGAGTTCAATTTAGTTTGTACAAAACAATCGATTGAGGTTTGAAGTGCTTACTTAAGTATATCAGTACCTAGTAATTTGATGGTTAAGCACTTCCAAAAATAGCTGAAACTCCTAGGTTCCATTTCTGAAGTAGTATATGAAGGCTTGTGAGGAGTTTCATATCAGGATGAAACAGCTATTCTGTAATCCTTGGTTGTCAGTATTACCGAAACCAATGTAATTATTGCATTTTTGTAAATATGCAAGGTAGGCAGTGAAGATGGCCACTAAATAGAACCCAAGAAAATAGACAGTCATTTTCTGGCGTAACGAAAAAAATCTGTTTTTTTTATAGCAATGTATATTTAAAGTGTTCAGCTCGTAAAAAAGATACTGACGTGTTGTTGTTGAACAGTAGATTAAAAAAATATTTAGAATTCTCCAAAACTTCAGTAATTTCCTGATCAGACAGAGTTCTATGATAGTAGTTTGTAAAATTAGACATCATAAGTTAGAAAACCGTTGAATAACTAAGCTTTATTGAAATAGAGATAATTTTACTGAAGTGTTGTATGATGTAACCAGTGCGGATCATTCAGTTACACAGAAAACATGATGTTATACATTGTAGAACTTCGCATTAGGCTGTATTTAAAAACTGGCACTAGTTCGTTTTGGTAAACATTAGTTCCCAAAGATTTGGTTTTGCATTTATGTAATACTAAGCTGAACGATTGTAGGACGTGAAAAGACTAAACTGTTTCTGAAATCTATAATTCTATTTACGCTGATTATCAGGTATGTTTTTCCAAAATATTCACTTCATATGCACAGCTTTAAATTTCCAGATTAGTAAATAATATCCTTATTACTTACTATTAATTATAAGTAGGTAACATGCTATGTTATAGCTGTCCATCTACCAATGGCAATGAAAGTAGATGTCTTTTTGAAGAAAAAAACAATGTATTTATCATGGTGAACTTACATTGTCAATACTTTCTAAAGCCTCCGTAATTTGTTCCATGTCGGCTTGACAATAAGCGATCATCATATGCACTTCACATCTTAGGCGAAAATATAAACTGAAAATATATTGAAAAATACTTATTATGTACTTTATATATTTATATATTCATCTTATCTGATAAGAACACATATTACGCTTTCACTTAATCATTCTTATACTGTAAATATTATTTGGGGTTATTAGGTGATCAAAGGAAACTGTGTCACGGAATTTAAATGTTTCTCAATTCAAATTTTTTTAGTTGATGAAGATAGAATGAATCGCATGACAACAGTGTTACTACAAGTTTGGATTGTCAACATTTATGAAGACTGTCAAATACATATTCTATACTCCTAGATTACATAGTTTATAGTATGAAGATGAAAATAATTTGAGTTGCATAAGCTTCTTGATACTTTTTCAAACAGCTTGCTGAGAAGCGTTATTCGATAATATTTGATTTATACTAACGGAATAAAACTGCCAATATTTATTGTTTCACTAATTAGGTGTTAACATTTTCTGCCTCCAAAATTTTTTAAAACATGCTACTTTCTAACTGTAAGCTTCAGTAAATATATATATTTCATATCATTTCACACTTAGTGGTAAAACTAAAGTGATTACATCGCATTAAACAGTCAGTAAACCACTTTGGTGCTATTACGTTATTTTTAATTGAAAATTTCACAACTTCACTAATCTAATTGATTAGTACCGGTGAAAACAAATGTGAAACCATTGAAGTAACTGGTTTTTTGGTTCAGTGATAAATATGTTAAAATCGTTTGTCTCACCTATCTTGTTTAGTTAAATGATGAATAATCAGTTGTAAACTTTTAAATGTCTTCAATCTATTCTGTGAACTGTGTTGTATAAGTGGTGAACAGAAACGCCATAAAGTAAGACAACCTTGAATAATTGTTTCTGGTTGATGTATAGAAGAGGATAGATATTGTTCTAACAGATTATAACACTTTTGCATAGCTTGGTAATAAACCTGGATGTAAATGATTAGAAAATTTCATAATTTATATACATAATTTATACAACACTGTGGCGCAAGAAATAAAAAAAGACAGTAAAATCAAATTCAAATAGGTTATATTTCATTAAACAAGAAACTTAAGACTGTTATTTTCATACATCCTTCGATGACTTAGTGTGACATGCATGGTGATCAAAGAAAATACTCAGAAATATCATAATTTTGATAATTTGATTACATGAACACGTTTCGATTCCTTTTAAGGTTAATAAAGCAGTGATGAACTGAACAGGTTATTGGATACCTATCTGAATAATCTTTTTTGTCGAAATTTGTTAATACTTCAAAATACTACCAAGTCAATAAATCATTGAGTTCTAAGCCCATCCTGGAATTTATGTTTAGATAACTGTCGGCCAGTCAGTTACCACGTAGAACTTCGTACGCACATACATAAGTTCAGGTTACCACACCACATTAGCACAGGGATGGAATTGTCAATTCAAATCCCAGAGTGGTAGAGATAGTAGAAGTATTAGAGGTAATGGAGAGAATTAGGGTTCGAAGAATTTATTCAAGCAGTATAATCCAGTAAAATCAGTTTAGACAGAGAAAGATGGGGGTGATGAAAAACTTAGAAGATTGGAATTTCAGAGTACACAAAGAGTGGATGTACCTGAGCCATTACAAGTTGTTGTTTAGTAGATATAGAAATTTTACGTGATCGACCACCTGTTATGTAATATTGATCTCTATATGGAAATGAGGAGCTGGATAAAATTTCCAGTGATCAATTATTTATAGTTATCTTCAAAATACCGAATACATGATTGTTTAAGATGAAAAGAGATAGATAACTTAAAAGTGTTTCTGAAGAAACGATAGAAACTCCTACCTGTAGCCATTATTTGTTCTCTTTAAATGTTGATGTATTCACACTTGTTTTAATTAGCCAAATCTTACTCCAGTATTTGATAAACCACCATTCAGTAGGCTATGAAGTTAGAATGGTGATCGAAAATTGAGTACTATTAATATAATCTGTATCGTTTGATTTTTAACTGATAGGATTGAATAAGCTGGTTTAGAAGTTTTAATTCATACATATTAATTTTAAGAATATTATTTCCTATACATATTAGTGTACTGCTTGAAGTAAAGTACTTTAAAAAATCTTGTTAAACTTACAGATAAGTACTGATTAGAAGTTTTGTCTATCCTCACTGCAAGTTTTTGTGTATTTATTTCAAGTGTAATAAACTCGATCATCATTGAAGCAGATTCTTTGTTCTAAGCAAATAAAAAATATCATGTATTTCATGATAAGACAGTTTTATGAAAATAAATAAACTTTTTTTAGTTGAACGCTGAACATAACAGTCCAGGGTGTTTAAACATAAGAAATTATAAAATAAATCAAGATATCAAAATATGTTGAATAGTTAATTATTTCATTCATTGAGCAACGATCATACCTCGTCAACTGCAATAACAAATTAAAAACCATTAATTGACAACCATCCTAAAGCCACCGTCCATTTTTGATAGGGAATACTCTTGATTCAATAGCGATGTCGAGGCAATCCATATTAGATACACAATGTCGAAAGAGACTGACCTACTTTAGTCCCAAACATTAGTGATAAAATTCAAAACACCAGTCCAAATTGCATGATTATAGTTCTAGCTAGTTTGTAGTCCATGTTTTTAAAAATATTTGGTACAAAACATAGTTTTGAGGATGGTTAGTAACAGTGTATGATTTTCTAGTCTATTTTATATAATGTTAGTCCAAGTAAACTGAAGGGCAATTTCATACAGTTCAGTATTAACTTGTCAAACACTAAGTGTTAGTCAGATTATTACCGAACAGATATACAGTTTGACATTTATAATCGTGTTATGCTCATCAACTGATATGCTTGGAACTACCACGAGTTTACCTTAGTCGATAAACGAGAGCGAAGGCAAATGATCCATTGACACGGTAGGCTACTCTAATCCGAGCTTTCCAAATCGTCTTGACAAGACGTAGAAAGTGTATTCTACATGCATCCAGAAAATATGAGGTCTACAAGCACACAAATCGAATTTATTTATACATGATAAAAAAGTCCTTGAGAGAGCCAAAAAAATAGCGTACTAAAATAATACATCCACCAATCTAAGCCACAGATTTTCCGGGTGGGAAATGTAATCTCAAGATTAGCTGATCAGCCCATGCCCCAAAATATAAAATCCAAAATTAGGACCTTCAGCAAGTGAATTCTGGGGATCTAACGTCCCCAGAAAATCACAAGTAAAATTATTAATGAGAGTTGACAGTCACCGCACTTATATTTCAATGCCCATGTTAATAGACTGCATCTATGAAAACATGTATCTATCCAAAGGGCATATCTAGTGAAATCTATGAAAACTTTCTGTAAGATAATACTAAATATTAAATGATAAAAGAATTCATTACCGATAACTTTTCTTTCTCTATAATATTCTCGCATTGTTTGATACATTTGAAGCAAATATGCAATAGATCACGATCAAGAGCCAACTGTGTTAAACTCACTAATAATTTGAATCTATAATTATTAAAAAAGAAAAAGAGAAATATTCGCTTACTTGCTAGGTAAGTGGAAGAATAAGTTAAATCGAATGAATCAACATGTTCACCATAAGACTACCTTCCTGATGTCTTAATGTGAAGGCTTGAAATCAGCTATTCGTTGGTACGTCTATAACAGCTGCAAGACGGATAAAGTCAAAGGCAAGACTCAATTTAAAACTTCTTCAGGAAAAAAATCAACCCTTCAAAATTCCAAACAATTAAATTTTTACTGAAGTATTCTATGCAAAATAGCTCTATCCTGAAAGAATAGCAAGTACGTGAGGTATCACTAAATTCCAAATAATGGACTGAAGAAGTAGAAAACACTTTTTGTTTTCCGTGATAGTTTAAATAAATGTATAATTCCATTTGAAAACGATCATAGAAATTTCTCAGTAATTCAAACCGTGCTAACTTTAAATCATGTTTGTTCTGATGTATTATCAGGCAACTTAACCAAGGAATGAGTGTACATCCACTAGAATGGTTTGGAGACGACCATGCTAAAACAATACGCATTTCCATTTTGGGACATCTGGTGTACAGTGGTCACCTAGTAGATAAAATGAAATCATTTAAAGTGATCTATGATACGCCGCTTTTGATCCACATTCTGGTTGGACTCCATCCTCTACATACAGAAGAAACTACAGAAATCCTAACCTAGAACCTCAAAATTTCTTGGCCGAACATGGCTTGAACTAGTTTATAAGTCTTTTAACAGCCTGTGTTTGTTTGTCATTCTTCACCCTCCTCGGTTTATATTCTTCATTGTTTGATGATAGGCATACTTCCAATTACGTAATTTTGGTAATTTCTAGTGATTATTATTAGTATTACGTAAGTTTGACCTACTTTCTATGTTGAACTGTAGATTAGGATTTTACTATTTTATTATCCTTATCACTCCTAGAACATTTGTTTTCCTATTACTGGTTTGTATCTTTTATCTATTATGCGCAGTTGTGTAACCCACTTCATTGTGATCACTGACCCATTACTTGCCTTGATTGATTTAAAACTTTCATTGAAATTTTCCTGTATTTAAGAGTGAAGGCTGGTGTCAAACTAAATGAAAAAAATATTTCTCAGTTAAATGTAATGTTTAAACTTATTTAAGAAAAGAACATAATATTATACACTTTTACCGGGTTTCACTGGTTAAGAATTTAGGAGAAAGTATATCATCTATAATCTCCTCGGAATTATTAGTCGTTTCAGGATTGTTACTACTTTGATTGATATCATCAACTGATGAGTCTCCTATGTTTGATATTTTATTTTCTAATTGTTTATCCATTAATAATTCATTATTTTCATCTGGAATTTCAAGTAGTTGTAAAATTTTCAAAAATTCGTCAACTTGTTCACTGGGATGTTTTGTACTATCGAAAATAGTGAAAACAGAAAAAGAAAGAGTTTGACAATCAAGATCAGAATGATAGTAAACATTTTGCTATTCAGAATATTACTCACTAATATATATATTATATATATAGTTAATTGGAAACATTTATATGTGCGGAACAGTTAGGAGGTCGTTACTATTAACTACATTCAGCCAAAATACTTTAGAGTATTTTAGGATCCAAACTAGGTATTCCCACCTACTTTGGTAATATCTGTCACTGAACTAACAATCTTTCTATCATTTAGGAAGTTACGTCATAATTAGTACAGTGAGTAAGGTACCACTGGCTAAACTTTTAGAAATTTATAGATCAATAGCTAAACGGTCACCTACAGAATGAAAGATTTTACATTTATTCTTGTGAGTTGCTGAGGATCAGGATTTTTTCACAGTCTCAAACTGGAATTAGATTTCTGTTACACTTACCTTATGCTTCGTTTAAGCCCCTTATATATATTATACAGTATTCGTAATGTAGGATTGCTACATAAATACATTCAATAGAACGAGATTACATTTTCAGAAATACTTTCATAGGGATCTAAAAGACTGCAAGTTCCCTTGTTAGCTAAATGTATGAATTCTCTTCTACGTAAAATAACCAGAGATAAGAAACTATGAGGCTTTTAGTCCTATCTGAAAACACTGAATGTTTCTGAATTGAGATAAACATCTGACTATCCATATCGTTCCCATAATGGTACTGTAAGGAATAAAAATTTTGTGATATACAAGATGAATGTGCAATAAAGGATGTAACAAATAAGTCTTGATTCAACTCCATCTCCTGCCCCACTGAGGCAGTTCTATGGTTCCATCAATTGTCTTAGTGAAGATGAGAGGCTTTAGTTCATATGATGTGAGAACCCAGGTAAAAGGTATGACTATCTAGACGGGGAGTTCGAATGCTGAGGTAAGAACGTATAAAACCAAATGCTGCAACATGTACTGTATCAAGAAAATAAAATGGCCAAAACTGGCAAGGATAGAATAAATATAACCCTTGGATGTAATGGCTCGCTGATGCACAAAGATAAAGGAAGAATCTCTAAAGAGTTTGAACATGACTAAAGAAAGAAAAAGTAGGAAGATAGAAGTCAAAATTAGCCGGCGTAATTAGAGGCATTTAAAGCACAGGTTGAATGTATAAGAGCAAACAAATAAGTCAAGAGAAAAATCAAGGTTGACGATCGAAAATATGTAGAAGACGCGAAAATTGCAATAGAACAGATCGCAGGATAGGGACATATGAGGAAACTATATGATACAGGTGAAGAGAATATGGCTCTGAAAATTAAGGAGAGACATCAAAATCATAAAAAAGATGTCTCAAAAACGTAGAGGAAAATTCTTGGACGGAATCATCTTGGGCTTCGTGTTTAATGGCCTATAATTCACAAGAGTATCGTGCTTAAGCAAACAAGTATTTTTTTCACTTCAGAATTTTCATACCCCTAAATAAACATATGATTCTGATGTCAAAAACCTGTTGACAGCTATGATTTAGTAGAATAAAATGTTTTAACTATCCATGATGGGTGAAATATCAGTATTATACGAAATCTGACTAAAATTTTTCTGCTAGTAGTCATCGTTAACTATTAATAAGGATCCTGAGAATCCCAAGGGTTTTATTGTCAAATAAATTCCATAACTATTAAAACGAAATATTCTGATAGCAACGGTGTTCTAACATACCTTGCTCGTAGTCTTGCTAAACGACTTGAAGGTACCATCCCAAAGCTGACTAAACTTTGCGCTAAGGACTCATTCATCTGTACATTCCGCTCCTTTGCCTGAGACTGTGAACTTTTGAATGGCTGGTTCGCAGATATTTCTGTTTGATTGTTACTGCACAGACCAAGCACCCAGTTTATATAACGTTCAGCACTCGTCAGGTTGGCTCCACTGGCTGTTGCGAGAAGTTCAGCCATTTGCTCAGGAACATGACGTGCAACACCACCAGCCAAAGTATCCAGCAACTGACTTGCTTCCTTTCTCGATCCTATCTGTATATATGTTTCCAGGAGAAGTCTATAAAGTGTAAAATATCTGAGAAATTACCAAGTAACTAGGTGTTGATAGAAAAACGCATATTGACTATTCAGAATCATTTTGAAACACACAGAAATCACAAGAGATTTTGCTATACTCTTAAGTAGACAAGGCTCAGTCAAAACAAAATCAGGGATAGTAAACATGGTCAAACTTTATGAGAAAATTTCTGGTTATGAAAGAAGCCTAGGGAGACGATTTTGATGTCTTCAAAACACGACTGTCCAACTCAATTTCTGACTCCTCAGTTTTACTGAGTTTCTTAACTATTTCTCTGACATTTGTTGGTAGTTTCAATAGACAGGACTAAATCGCTCATTTTGTTAAGACGCTGTTTAAGTACTGTTTTTTAATCGGCAGACTTAATAAACGGGCTTTTAGCCAAAAATTATATAATAACAAACAATAATTTAGGAAGCCATAAGAGTGACATCCAAAGTAAATACGAAATCAATTTATAGGCCCAGGAGAATTACAGAGATCCAGTATTTAGCTTACAACGGCGAAATAATTTATCGTGACCAGGCATAATGGCAGCGCTTTAAAAATATTTAAATCACCCCTATCTTTATTTGAACTAATTTTTAAGTAAAAGATTATTCAACTATAGTCTGTAAAAAGATGAAACTCACATTCCAAAACGTAAGATCAGTGAGTAATTTTTGCTATGTAGATCTATCAACAACTTTAACTTTGGCTTAAGAAACGATGGTAAATCTGCCTTCTTGAATGACGTTGTTTTTGTTCGAACGAATTTGTACAAAAGCACCAATAAATTGTTAACAATATTTTGGTGTTCGTTCTCAGTTGCATATTGAATAGACTTCTCAATGTGGCCCATAGCCAGATCTATTGTGGCCTAAAAACTCAAGATAAATTGATTTTGAAACTAACAACAGAAAAGTCATCTTTCTGAAACAGTAATTCGGCAAACAGTAGTGAAACTAGGTCGGAAAATTCATTGTTACTACCAAATATGCTCTCAAAAATATTGATGACAGAAGAAGCAGTAGCGTTAAGGCGTGCCTGAAAAATGTGTAAATAACACTCATGATAACTAATTATACTTCGATACCTCTGTCGCAATGACAGCCAAATGTAAAATATCATAACTTGTATAAGCGAAATTCCTACCAGGTTTCCATGAATATGATGCTAAGTTTATTAATGTAAACGCCCTTTCCAGGTGTTTGACTAAAAAAAATGTGTTGAGTACTGACAGTTACTTTTTCTTTGTTCTGAATACAACTGCAGGCACTCCTGCAGATTTTCCGACATTTCTAATATTTGCCAGAGTCAGTTGTAGCAGCAAAATATGAATTCGGAATATTGAAACAAAATTCCAGTTTTGCTAATGAGCAAAGATTGTTTATCAATAATTTGTGCCCTCCGGAGATACCTTCACTGTTAAAAATTGATAACTGGTACAAAATTCACTTATTCTGAATTTCCATCATTCCTAGCACTGAATGAAATTGAGCTGATCGACAATGTTTTTTGATAAAATCATCTTCATGTGTACAGGAAATCAGTTGACTGCAATTTTGTTTAGATTTATTAAAAGTCATTTCTGATTATGATTTAATTAGGTAGTCCTTTCACATCTGTCCATTACTGAATGAATATAGAAGCTTTGTATGTAATAACTCCACCAAGTTTTATGAAAGATTCAGATTTTACTTATAAACGTCACACCAGTGCAGATATTGAAAGACGTCCCTCCATCATGTGTACGGAATCCAAATTTTGGAAACCTTATTGAAAATTTATGGGTTCATCTGCAGGAAACAAGGCTACAGACTTTATGTCAAGTAGATAAGGTTTTTTTAAGTCATCTGTTTTCGGTATGATAATCACCTGAAAACAATGAAAAATTGGGGGCATCTTTTTAACTATCTCACAGTTCCGAGTTAATAGTCGGTTACCGGCACGTTTATATGTTTGAATTGTTAATCCAGTCTTAGGGCATCAAACCAATTATAGAATTTAGTTAAGATGCCATTTCAAAAAATTCTTCATTTATGATTACGCAGCAGTACGAGCCATCCTCGTTTCACTCTGAGCTAGTACGCTAGATTAACCTGATTCCACAGGCGACCAGATTCTGGAGATCAATCAATATATTAGCATAGAGGTTTATTCTGGAATAGTGCAAATTCCAAACGACGTATATCGCATTGTCATCTCCTGTACATATGTTAGGGTTGTATAGAACTTTCAGCACCTTTTAAGGCAGAAAATACACTTGGTTCGTTATCCAAATTTCTTAGTTTTTCTCTTATCATGTGCTGAGACAAGTGGTTTTCTCTATTAACCAGACGGCTGAACAAAATCTCGTAGTGCACTACAGATGCAAAACATAATTCAGATGTAAACAATGTAGTTGCATGCACCTTCCCTGAGCATTGTTAGGAGGATTAATCACCCTCAGCTGTCTGAGCTTCAAATACAAGACAGCTATCTTCATCAAAGATTGTCTTCAACAACCCTAAAGTCACAAGACTATGAATGCTGATATTTTTAGTTATGGACTGACGCCCGCTTTGGCTACATTCATTGGAGCTTGGTACGACCTTTGCTGCATTCAGAAATACAATGTGGTCTCTTAACTTTCTTGGACCATTTAACACGGTTCATAGGTGTTACAGGTTCAAAATTGTGATGCATTTGGTGAATATTGCTTCCACCTGACCACAATCGACCAACGTTTTAGTACAGCTTGTCTTACGAATTATTAGACGCGTTTTCGTGCTTTCTGATATGTCACACCTACATGTTAAACCTGCACCTGGAGGAACCTTTAAAGTACTGTAGCCAATTGTACAATATACTTCTTCTTCGTGGGATAACAAATGTTAATCCCGATACTCTAACAATCAAATATAAAAGGCGATTCTATAGGAAGAAGTATATTTAATGCTAGCCTCGTGATATCAAAATAATGTCGAGGCTAGAGGGCGTACAAACGGCTATTGTCCACGCGAAGACGTGCGAAGAGGAGAATGGGAATAGCACGATTGGCGTGCGAGAGATAGTCTTTAGTATAGATAAACAAGAGGAAACGATATAACAATTATTGTCAGAACTAAGTACAACAACAAAAGTTTGTATTTCAGCAACTGTGTTTTCCTCGTAATAGTATACCACTACAGTGCCTTATAGCGAACCCAAATAGTATGCCAGAGTTATGAACAATTCTAATGATAACATTGGCATAACCGTTTAGTAGTAACCTGCCAATTTTAGTGTTTGGGTTTGCTTGCCACACCAGCGTAGCTCGTATCCAGAGTCTGAAGATTGCTTTCGTAGGGTTTCGTACCAGATAAAGCTGCGGACGTAGGACGAAACCAGATTGAGCGAGGGAGCCAGACACGACCAGAACGACCAAGTTCGAAACCATATATATGCCAGAACATTCGAAACAAAAACATCGACTGAGTACATTGAGAGAGCGTGGGTGATCAGGCCAGCTATCACAAAAATAAGTGGTACCAACAGGGTGATGGTCGTAAACAAGTGCTCAGGATACAGAATGGAAGATAAAGAGACAAGTGTAGCATACCTGTAGTTAGAGGGTAGGGTACTATCACGTGTCAACATGATTCATGACTGTAATTTACCGTAATGAAAAATATTCCATTTATGATAACTGGCTTTAAACTACGCTCCTTGGAAGAACTGGATTTTTTTCCCGTGATGTGCCTGTTTGCTAAAGTATTAGTGTATTTGTTAACTATTGGCCATTATTAGGTGTCTCAAGGACCCTGAATACGGGGAAACAATGACTGTTAAATTTTGACGCGGCAAGTCATGAGGAGTGAGCACATCGTGTCTAAACGTCTGACTGGAGCTTTAAATAAATCCTCAAGGTATATAACTTCGTTGGACATCGATAGAGATGCCGACTTGTTTAGGTCTACTCGACTCATTGTCTGGTGGCTCGCAGTCGTGCATCGCGATCAGATCGCCAACGGGTACGTCGTAGTGAAATTCTCAGTAAACTTTACTAAAATTTGCATGTACCTTGCACACTGATGAAAGGAAGGTGTTGAGCAAACGTTTTTCACATGCTGGTAAACATTGTGTTGTGTATGTCTACGAAATGTACGAACACTCGAGCACATCACACTAGTTGAGGAAAGTGTGATCGATAAACCAACTCACATTCGATAGTGTTAAAAGCATGCATTGTACCACTATGCTTTTTGTGCCAATCTTAATCTTTCATGTTTGTCATAAATGATATTGGATTTGCTGACTCACATTTTCAGTTTTAAAAAGCAACTTATTTTCTTTACATTACAGTTTGGCGCATCACTAAAATAAATTTCAGGAAATGCTGTGATTCTGATTAGATTACAGTTGTCGCCTGTTCTTTCAAAAGATTTTAAAGTCAAACTGAGTTAATGATGGTTAGGTTACGCATAACTCGTTATGCGAAAGAAAATAAACTAAAGAAATTAGGACATCAATAATGAAATCTTCTCGATTGACCGATAAGTGACAGCCAGCATGCGAGATTCAGGAATCTATGTTTATCAAAGAAATAATACTTTGGGGTTGATGGGGCATCTGTACGTCAATGGAATAAGCAGTTTTGAGATATGCATCGGGAATGAGAGTAGTGACGTAAATTACCTTCTACTGTATTGCAATCGAGAAGCTAAGGAGGCCATAGCACTCTGCTACCTAATTAGGCCGGTAGCTGTCTTTCGTACAGCTCTAGAAATACTGTACGTGGAGTTAAGCCAAATATACATCATAGCTTCCACTCGAAATAGCATTTTAATCTTTTGAACTTAATGGTAGCTTCACCACCCATAATTTCCACTGAAAAATGATGGTTCTCGGTCAAATCAAGTTCACTGGTTGAATGGACGTATCGGTGATCGTTATAAGCAAACTCTCGTGAAATTGAGGTGATGCTTATAAGCAGATGCGACAGCTCAAACTACTACACAATAACTGATGTGGTGCTACAAAAGTAGTAGATTATAAAATTCTGGTAGTTATTTTAAAAAATCAAGCTTGAAAAAATAAGCAACTATAAGGCTACTTCTTCTAAATGGCCACACTTAGAAAATCGGATCCAAGCAGGAGTCCGTGTTTTGAGTTTGAAGTGCTTATGTGAGATCGAATTGGTTTAAGTCATCACTGATATTTCTCATGAAGAGAGACGGAGACGCCTTTAGTTATTTTCAATAACTTGTCATCGGTAAAGAGGCGACTTGAATTTGGCTAACCAAAATTTGATTTTATTAAGTTTTACCTATTCCTTTCAACTGGCACTGGCCATGTGACAGAACTTTCTGGAAATATTTTGAAAACCGATATCTAATCGCCTGCTTCTGAATATCTTTTTGATACATTGCGTTACGAATTACTGGAGTTCTTTTCCAAAACATGTAAGATTACTAACTTCCGTTGATAAATTAAGAGTGACAATAAATCTTCAGAGTACAATAAATTTTAAGTTTTAATATGTAGGGGATGCAGCTAACGCAAATGCGACTCTTCACTTTATGCGAAGACAGCTTGGTGCTATCACCCCAAAATTATTTTTAACCCTGTTTAAGACGTACGCGCGCCCACACTTGGAGGTTCACAACGTCATCGCACCTCCTCTGCTTACAAGAGACAGTAATCTCTTGGATCGAGTGCAGAGACGGGTAACCAAATGGGTGATAGGGTTGAAAAATAAACCCTACGACGATAGACTCCAGCTCTTAGGATTATTCCCACTGAGCTACAGGAGAATCAGAGGTGACCTGATTATGGCGTAAACCATATTAAACACGCCAAACCATCCCAATGTGAGCATCTTACCGATGCATTACCACCACTCCCCTCGAGGCAATCCTCGAAAGATTGCACATCAAAGAGCAAATACTCAGATTCGTGCACACTTTTTCTCATTGCGAGTCGTCGCAACTTGGAATGCTCTCCAAGCCGAGGTAGTTACAGCCCCCTCAGTGGACTGCTTTAAGAAGAGACTTGACAATCACGTACTCACATACGGACTATCATCTCCCTCTTGGACAAGCTGTGCCTGATGCATATCTTGAGACCTGCTAGTTGTTACCATTGTCATCTCCTCAGATCACTCAACTAATATATATCGCCTATTATCTTTGTTTCCTCTCCCTTGCTTACAATTCGGTCCTCTCCAACGATCTTCACTACCAATTACTAAACTAAATTCATCTATATATTACCCAGTTCTGAAATTTTATTCATATTATCATTTTAATTTATCCTTATCACCCTTATTACTCTCCACATTGCAACTAACTGATCTCCGGTTTGGTAATGTGACGGCTGCTAGTATCCAGAAAGCCTACTGCCCTGAAACAAACGTTTCATTCAAATCCCGAGACATACAAACTCACAACCAACTGCCAACTGACTAGAATTAGACAGACAGATGGCTAGACCTCCATCCATTGGACATTACCGAACACCTGGAACCGTACCGAAAGAACAAGAATCGAGCGAGAAGAAATCAAATTGGTTTACACTAGCTCGTGAAAAAGACATTGGAAAAGCTTTAGGATATTGGAAGTTGGTTGACATTCTATTCGTACTACAGGAGACATATTTCTTTTTTTTATCGAGCCAAAACAGCATATTTAATTTGCTGGCGCTCAGTACAAGGCTTTCTGTTCATCGTATAACGATAACTTGTTAAAAGGTAGTGTCTGTAATTTATTCTAAAACGAGACTGAATAGTCAGATTATAGTGATGTCTACCAAGAACTTTCGTTACCTACTCATTATAGATTTAAGCAAAACATGATTTTAATATTTGCTCTTGTTAGAATTTTTCAAGTTGTCCGAAAAGTTAGTTTATGGAAAATTATATTCAAGGCGACCCGGAGTTCTTTTTTAGTAAATTGTAAAACAAAAGTAGTGAGTCTTACATATGTATCTCGGCGTATATATATATATATATAATGATGGCAGTTATTATCTGAGTGCAAGACCTCAGATAGCCTCACAAGCTGTCATATTTCTGTGCACCCGCGTACATGAACATGGCCTTTTAGAGTATTTTGATTCATACTACTCGTAAACACATGTGCCGTAATCTTATTTTTAGTAGATCCATATAATTGTTTGTGCTTTCACACTGTAAGTGCGCGCATATTTTAGCTGTTTTCTGAAATTACTCATTGACTTAAATGCTGATAGGCGTAGCTGAAACGTCAGGTTTTAAATTAAATTTCAATATTTATTTTATATACATATTTAATTTAAATGTATTGTGTATACTCGAAATGTCTTTCTGAAGACATTTAGCGAACCTTATACTCTTGAATCATATGCGCCTAATCAAGCTTATAATCATATCATGAAATAATATAACATACTGATGCAAACTGTTGCACAGCAATATGTGTTATTGACATTTTTAACTGCAATATTGTTAGTTATACCATTTACACACATATATGAATACATATACATATACCACTCTTTTTTCCATGTATAAAATGAGATCTTAACTATTCCATGGATATGGAGTAGATCGAACTTTTACGCTTTATTTATTCATTCTTGTTTTCTGTCTTCCTGCACACGAATCCCGGAAATGATTTATTCCAACGCATGTCGTTGTTGGCTTGTATTACCACCGTTACACAATCAAGTTAACTTAAGTGTAATGTACGAAATTAATTACGAAATTATATTTCATCATCGTTCTCATCCATCGAGTCAGTCAGTCATTCAGATGCAACGTAGAACTTGGTACGTAAGTACATCAGTTCATGTTGCCATACCACATCAGCACAGAGATATAATTGTCAATTCAAATCCAATAGTAGTAGAGGTAGTAAGGGAATTAGAAGTAATCGGAGAGGTTAGGGTTAGAAGATACTATTCAAGAAGTATGATTCAATGAGATAAGTTTAGAGAGTCGAAACTAGAGGTGTTGAAGAATCCAGAAGATTAGGGTTTGAGAGAACACAAAGAATAAATGCACCGGCGCCATTGCGAACGATTTTGAGCCATGTCATTCAAGGTCTCTAACCATCGATTATTATCATCTCTCGGACCCCAACCATCCATCGAGTCAACAGCAGGCAGTAAAGATTTGAAATATGAATACCATCCTAATAAATACAAAATTCGGCAGCAGACTATACTTCTTTCGCGATCTTAGCGTATTGATTTTGATTAGTTCTTTGTAGATTAACTGCATAGTTAACTGTAGGGCATAAAATGTTATGACCTAAATTATAGAGATCCTACTTCGCCTAAAGTTTTATTGATAAATTGGAGTTGGCTTTCAATACTCAAGAACAATAGGAAAGGAAGCTAAAACGTTTGATTCACAAATTTTATCTATAGATGTTCATCTAGCTACTATCTGAGCTATTTCTCATAATTTTTATATATTTTAGGTTCGCAATTCGTCAGACGTTGGGATCATAAGTACAAGTGTTGAGAAAACCAGTAAAATATCTTTTTATTGTTGTTATAGTATTTAAAGCATTTCTAGTATTGCTTGGTCTACTAAGCACCCATTCTGCAACAAATTTTCCTATGTAAGTGTGGCCATAACTGACTTTCAGGACTTGCACATTTGACAGTGATAGATGTTTTGCTAATTTGGATCCCTTACTGAAGAAGACCTCTGAACTGCTATCCAAGATAAAGTAACGTATATGTCATTTTATGTTTCCTTCGATGTCCAATACGTTCATATGTTTGATGTGTCACGAGGTTTCTCTTAACTTGTTTCACATACCCTAAAATGATGTTTGCTACACAAACAAGTGGTACCTATCATCATTGTTTACATTTTTGAAAAACAAGGTTTTCAACAAATTTCTAGGGTTCTTTTATTGAAGTAAATATTTGTTAAGAATTTATAACTTATTTATCTGTTTAAGCTGTAGTCTCGCTGTAAACAACGTATCTGAATTGGATTGTTGGTATGCTCGATACTCTACGAACTATGGTCTAGTTTTGAGGCCACCACCCATGGCAGTTCGAATATTTTATGTACATATCGCAGATGTAATTTAGTATTAAATTCTACATATTTAGCCTGTGATGAAAATACATTGAACGGTTCATATCTTTATTTATCTTTATTCAGCTTTCGCCTCATTTTTGATGCCTTGATTTATAAAACTGTCGAACTTTACAGAAAGAACTCAGTTGACTTTTGATTCTTTCGTACTGTGTAGTGCATCTTTTAATATATTTGAGTAGCATACTCACATAGCAAGTATCAGGCACAAAAATCCACATAATTATGTCTCTGAACGGACAGATTATTGAAGGAATTCAATTGGTCAGTCATACATCAATTATGATTTAATTCGGATAATTTACGGCCGGATTGTTAATTCTGTTAATATTATAATGCTCAATTACATCAGCATATGAGTGGTCATTGACATTTTGGATCTAGTTTCATTGAAATCAATCCATTCACCAAGGAAGTGGATCAAATAAGGGCGCTAGTAACCATTCTACTTGAATACTGTTTAACTGATTAAAACTAAATTTTTGCTAGTTCTAATCATTGTTTATGTGCCCGCCGTTTGATACGATCCAATCGTCTACTCAAACGTGTTGCTTCAAGACTTGTAAGCTATAAGTTACTATTATTTAAAACATTTCTGGGTTCATCTTTTGTATCGATGAGAACTATGTCAAACATATATGCTCCAGTTAAATGAAATAATTATGTATACGACTGCAAAGTTAAGGCAGGATTGACGCGAGTTCCTCTTAGTTGTTTCACTAAATAAATAAAATTCTGCAGAAGGATTGGCATACTTATCGTTTCTTTGTTTTTACTCCATGTTTCTGTTGGGTTACTGATTTTGTTATCTAGCATTTTATCGTCTTGTAAATATAAGTTCCCAGGTTATGTTAGGTATTGCAACTATTGCTGAAGTACAGTACCCATAATTGAAGTTAAGACCTAACTTACAGACCCAGTACTTGTCTCATACTACCATTTCGTCCTTTGAGCTGTGCGAAAGAATATAGCGAACAGTACCAATTTACGGTTTCTCCAGTTCTTATGTCAACCTGCGCCTTATTTGAAGTTAAAGGTGTTTTTTCTTATAAAAATTCGCTGTAAGGTTTTCTTTGACGCAATTCAGTCCCGATAAGCAAACATTTTTCTTACCTCGATTACTTGGGGTTCAGTTGGAGTAACTCAGAGCCTTTTAATTTTAACCAGAATTTCTCGTGTTCAAACCCCACGTCACATAATTCTTTTTGCATAACGGATTACTGTAATAAACCATAACATATACGACCCCTGGCACATTAACCTTTGCTCGATAAACGGTTCCTTTAGAGTTATTTAGCTGGTTTTCGTGTATGACAAGGACATTTAAGTCGTATTCCATCCAGGTCCACATGCTCTCGTAAAATAGCTGACAAGTTTATTTTTGTTTAAATAAAAATTCTCTTTGAATGGTTTGACTCATTACATAGTACCATCTGCAATCGAACAACAGATTATTTACCTATGGTATTTTGCGTCCTGCTTTCATGACTCATTTTGTCAATTTTCCACTTAAGTGCCTTTTTTAAAAAAAATTATATAATTCCAACTTTTTACAACCAGGAATGAAGGCGTTTTAACTAACTCTCATCACTCCGTAAATCAGTCTTACCGTATCGATCAAAATCATGTCCGAGTTGCTACAGTAGAGCAATATTCAGGGGACTATGATTCGAAAAAGTTGGGGGACACCAATTTACTGCATTTGGACGTGAATAACTCAGTTGAGAAGTCCTGTTTTCATAAATATCAAAATGGGTCTACCTTATCAGAAAATCACTTCCTCCCCATAACAGTTAAAAGTTTCTCCTCAGCTGTTCCGCTGAACTCTGAAGAATCTTACATACGTACAAAAGAGAATTTACGCGACTATCAATCGAATACTGACAAATTAGTCGTTGAATTAAAGCAGTCAAATGATCAAGTAAGTGATGTTTCTACAGTTTTATTCCTAATTACTGATAGAATTGACAAATGAGCAAATGTTTTTTTAAGATTACGTTCGCGATAATTCATTACGATGAGAGTATTCTGAAGTGATAAACTTAAATCCCATTACGAAACCTAATTATTTTTGTTGGTTACAAACATAATCGGATCATTATGTAGCCTTCGAAATATTATAAATTATTCTTCGTTACTTAGTGACGTTGTACACTAGGTTGTATGAAACATCCAGCCTACTGAACAGTAGCTCCTATTATTTGTGTGATATGTTTTCTTCATTCATCAGAAATGTATGAGATGAAATGAAATGAGATTGCTGATGTAAAATGAATGAAATTTTGCTTTTAGCCATAGATATACCTAGTCTTTATTAGTTAATCTTATTCATAAATAATAAATGTAACTATAAACCTCTAGTCTAATAACTTGGCTATTAAACCCTCAACTATCAAATTGCCCTAATTTGAATATCTGAATAATCAGACCCGATAAACTTCATGTATGAATGCCCCATAGAAATTCTTGTGGGTGTTTCATTCACACAATCAGCTGGGAAAAAATTATGAATTTATTCAATAAGTTGTTGTTGGTACTCTATTCTCAAATACTACTTATGAGGAAGACGACCAATCTTCATTTTACATATTCATTTGAGGCGATTTTGGTTCTGTCAATTTCAACGCATTTTCATAATTTCTATTCAGTGACTTCCAGTATATGTCAATTGTACGTATTTATATGATTCGGATCGCATTTTCCTTATAATAATTATTTCATTATGATTTTGTATTCAGTAATAATTAATCAGTTAATAGATCTCTGTAATCTCTAGTAATTGACTTTATTTAAAACTGAATTAGCCCAAATATAAAATTGGACGTTCTTTGATCTCGTCCAATAAATATGAACTATTCGAAAATTGTTTGTTTCTTTTACAGAATCGTTCTAGACTTTGGGGGATAATATGCACATAAAAATTTTCATACTAATCAGTAAATGAACAAAGTGTTTAACATAGTTTTTCTATTATTATTATTATTATTATTATTATTATTATTATTATTATTCGTTATTATTATTATTATTTCATTTTCTGCAGTGCATGAAATTTATTCTATATAACGAATAGAATACTCAATATTCAAATATATGTATCCCTTTTTTTCTGTAGATAAGAAATCTTGAAAAATCTTTATTGGCAAAACAGTCATCAATTAATGAACTTTCTATAGAATTAGAGCGTAAAACAGCTCTTGTTAATTCATTAACAATGGAATCTTCAACAAAAGATATTTTATTACGTCAATTGGATTCAACTTTAGGTCGTTTAACAAAAGGTTGGAAAGATCATGAAGCTCAACAAGATGTTGCTATAAAATTAGCCAAAGAATCGGAAAATAAAAAAATTAAAGAAATAGAAGAACTTAAAAATCAATATCAAGTGGTTCGTGCCCAGTAAGTGCTATAGTGATTATCAATCGATCAAGGTAATTCTGTGCGAGAACTTAAAGTATTATTTGTGTGTACAAAGGAGGATAGGAGAAATATGTAATTTGTTACATAAAGTATTGGAGTTGAAAACAATAATAATCTCTGCGTGTGTGTGTGTGTGCATAGAAATGTGTAGATAATCATATCACTCAAATGTGTTTATTTGGATAAGCATTTTAGGTTGGATGAACAGTCAGGCCTTCTTTCCTAATGACAGTAAAGTGATTTAGCATTGTATACAATGCTTCAGCTGCTCCCATCTTTTTATGGTTGTAAAAGCTTCTCTGAACTATTATGGTATTTTTAATATCGATTTGGTGGTTATTGAAAACAGCGTGTACTGCTGCAGTCGATCTAGTTTGTAGTTTTTCCAGCTCCACAGGATTATTAGCACTTCTTTTTGTGCAGCTTCAGTGTTGCTTGACACATGTCAACATTTTACAAAAAGACTCTTGAACATACAGCGCATCACAGTCGACACAACCTAGTTGGTAGACATAATTTTGTGTGGTTAGATTTAGATTTCCATTAGACTTCTTTCTTTCTAACTAAACAGCCTAAGTTAGGTGGTAGTTCACTATGTTGATCTTCATTTTTGAAATTGAATTTACTATTTTCAGTGAACGCGTCTATCAATGTAGAGAATCTCTTGATGAGAGTCTATTGAATTATAACAAATCTATGTTAATTTATATGGGTTATTTATTTATTTATTTATTGTGAAGTAGTGACTAGCATCAAGTCATGAAACTTTAGCAATACAAATTTCTACTCAGTGAGCTATCACTAAAAATATTTATTTCATAAATAATACTTTAGGTGGGTTTGTTATTTCAGTCAGTCAGATGCAACGTAGAACTTTGTACATAATTACATCAGTTCATGTTGCCATACCACATCAGCACAGAGAAGTAATCGTCAATTCAAATCCAATAGTAGAAGAGGTAGTAAGGGAATTAAAAGTAATCGGAGAGGTTAGGATTAGAAGATACTATTCAAGAAGTGTGATTCAGTGAGAAAAGTTTAGAGAGTCGAAACTAGAGGGGTTGAAGAATCCAGAAGATTAGCATTTGAGAGAACACAAAGAATAAATGCACTGGCGCCATCGCGAACGATTTTGAGCCATGTCATTCAAGGTCTCTAACCATCGATTATTATCATCTCGCGGACCCCAACCAGGTAGTCGACAATTACCGACATGGCTCAGTCCACTAGTCAATGACTTCATGCATTTCTGCCATGTTTTGGTTTGGCCGCCCCTAGCTTTCTTCCAACCTATTCCTACATTACAAAACAAGGCTCGACGAGGCAGTCGGTGGTTGGGCATACGCAACACATGTCCCAACCACCTCAACTGATGAAGTTTCACCACTTCATCGATTGATCTGCCATTCTTACCTAGCACCCGATTCCTAATAACAGCGTTGCTCACTCGGGTGTCCCACGATATACGAGCAATGCTTCGGAGACACCTATGATCGAAAACCAGTAACCTACGAATATCTTCTACTCTCACTGGCCATGTTTCACAGCCATAAAGTAAGACGGAGCGAACCACTGCGCAGTACACTCGTCCTTTAGTCAGCAAACGGATATCTCGCCTACGCCATAAGTGACGCAGGTTGGCAAAAGCCAATCGAGCCTTCTGTATCCGTGCTGAGATTTCGTCAGTCACCAGGCCATCAGCACTGATGAGACTCCCAAGATAAGTGAAGCGGTCTACACGTTCGACTACTTCACTCCCTATCACTAGTTCAGGTGCCGATGCAACCCAGTCTTGAAGCAACATTTTGCATTTCGAGGGGGAAAACCGCATCCCGAACATGCTAGCATTGTTGCTTAGGATGGTCAGAAGACTCTGCATTTTGTCAGCGTCTTCACCAAGTAGGACTATGTCATCGGCATATTCTAAGTCAATAAGCGAGCCACCTGGTAGAAGGTCTACTCTTGAAAATTCAGACGAGGATAAGGTTATGTCTAGGAGCATGTCTATGATAAAATTAAACAAGAATGGAGAAAGTGGACATCCCTGACGGACACCACTTGATGTAGAGAATTCCGGTGACAGTTCGCCATAAGCTCTCACTCGACCAGTGGTGTTCGAGTAAAGAGCTTGTATAAGGTTAATGTACTTCTTTGGTACACCTTTCAATGACAGACACTGCCACAGAACCTTACGATCAACAGAGTCAAATGCCGCCTTAAGGTCTAGGAAAACAACTATGGTAGGACGCCTAAATGTGTGTCTTTGTTCCAGGACCTGTCTGAGTGTGAAGACGTGGTCTATACAACCACGTCCAGGTCGAAAACCAGCCTGGTTTTCTCGAGTCTGCTCTTCACGAGCTTTCGTTAAGCGTCGAAGTATTATTGAGGCCAATATTTTAGATACTATATTAGTTAGACTTATTCCCCTGTGATTGTCACAAGAAGACTTTTGTCCTTTCTTATAGATTGGGACAATCAAGGATTGAGACCAGTCGGATGGGATTGCGTCCAGTTCCCAGATTCTACCTAAGATCTCAGTCAACCTAGCTGATAAAACTGGACCACCATCCTTAAATATCTCAGGGGTCAGTCTATCAGGACCTGCAGCTCGTCCTCGTTTCAGATTTCCTAACGCTTTCTCAACGTCATTAAGACAAGGGGGACTTACGTCGATTTGCCATTCAGGATGACTGGAGATCGTGGGTAACCGAAGAGTGGCTCGTGGCCAGTTGAACTGATCCCTAAAGTGTTCAGCCCATCGATCCAGTCTCCTCAATTGAGAATGGATAATAATCCCATCCTTTTCCGAGATAGTCTCACTCACATTCGGGTTCCTAATACCAGTTTCTTTAATAAGGCGGAAAAGTTGTCTACTGTTGCCGATCGCCGCTGCCTTTTCCATCGCTTTTGCTTTCGCCACCCACCACTGTTCGCGGTCGTTACGCAGACTTTTTATAAGTCTGCGCCTAAGCTGACTACGCTCTTCATCATGCTCAGAGTCAGGTGGGATGCGTTTTCGAGCATCCATCAGTTCCGTGGATGCGACTGAAATCCACGGCTTCATCCTAGCCTCATGGTTTACCTTCCTAGCAGATATCACTGCTGTTTCCACAGCCTTCTTGATATCATACCAACCTGCTTCTGGATGGGAATCGCTTGCATGGTTGCTTAACTCTCTTTCTAGTTGCTCCTGAAATATTTTCTTGGTTTGATTATCATTAAGTAAAACCCTAAGAGGCTTTCTTACGGTGTCTTTCCTACGTCCAGTAAGCCTTAAACAGATACGAGCTCGCACTAGAGCATGATCTGAATCCAAACATGTGCCCCACAACGAGCGACAGTCTTCTATCGAACCCCTCCATCGGTGGCTGATGGCGATGTGATCTAGTTGAGTCCAACGTTGAGACGACTTCGGGGGTCGCCAGGTCAACAGATGCTTTTCCTTATGCCTAAAGTTGGTGTTCGCTAAGAATAGGCGGTTATCTGAGCATAGTTGCAACAGACGGTCGCCATTGTCTGTTCTCTCAGTCGCTACACCATAACATCCACCAAGATGTCTTTCATTTTCACCTAGTCTACCTACTTGAGCATTAAAGTCACCAGCCATTATTACTATATCAGAGTGCCTAGCTTTTTGGAGGAGGTCCGAAAGCTTTCTGTAAAACTCATCTTTAACCTCGTCTGCACTGCAGTCAGTGGGGGCATAGGCAGATATGACGAAGAGGCAACGGCGATTGTCCCTATCTTTCCGAGTCCTTACTGTCCCGTTTAGTCGGACAGCGCACAAACGACTATCTACTGGGATCCAGTCAAGGAGAGATAATTCTGCCCTAGGACTCAACGCTATGCCTACGCCAGCAAGACCCCTGGAAGCAGCATCAGGGCTACCGGATACACGAAGAGTAAATCGAGCTGCTTCTTCGTTTTGACAAGGTGGAATCAGGTTAATGACTTTACTAGGATCCTGTATGCGCGTTTCCGAGACGCAGCATACATCGATGGCACGAGTTTCTAAAGTCCTAGCTAATGATGCCTGTTGCCCTATTTGACACAATGTCCGTACATTAAAAGCTCCAACATGTAGTCTAGAACGGGGTTTCAAGAGACCAGGAACGACGTTTCGTGATCTCGCTTCGTCTGCATTAGCGGTGCAGTGAGAAAAGGGAGTGTGAGTACAGTTAGTCGTAGAGATAAGAGAGACATTAGGGGGTATAGGAAGGATTTGATTTTGACCAATTTGGTCTCGCGTGCTGTTACGGGTATGAGGGCGGTTGTCACTTCCCGGCTGCCCACACCGTGGAAGGTTGTTTCTTGAGGGACCTGAAAAGAAAGATGGATTAGTGTTGGTGCGTGACCGCAGAGCCCAAGGGACAACTGCTTGAGGCCGGTCACACACGGCCTTTTTATGAGAGGTATTTAGAGGATTAGCTCCGTTCTTAAAGGCCCTTAGTGGACACCCTTACCCAAGGAGACGGAAATCCGTGAGTTAGGGGAGGTGTGACATTTTTAGGGCCGACCTTTTCTAACCCTTCCTTCCTTGTGAGAAGGCAGCATCGCTGCAGATGCTGGTTGTCCGAGGGAAACACCTTACTGCTGTCACACCCCTCTGCAGTCAGCAGTACGACTTCGCCCTCAGACCTTGGGTAGCTGCTTTTAGTCTCATCGTTCTCCAATCGACCAGCCTGGCATGGTAGGACCTGCAGGAACATATGTTCCAGCCAGTATAGCTCGGTTGGGTCATCACGATAGGCAAGCCCGACCACCACGTCAAGGTAGCAGCTTCGGTCGGGGGGTTTGTTATTTAATGGGTTTCAACGTTTAATGTGTAGATAATTATCTCTTTACTACGTGATGATATTCATTCTTAAACTGTCATACTTGCGCAAGTGGCGCGTCATTTTTTTTACGCTATCTAGGTAGAGAGTCGATTCGAAAAATCATCAAAAATTTGTGTTGTTTCAAATAGGTTTCTAAATAATTATGTGAATGGTAATGACTGCGTGGTAGATACGATTAGTCTTTGTATGGTGACTAGCAAAATAAACTATCTTTGATGCCATGAAAATGTTACCCTAGTTGTAAATTGTTAGAAAGTACCAAACTTTAGTTCTCCTCTGTGTCTGTAAAATCTGATTTCTGAAAACTAAGTATTGTTATAAGACAATCACCTAATTTGTAAGATTGTTCATATTCAACGTACACACAATTTACTTGACTGAGATGCCAGGAAAACATAAGTCCAAGTATAGAATCTGGCTATACAATTGATTTCAATGGCACAGGAATCCTCCCCAAAGGCTCTGGTTCATACAAATAAAGATTAATAGTCAAAGTCTTACACAAACAGGGAAATCCAAACAATATTAATAGGTGAGACAGGATACAATTTGTTGTCCCACGGCGACTAATAATTATTAAATAAACTTGAACTCCCCCTTTTTATTTGTCAACTTTTATACGAACAGCGATTGTCATCATGTGCTCCAATAATTTAGTTTATTTCAAGAATCAGCCTGCTTATACATCTTTATTTTATGTATATTGTGACATTTTAGACACATATCATTTATAAAATAATCTGATTTCATAGAAAATTCTTATTTTTCTCATGTCTGATTCATTTATGCATCTGTTACCTTGATACACTTTCTCATTAAGTGCCTCATACATACTATAGTTAATCTCAATTTTTACATTGTTGACATAATTAGCTTACAGATAACCAGGCTAATCATGTATTTATATTTAATAATTTTGATGGCTTATTATATTTCCTTGGAAAAACTTGGACCAGATTGCCAAGGTAAACGTTGAATTTACATAAGGTTCAATTACGGAGATTTGAAAAAAGTTTTCCTCTTCACTGTGTTCATATTAACTTGGCACTGAACTAATCTGAGAGTATTTGTTCAAAATTTGGATGTATGTCCTTATAAGTATATAGCAATTATTACTTTTTAGTATCCAGATAATCCTTCAGTAGATTGTTGTATGCTTGTTATCCCAATTACTAGTGTATCGATCACATTTTGCTTCCACGTTGATTGACTGTGAAATAAATAAAAGTCATCAATTTATGACTTGGTGTTTTGATGTGAACAGAAATTCACTAGAGAAATATCAGTTAATAGATATCGACTGCTTGATCAAAGTGTTTTTAAGAAAGCACTCAGTTAACCTGCTAGAGCATTTATTAAATATAATTTAGTGTATATGAATCCACCGGTGATTCAATAGCAGTTATCTTTTGTCTTTATCTTTAACTTATATACTATGTCAAGCCAACATAAATGACTTTATATCCTAGTACAAACATGTTATCAGCTAAGGTTGCTGTATTGCACATTCGTACAAAAGAATAATAATAAAAAAATACTTGAAAATATTAATATCAGCAGTGTAATGAAAACACAAATGGAAAAAAACATGTAAAAGTACGTTTATCACTTTGAAATAATAGTATCCACATTAATTATATACTTATTATCTCGGTCTTTCAGTATTGAAGTACTATTTCTTTTAAACTGTTTAACTTAAGTCAGTAAGTTTCTTTGCTGTAGCCCTGTCATTAATAATTCGATCATTAGTTGATCTTTAAAATTAGTATCGCAGAAGAAGATAGTCGTTTTTACCCAAAAAGTTGTAGTTTGTAATACATATTGAGTTAAAATTCAACCACTAAATCATCAGTAGAACTGAAATGCTCAGCTATAATATTATTATTGTTATTATGTTATATAAAATATGCCGATATTCATCAACACATTTTCGTATTTATTCTCTAAATAATAATTACTGCTAAACAATTTTTCTTTGTCTCTAAATATCTTGTTTATTGTTTTTACAAAATGCTAATGGAAACCATTCTATTGATATATATATATATATATATATATATATATATATATATATATATATATATATATATATATATATATATATATTAATTCGTTTTTCATACAGATCTCTAGTAATACAGAATTGTGCAGGCTTTTGTATACGTTTTAACCAGTATCTTGGATACATTGTATGTTTACAGATGTAATTAATTGTCGAAATAAAATGAACAACTCTAGCTACTTATTTTAGGAATGTTATTGATAGATTTATTCTTTTTGAGTGACAATTATTTATGACTTATCTTTGTTGACCTTTAGGGTTTATTGATGACAAATTTTAGTGTTCTCAAATTGATTTTATCATTAATAAATCAGTCAGTTAGTCAGTCAGCTACAACGTAGAACTTCATACGTACGTACATCAGTTCAAGTTGCTATAAGACATTAGCACAGAGACACAATTGTTAATTCAAATCCCATGGTGGCAGAGGTAGAAGAAGTATTGTGTTGGTGTTTCGTTATGGTTGTGAAGCTTTCATTGTTCTTCTAAATAACATCATCAGCAAAAACTTCAGATAGAAGTGAAGCATTCGAATTTCTCCACGTTTGCCCCTTAACTTGTTGTGTTAACTTCGATCTGGATTGGTTGCTGGTGACCTTAAAGCTATCGTTGTTGACACCTTTGTTTTGATTGTATCTCGCTTTGGTCTGTGTCTTGATCCTATGTTTGGTTGAATTGGGTCAATGTCGATGTGTTTGTTGATTGCCGATTGACCCGATTGCCAAGCTTCTAAAAATTCTCCAGTGATTTTTGTGCTCCCTCCATCCAGTATTTCCGCATTGTTCCAATCGAATTTATGTCTATGATTGTCCGTATGTATTGATATAAGCAACGAATTGTCGTGTCGTTTGAATGCTAATTGGTGTTCACGTAAACGAAGCTGAAGAGGAAGAAACACCAAATATCATCTACAAAATAAATTGCTCTGATTTTGAAAAACACTACATACGACGAAGTGGACGTCAATAGCAACCATCAAGATTGATTTTAACGGAACAAGCTACGGGTCAAACGTGGAGAAAATTGAAAACTCCACTTCTATCTGAAGTTTTTACCGATGATGTTGTTCAGAATAACAATGTAAGCTCGACAACCATAACACCCAGCTCAGAGAACGAAACACTACCACAATCATTCACCTGAGCTACCAATTTTCTCCACCATCTTAGAAGAAATATTAGCGATAATCAAGAGGATTAAGAATCGAAAATATCATTCGAGAAGTATATCTCAGTAAAATAAATTTAAAAAGAGAAAGACGGAGGTGATGAGGAATTCAGAAGATCATGACGATTTGATCGAAACCACTATACACCTGTCATATGTTCAATTTAAATAGTTTATTGTCGATAATAATTTCGTTGAAAACACATCATTATTTGAATAATACACGCTGCTTGAAAACCATACACATGTGTAATGAATAAATACTTAGACGCAAGTAGTAGGAGTTTTTGAGATAAATACTATAAAATGTTTTGTTTTTGGAGATGGTCAGCTGAAAGCTCTGCTTAACCAGGTTTCATGCTAGTTAGCCCTAGTCAATAATGTACAATTGCAATATCCAGGGAACTGATGCCTCTTAGGGGGATTTGAAAGTGGATTACCAAGTTTCACAAAATTAGACATCGATAAACTGAAGAACTAGACCAACTTGACAGTGGCGATGACTTAGTAGCCACTCAATTGTGAATACAATAAAATATACACTGGTGTTAGGATATTCATAAAGTACCATAAAATAATTGTTTTTGGAAGCCTGATTCTATTGGTCAGTTTCCTACTGGTCAATTTTATGGTCGTCCTAGCTATCAATGTCACCTCAAATGTAGTTTCCTATTGGTCGTTCTAACTGTCAATATCACAGACTTCAATGTTGTTTCCTATTCGACCTAACTGTATAAATACGCATTATCTGTAACGTTTTATGACCCGGATCCTGATTCTCTTCTGAACTCAGACCTCGTACTTTCTGGATTCTACTTCATATAACGTCTTCTTCTACTACTCAATGGGTTCTTGAGACAATCGGATTAGAGTAGCATGTCCTGTCGCCAGATCCTCGCTCTCGTTATCCGACTAAGGTAAACTCGTAATAGTTTAAGCATATAAAAATGACATGTGCATGCGTAACAACTAGTAAAGCCCATTTTTTCTAGGAATAAAATTGAAAAGCCTCTTGTAATTTTCAAGACTGTGTTGATCTAGAGAATTTTTAAATTATTCAACATGTCTAAAGAGACTAAGTGATGCCAGTCAAAAAGGAGACATTTAAAGACCTTCAATATTCAATTATCGGTTTCTGGTAATTATTCAATGTTATAAGTGATTACGTAATACTACTTGTTCTTTGATCTGAAACAATTTCATTGATGCGCAACAATATCTTCTATTTCCAGATGGGATGAAGAGCTCAATTCAATAAAAGCAGAACATCGTTTAGAGAAAATGTCCTTAGAAGAACAATTAACTCAAATGACTAGTAGATGTAAAGAATTAGAAGAACACAATACAGATTCTAATAAAACAATAGAAGAGTTAAAATGTAAAATTCAAAATTACGAACAAAATTTACAAAAATATCAAACAAGCTTAACCGAACAACAAAATGTATCGAAGTCAATTATCAAAAAGTGTGCTAAATTAAAAGAACACTGGCAAAATCAATTAAAACAATGTAAAGACTCTATGAAGAAAAGTTTAGAATTGAAAAAGGATGAAATATACAAGTTGAAAGAAGAAATCTCTACAGTGATTAAAAAATATGAATTAGAATTTCAAGATTATCAGAAACAAGTTGATTTAACTGCGCAAGTATGTTTTATTTACATGAGATTTCCAAACACATAATATTGTATATGATGGCAATCAAGTAAATCCATGTGATAATTCTGAATCTTGATTTCCAGTATTCTTTGCCTACATACTTTACGATTGCGTCGTTTCGAAGTATATTTGGTGTGCTACTTTATCTTGTTAGTTTTCATCATGTCGTGCTAATTAATACCTTAGGTTAGCGCATATCTGTGCTAGTCCCTTTGTTACTAGTGAATTAACTTTAGATTTTTATTACAATTAGAATAATTAATTTTATGGTCAAATTAGTCGCTGAATATTAAAAATTTCCATTTCGGAAAGTAGAATAACTTATATAAACGAATAACATTAGTTTTAAGTTAAATTCTCATTAGACTTTAACATAAAGTTATATTTATATATGTAAATGAAAATGTTAAACAAATCAAGGTATTTTCTGGGTCTATAATCACAATGAAATAGATTGTGCAACCACATATAATAGATAAAAAGTACAAACCATTATTAAGATGATTAATATATATATATATATATATATATATATATATATAAAGTATAATAAAATAATCCAAGTATAATCATTAGTTTTCATTGACTCATAAACTGTCTTGGTTGGTTCGTTATTTTCCTATATGCATATAAATATGACTATATATTTTGAAGTAAAGTATGATGAGGGTTTAACTGAAAACAATATTGTGCTAGTATGTGAATGAAAAAGAGAATTACTTAGTTTTATTTCTTAATTTTGAAAAATGCAACCAGTATTCCAGAACATAAATCTATTAGCATGAATACGTCGACCCGTTTTCACACAAATAAGTCACAGGAACAAGACTCAATATTTTACCCACAGTTTTGACCGAATGGATTGGTTACTAAAGAGTGACTAGTATCCTGTTCGTCTAATTATATGGTTCTGGTTGAATTCCACCAATTACGTTGCACTTTGACTAACGATCTGCGCTACTCTACATTAGGTGCACTATGTTGAGATGCTAAGTAGTCGTAGAAAGTTGGCAGGAAACCGTTTTTCACCTAAGTTTCAGGTTGGTTGACACTCGCCATCAGTGTCTTCAGAAGCTCGAGGGGATTCATTCCAACCCGGGTTACTCACTTCGAAAGTCTGAGACATCACAACCAAGTTATTTGGGCAACTAGTGGACACTATTATTAGATCTTATATGAAAAATAGCCCAGGTTTCGGTCCATAAAACCGGTACTTGGAAGATAAGTTTGTAATGAACCAATGAAATGCACTGACGATTGTTTGAGGAAGGTTTATTCCAGCGAACTAATTGCACGTATGCTCTAAAATTGAGGGACGAATTTTGCGTGAAAGAAGGTTCACTTATAAAAATCATAACAAACCTTGAGTAATTTACTAATGGGAATCATAAGATACCTTGTGACCATAAAAAACAGTCGTATTGATTTGTAGATTCCTGAAATGCCCATAGACACGAATGTAATTACAAAATTAACTCCTAATCCGAATTTAACACATAATCTCAACTTTTGTGATGGTTTGACGACATTGCGAGTAAAATCAGCCAGTAAAAACTCGGCCTCATAAAAGTAGTTATTTAAGTGTTTTTACATCAGCGATGTTTTAACCAACGTACTAATAAATTGATTAGCTGATATCTATTTACAGCTTTCCTGACATATCACACTTAGATGATTTTCCCAACTCTACCTGTTCATTTATGATGCGTGACAGTCGAAAACCGTAAGGAGTGGAGTTGTTCTGTTAACTGTATGATGATGTTTCCCCAGAATCATCAGCACCTGTAACTGTTCTGCTTTCGCACAATGGTATAAAAGTGTTGGAAAGTTTCCTTATTAAAACATTTTAAATGTGTATATTATTCATCATTTTCTCTAACTGTAATCATTCGTTTGTTATTTGAAGTTTATTTCTCATACTTTATTCAATCATAGCGAAAAATTCGAGAGCAACTAGTAGCCTACGAACAAAAAATCCAAGAAAATGCTACACAAGCTGAAGAAAATTTGCGTAACAAGTTACGAGAAGCGTCAGACCGTTATAAAGTAGATCTTGATCAATTACGATTGAATGCTGAAACGGAATTGTCACGACAAATGTCTGAAACTGAACATCGAGTTGAAGTTGAACGTAAACGTGTACAAATAGCAGAGAAGCAATGTGAACAGTGGCGTATCAGAACAAGAGAAGCTGAAGAAGCAAGATCTGCGTTAGCTCTTCAGATAAATGAATTGTTACAAACACGTTGTACTGAAGCGATGCAAGTAATTCAAACAAACAATTTTTCTACTTGTAGGTGGTATTTGTCATGGATCAGTCACATTTAGGGCACCATTAATCTATTACGAGTAATGCATACAAATTAAATATACCTCCGTAAAAACTTTTCAAATAAAGCATAATGTTAGCTCACTAGTGACTGACTTGAAGATACTTCTGAAGTTCCCCGACCTTAGCTGCTACCTTGACGTGGTGGTCGGGCTTGACTATCGTGATGACCCAGCCGAGCTATACTGTCTGGAACATATGTTCCCGAAGGTTCTACCATGCCTGGCAGGTCGATTGGAGAACGATGAGACTAAAAGCAGCTACCCAAGGTCTGAGGGCTAAGTCGTACTGCTGACTGCAGAGGGGTGTGACAGCAGTAAGGTGCTTCCCTCGGACAACCAGCATCTGCTTCTATGCTGCCTTCTCATCATTGCAGGAAAGAGGTTCGAAAAGATCAACCCTATAAATATCGCACCTCACCCTACCTCACGGATTTCCGTCTCCGTCGGTAAGGGTGCCCACTAAGGGCCTTTAAGAGCGGAGCTAATACTAAAAAAACCCTTCATAAAAAGGCCGTGCGTGACCGGCCTCAAGCAGTTGTCCCCTGGGCTCTGCTGTCACTCGCCCAGGTCTCTAAGACCAACACTAATCTACCTTCCTTTTCAGGTCCCTCAAGAAACAACCTTCCACGGTGTGGGCAGCCGGGAAGTGACAACCGCCCTCATACCCGTACCCGTGCCAGCACACTTCTGAAGTTCTGGTGAAATGTCGTGACTGGTGGTGCTCAGTCATGTTAGGAGCCAAACAATTGTTACAGATACTACTGAATGGTTGTTACGCTACATCGCATAGTTGATCGAAGTTGTAACTGTACCATTAGTACCCGGTCCAGTGATTAAGCGTCCCACGCTTTACCTGGAGGTCTGAGATTCGATCTTCTGTTGAGTAGGCGTATGCCCACTGGTAGGGAAACCCATACATGAGCAAAATAGCTATCTATTGCTACCTGATTTTCAATGATACCCCCGATGAAATCAATTTGTAACGAATATCATTTACAAATTAAATCACTCCCAAAAAAAACCTTCAAATAAATTTGGTTAATCTTGCTACACCATACATTACAGTAAAAATACGTTCAAAAGTAAACTATGTAAATATATATATATATATATATATATATATATATATATATATATATATATATATATAGTAATTTAGTTACTTTATAATTACACAATAAGAATATATATAACAACATTCTATAAAGTAGGCCTGAAAGTTACCATTCCCTCATTACTCCTTCTGATATAACAGATTAAATATATTGACACAAAGTAATTGGGCAGCTAGGAATTCTCAGGAGATTTGATGTAGTTTGCTTGACCGCTGAGTACACACACGAGGTTCTAATTACAAAAAAAACTGACCAGTCAATGAGCACTAAAACTGAAAAATACACACTTTCCTAAATTTACTACTCTGTAGTATACAAAAAATTCGACAAAGACTTCATTGCAGAATAATAGTCATGTGTTCTGTAGATACAACTGGCTTCAATCCTTTACGTAATATTCTTCAGAAGAATCGACATCCTTAAAATCTTATTACCGAATACATCTACAAAAATAAAATGAAAACATGTTCAAACAGTAAGTAACAAATCGCTTTTTATAAACCTTCAACTCAGAAGTGACGAACCCAGTGGAATGTTAGTTTCACAAGTTACATGAATCATCTTAAAGAACATTCAAGGCAGATAAACGAACTATTCATAGCAACCACATTGATCTGGTGAAAGTGTTCACTTTCAATTGTGAACTGAACTTTGTTAGTGCAAATGAAGTTGTCTGAACATGTAACTAAGGATTTAAAAAAACAAGTAAATCAAATGACCCAATACGAGTAGATGATCAGCATGTATCATCCTCTGTTGCCAAACACATAGTTGAAACAGGCTGTAAGATTGATCTTAACTTGGCTTTTTTAGAGTTATACAAAAGTGTTGAAGTCTTGACCATACGAAAATTTGAACCCTCTTTATTTATTTAAAAATAATTTGTTCTTAACCAAAATCTACCTTGGTAGTATCGTTTTATAATTTTGTGTAGTGAGTTTCACGCTATTTTCCTTATTGTCTTTGCTTCCTCTTACACTCTATTTGTCCAGATGACCTTTTGTTTTTCATAGATAAATGTTATTTACAAGTATACATGTGGTCAGATTGTTCGAAACATATTGTCTTTAATATATCACATAGTTCCTATTACACTATCGAAATTTATGAAGGGGAAGTAGTTCGTTTAAATAAATCTATGGATATTTGCTACATAATTTAAATTTATTATAATAGTTCTACATTTTATAAACTGAAATTTCTTTTCCACTCCTTATGTAGATGCTTCGATCTAGTTCAACCACTGCACTCCTAAATATTCCTACTCCTCATGATTTTGTTAATAATATTAATAATGTTTCTTCAAAGACACATACTGATTCTGAACCAAGTGATTATAATCTGAACAGAGAAAGTCCCAACGGTGGTAGTGAATCAGGAGAGGAACAACAACATCCAAGTACGTCGACAGTGAATGCATTTGAAACTCAAATTCTGTCACGTAGTGGTTTGAATAAACAATATGAATTGGATAATATTAATGCATTAGATAACCAACAAATGTGAATCTAAATGTTGTCGATCTCAACTGTGATATATTTGTTACATAAACTTCTACTGCTGTGCACACCAGTAGCATAACACTTTGTTTTTACATGTATGCAGTACTCCTGCTAGGAAGACCGGTGTAATTTCGCTTGATTTTAAATAAATTTGAATTAAAAAAGTACTTTGTATCTTTAAATGCCGATAAGATTAATTTCCAGTGGCGCAGGTGCATTCGCTCTTTGTGTTCTATTAAATCCTGATCCTCTGCATTCATCACCTTTATCTTTCTCTTTTTAAGTTTATTTCACTAGATTATACTTTTTGATTATTATATTAGAATTATAATCTCTCCGATTACTCCTATCATCTCTACTACTATGGGATTTGAATTGATTATTGCGTCTCTGTGGTAATGTAGTATGGTAAATTGAACTGATGTACGTACATACGAAGTTCAATGTTGTGGCTGACTGACTACCTCAGTATAAGTGTATGTTTAATGTCATACTGTTTCATCAGAGTTAGTAACTTACACCTGTTATCCCTGATGGAGCATGGGCCGCCGAACAGGATTCTTCAACCAACTCTCCTGAATCCTCCTTTTCAGTTCTTCTCAGTTGCTATTCATTCTTTCAATGTCTACCTCCGGTTCTGAACGCAATGTGTTCCTTAGTCTTTCTCTTCTCCTCTTGTCTTGAGGATCGCATGTGACGGCTTGTCCTGTTACGCAGTTTGGGGGATTCCCGCAGTGTCTTATTCACTTCCTAAATTTTTTCTGTAGTTGGTAGCTGGTGTGTCCTCTTGCTAATGATGTCTGGCTATCGGATCCGAAGTATCTTGCGTAGACAGTTGTTTACAAATAATTGTACTTTTTGAATGACATTTTTCGTAGTTCTACAAGTTTTCAACCCCACACAATGAGTCTGTCTCGACATTTGTCTTGAAAATTCTGGCTTTGATGATAACTGACAGTTGGTCTGTGTTCCAGGTGTTCTTCAATTGTAGAAGTGTCGCGGTTGTTTTGCCGACTTGTGCCTTCACATTCGCAATAGATCCACCTTGTTTATCAATGATGCTGCCAATGTATGTAAAAGTTTTCACAGGTTGTTGCTAAGCTGGCCATCTTCTCCTGCATATGTTTCAATGAGAGATGGAAAAGCTAGACCATCTACGAAGTCCAAATGGTTTGGCAAAATCGGAGCTGTCCACCACATCAGTTGTTTCGCCTGATGTGTTAAGGTCTTCAAAATCAAGGTGTTAAGTCTTCAGTCAATCACAAGAAGAAAGAGAAAGGGTGAGAGAAAGCAACTCTGTCTGACAGCGGTCTTCACTTAAATGAATCTGTAAGCTGTCCTACCTGCACGATTTTACAGCGTATTGTGTCGTAAGAACTCCGCATAATGTTGAATATTTCATTATTTCCCCCCCATCCACTCTCTAAATTGCTTCCTCGTAGTCAGGGAAGTTGGTGTTAATTAGTGAGTTTCATTAAATTGATTGTTCAACAATGATGCGTAGGGTCGTTATTAGGTTGGTATAAGATCGATCCTTGCCTCGAAGTTGGGCTTCTAATTAATGCCTCATTCTGTTCAGCAACACTCTATTGAAAACTTTTCCTGGTGTTGGTAGTAGAGTGATGCCTCTGTGGTTCTCACACTTTCTGAGACCTTTATTTGGTATCTTCATGATGTGTCCCTGTTTCCAGTTTGTTGATACTTGTTCTCCATCTTAAATCTTGCTGATAAAAGTGTGGAACATCTGTTTGGTTACTGCTATCTCTGCTTTCAGTGCCTCAACTGATATACTGTCTGATCCTTCCGCTTTGCAACTCTTGATTTGTTTAATGGTTGCGCTGATTTTCTTTGTTGTTTCTATTGCTACTTAATTATAGTTAAGTAGTTTTAAATTGGATGCCGAGAAACTGTGAAACAAATATGAAACAGGTCATTCTCGGCTAATTTGCAGAAATTTTGTCTAGAATTAGGTTCTTTTTTATCTTTAATCATTACTGCAGTACGTAAAATTCGTCTTGTTGAACAAGACTACAGATTAATTTGATTTGCAGTTCATATCGACAACTTTTCTGTATTGCTATTACTGTTATTTGCCTTTAATCATATGTAAACAGGATTAAAATCATGTTTCAAAACAACTAAGTTTTGAACAACCGCAACGCTATTCCACTCGATCCAATAAATATGTGAATACGAGTGACTCAAGTTATTTCACAATATTTAGGCTGCATCATTTTCACCCCTTTGGTGACGATATATTTGTCACATTATCATTGTTAAAAAACAATCTTGAGTGTTCCCAGAGATCTAGCTCGTCAGCCACCTTATCAATTCGAAAGATTTACTGAGTTTTATTTTTTTTATCAAAATCAAATGTACAGACGGTTTTCCTTGATTCAGTTCATCAAAAGTTAATTGGACAGTGAGTTGGCTTTCAAAAAGAACAGTAGATTAAACTCGTTCTCTTCATCTGCTGAGGGTTTGAAGGTCGTCCTGGTCTTGATCAGTTTTTACAATTTTCACAAACAGCAGCAAAACCTCTAGTTAAATTGGAAAGAGCCATTTTCCTGAATGTGACCTACGTCAATATCTCTGGAAATATTATGAATTTTTCGGGAGGTTATCCTAAGTTTAATCAACAACCTCAGTTTCCGTATTTATAAGACAGACTACATGTTTCATCAGTCAAAATTAATGTATACTTTTTAACGTAAAGAGGGCTTAATTCCTTGTTATCTGTATAAATTTACAGCTTCATTCTTTAAAACAATAATAAGTGTAATACCCTGTCTAGAAAGATAGAAAACTGCTTTTTTATATCCTCGGAGAATTAAATATCTAATCTCTTATACCACAGTTTGCTTGATTTATAAATCATTCGTACTACATGAACAACAGAAAATTGACTTTGAAGCATAAGAAAATTTATGTATATAATTATATCATCCTTCTTAAAGCAACAAAAATCCATACCAGTAGATTTAATCAATAAATTAACATTGATTTATTAAATAAATGTATAGCTCTCTGAATATAATACATTATGCACCAAAAATAAGGATAGCCGTTTGGTTAAAATGGATTTTTGGATTGTTATTATGACACAGAACTTATAAGAATGTTGTACAATATATACTGACCAAAGTAGATCAACATACCTTAAGAGAGTTAAGAAAAGTTAAAACCCAGATCATAAATCAGGTAAACATGAAGGGTTAGTTCCCCAACCGTAGCTGCTACATTGACGTGGTGGTCGGGCTTGACTATCGTGATGACCCAAACGAGATATACTGGCTGGAACATATGTTCCCGAAGGTTCTACCATGCCTGGCAGGTCGATTGGAGAACGATGAGACTAAAAGCAGCTACCCAAGGTCTGAGGGCGAAGTCGTACTGCTGACTGCAGAGGGGTGTGACAGCAGTAAGGTGTTTCCCTCGGACAACCAGCATCTGCAGCGATGCTGCCTTCTCACAAGGAAGGAAGGGTTAGAAAAGGTCGGCCCTAAAAATGTCACACCTCCCCTAACTCACGGATTTCCGTCTCCCTGGGTAAGGGTGTCCACTAAGGGCCTTTAAGAGCGGAGCTAATCCCCAAAAAACCTTTAACAAAAAGGCCGTGCGTGACCAGCCTCAAGCAGTTGTCCCTTGGGCTCTGCGGTCACGCACCAACCCTAATCTATCTTCCTTTTCAGGTCCCTCATGAATCAACCTTCCACGGTGTGGGCAGCCGGGAAGTGACAACCGCCCTCATACCCGCAACAGCACGCGAGACCAAATTGGTCAAAATCAAATCCTTCCTACATCTCCTAATATCTCTCTTACCTCTACGACTGACTGAAGGGTTAGTTCCAGTGAATAGGATGGAGTGCATAAGCGAAATGAAGCTAATGCTGAATGATCTTCATAAAAGGTAGTAACAACAAGGACGTTCTAAAATCGCAACGATATGGGCAGTTTTCTTCAAGAACTGAAAAAAATGGTGTAAGTTTGATGGATTTTTGTTATCTACCTAAACTTGCTATATCACAGCGCATTGATCTCCTTAAACTCTATAAGTTAGAATATCCTCTTCGCAGTTTCATATATGTGCAACTCCCCATATCGCAAAGTTACAAAGAAGCTAGTCCGAATTTCAACATAAATTATCCGAAAAAGCCATAAAGAGGTCCCGGACTGTACATAAAAAAAAGGAAATGCAAATGTTAGCGGAAAAAATAATTTCTTTAGGTATATCTTTAATTACCAATGTACCACCAATCAAATTCATATGATTACAAGTCTTAGAAAAGCAAATCAACATTGGAAATATAAAGGTGATAAATACAGTGGCTCAGGATTTAAGAAAAAACAAAAAGTGGATGCACCTGCACCATCGCAAACAGTTTTGAGCCATGACGTTAAAGGTCTCTAATCCTTCGACTACTATGACTTCTCGGACCCAAACCAGGTGCTCTACACCTTTTAAAATGGTTTAGTCCAGTCGTCAGTGACCGTGGATTTATACCATAGTTTGATCTGATCACACCTAGATTTCCTCCAAACCATTCCTACACCACGAAATATCGCCCGCCTAGGCAATCAGTGGTTGGGCATTCGTAACATATGTCCCAACCACCTCAACTGACGAAGATTCAGTACTTCATCTGTTGATCTGTCATCCTTACCCAGTACCTTTATCCTATCTATATCAGTGCTAACTTGGTTGTCCCAGGATATAAGAGCAATGCTTCGGAGACACCTATGATCGAAAACCAGTAACTTACGAATATCTTCTACTCTTACTGGCCATGTCTCACAATCGCAAAGTAAGACAGAGCAAACTGCTGCACAGTAGACTCATCGTTTGGTTAGCAAACATATATTTCGCCTACGCCATATGTGACGCACGTTTTCAAAAGCCAGTCAATATTTCTGTATCAGTGCTGAGACTTCACACAATCATTAGCACTGATGAGACTCCCCAGACAAGTGAAGCTGTCGACACGCTCAGCCGCTTCACTCTATATCACTATTTCAGGTGCCGATGCAAGTCAATCCTCAAGCAACATTTCGCATTTGCAGGGGAAGAATCGCATCAAGATCAATCTTTCATTGTTGTTTAGGGTGGTCAGAAGACTCTGCATTTTGTCAGCGTCTCCCGGTAGAAGGTCAGCTCCTGATAAGTCAGGCGATGAAACTGTCATATCTAAAAGCATGTCGATGAAGAAGTTGAATAAGAATGGAGAAAGTGGACATCCTTGACGGACATGTTTGAAGTAATGAATTCCGATGATAGTTCGCCACAAGCTGTAACTCGACCAGTTATGTTCGAATAGAAAGCTTGCACAAGGTTCATGTACTTCTTCGGCACTCCTTTCAGTGACAGACACTGCCATAAAACCTCAAGATCAATAGAATCGAATGCTGCATTAAGATCAAGAAATACTACTATTGTGAGACTATTGAACGTGTGTCTATGTTCCAGCACCTGAAAAAGAAAGAATATTTGGTCTATACATTCACATCCAGGTCTGAAACCAGCTCGGTTTTCTCAACTCTACTCCTCACGAGCGTCGGAGTATTATTAAAGCTAATATTTTACACAATATATTAGTCAGATTGATTCCCCTGTGATTGTCACAAAAAGGCTTTTATCCTTTCTTATAAATTGGCACAATCACGGATTAAGACCAGTCAGATGGGATTACGACCAGTTCCTAGATTCTAGTTAAGATCTCAGTCAATCTAGCTGCTAAAACTGGACCACCATCCTTAAAAATTTCAGGGGTAAGCCTGTTAGGCCGTGCTGCTCTCCCTCGCTTCAGATTTCCTATAGCTTTATCAACTTCAATAAGGGTCGGAAGACTAATTCGCCATTCAGGTCGACTGGCGATCGAGGGCAACCGAGGTGTGGCTGAAGACCACCTGAACTGATTCCTAAAGTGTTCTGCCCATCGGTCCAATCTCCTGGATTGAGAATGAATAGCAACTTCATCCTTTTTCCGAGATAGTCCCACTTACAGTTGGATTCCTAATACCGGTTTCCTTGATGAGTCTGAATAGTAGTCTACTGTTACCTATCATCGCTGCCTTTTCCATCGGTCTTGCTTTCGCTACCCACCACTGTTCGCGATCATTACATAGACTTTTTGTCAGCCTGTGCTTAAGCTGACTCCGCTCTTCGTCATGTTCAGAGCCAGGTGGGATGAATTCCCAAGCATCTATCAGTTCAGCAGATTCTAATGAGTTCCACGGCTTATCCCTAATCTTATGACTGTGAATAATAAACTAGTAATAGATTAGGAATAATAAATCACACAAAAGTAGCTAACGGGTTAATCGGAAGGTCATAATAAAAGGAATGTATTTATATATAATCTAGTTAATTAATAGTTATACAAAAAGACTACACACAACGGTAATCCATGGGTCAGTTCTTCTTCCTGCTATAGCAATCATATGTTGCAATTGACTGTTATTATTAACAAAATAACAAGTAAATAGTAATAAACTGAGTTTTTCAAATTTAAAACTCATCGACATTAAAGCAAATAAAAAGCAACTATTGTATTCATAGTATGTTTTAATAACAATTTCTGACCCAGATAGAGTCATCATTGATTTTTTTTAATTCTAAGTTCACTCACTCTATAATATACGCACTACCATAGTGTAATTAATTCACGTATTCATTGAGACAACGATCGAGTCAGTATTCCGGTTGAATTATTGATTATACATAACATAGAAACGTTTCATATTGTCAAGAGAATTTATAAAATAGCTCAGACATTTGTGAATATGTAAAATCAATAATCGGTTTCGAAATAAACCCAATCAACTTTAAATGACACACACATTATTTAAACAGTTAGCATATCATGTAACGAACTATCAGTAATGCTTTAATAATCGTGTTATGAACGGTAATCAAGATCATAGTTTCTAATTATAATTATTAGTTCGTGATATTAAAAGCAATTTAATAACGCGGATAGATGGTTGAGATGCATACTTTGTTTAGATCAGTATTATGCAATAAACTCAGTGGTGAGTCTTACTTTCGAGATGGTGGAGAAAACATGTAGCTGAGGTGGATGATTGTGGTGGTGTTTCGTTCTCTGAGCTGGTTGTTTTGGTTGTGGAGCTTTCATTGTTCTTCTGAACAACATCATCAGCACAAACTTCAGATAGAAGTGAAGCATTAGAATTTCTCCACGTTTGACCTGTAGCTTGTTCTGCTAACCTCGATCTTGATTGGTTGTTGTTGACCTTTGACCTGTCGTTGTTTGCAACTATGTTTTGATTGCCTCCCTCTTTTGATCTGTTTCTTGATCCAATGTCACCTATGATTCTCCTGATTGTTTGATAAATTGGGTCAATGTCGATGTGTTTGTTGATTGCTAATTGACCTGAGTGCCAAGCTTCTAAAAATTCTCTAGTGTTCTTTGTCCTCCCCCTACCCAGTATTTCCACGTTGTTCCAATCAAATGTGTGTCCATAGTTGTCGGTATGTATTGAGATAAGCGAAGCGTTGTCGTGACGTTCGACTGCTAATTGATGTTTTCCTCGTTTTTTAATGTTTCGTATGTGCTGCAGTGTGTTTTCGCTCTCTTAAACAGAGTTTGTATGCAGTTAATCTTGTGGGTTCTTGGGTTGTTGCTGTCACGACAGCTGATGACTATCTTCCAAAAGAACGGCTATCCACGCAACTTCATCAAAAAACATCAACCAAAACCATCATCAGAAGTGAAATCAAGCACAGGAACAAATAAACGCATCATCCTACCATACATCAAAGACATATCGGAACATACGGCACGACTACTGAAACCATTTGGAATAGGTGTGGCACACAAACCAACAGAATCACTTCAATCAATCCTATGTAGACCAAAGGACAAAATGACAAAGGAAGAAAAACCAAATATCATCTACAAAATAAACTGTTCAAATTGATAAAAATCACTACATAGGACAAAGTGGACGACCTCTTCAGCTCCGTTTACGTGAACATCAGTTAGCAGTCAAGCGTCACGACAACGCTTCGCTTATCTCAATACATACCGACAACTATGGACACACATTTGATTGGAACAACGTGGAAATACTGGGTAGGGGGAGGACAAAGAACACTAGAGAATTTTTAGAAGCTTGGCACTCAGGTCAATTAGCAATCAACAAACACATCGACATTGACCCAATTTATCAAACAATCAGGAGAATCATAGGTGACATTGGATCAAGAAACAGATCAAAAGAGGGAGGCAATCAAAACATAGTTGCAAACAACGACAGGTCAAAGGTCAACAACAACCAATCAAGATCGAGGTTAGCAGAACAAGCTACAGGTCAAACGTGGAGAAATTCTAATGCTTCACTTCTATCTGAAGTTTGTGCTGATGATGTTGTTCAGAAGAACAATGAAAGCTCCACAACCAAAACAACCAGCTCAGAGAACGAAACACCACTACAGTCTTACTTTCATCAATTTATATGATATGAATAAAATACATATTAAGAGTTGTGTACAACCAAGTGATAAAAACTTAGAAAAGATTTTGTGAACAAAAAAAAAACAATCTACGGTTAACAAACATGAAAGTGGTCGAGATAGAAGAGACTAACAAGAACACTAGAAGCAAATCTAATGAAATCATCTGCATACTTTCAAGACATTATTCACACAAAAAATATTTTCTGATTTAGGTCTATCACGTGTAACTAACAATGCAGCATAGAATAAAAATACTACAGTTCACTGCCACAATAGTTAAAAGTTATGCAAGTTCCATAAAATATCTATTATCATAGAGCATACTGGTGTTACATACAGTCTGGAAAAAAAATATTTTAAACTGAACGATGGACATTGGAAGCCACTAAGTAGTATATATTCCTACTGATACTGTTTAAAAACCAGTGTTCATTATTGACACCATATAATAGATGTGATCAATCGCCAGATTAACGAAGTCTGGGAAAATGAAGTCCTTAATCCTAACTTAGCGGCTGAATGACAGTGCGCTAGCCACAAGACATAAATATCTTAGGTTCTAAATCACATTGCACACAATAGTGTAGATTATATAGAGAGGTTACATAGTCCTGAAAACAATCACAAAAAATCTATCCCTTTTATACGAAGAAAATGTTTAGACTGAAAAATTCTCACAATTCTATTGAATATAAAAACATTTATTTGATATCACAGTGAAATTAAGTTATTAAGAAACACAAAGCGAGCGAAGCATTCAATTCCTTTTTCAAAAAAAAAAAAAAACGTTGTCTAATTACAAAAGAACATTAAGAAAATTATCTAAGTAATGGAGATTGAGATGAAGATAATAAACGGGTTCTATCAAATAAATCATTTTCATCACTACCATTGTTATGATTGAGATCACGTTTAGCATTATGATCATCGCCACCACCAACAACAATCACACTAGCAAAAGAATTATTATCATTTCGATTGAAATTCACTGATCCTTTGGATTTTTGTTCATTTTCTAAATGTCGAACAGCTGCATAAACTGCTGATCCGCCTAAAACAACAACATTACTAAGCCACCATGAAAGTGATTTGATTTCATGATAGACGATTACAGCTAATACTGTTTGTGCAGCTGCTTTGGCAGTACCAGAAACATTATGAGTTAATGGACTGGTCACTTGAATTTGCAATGTGCTGATGTAACCGATAGAAAATCCAAATATTCCACTGATTACCATAATAAACCAGAAGTAAACGCTAGAAAAATATGATGAATAGTTATAAAAAAAACCCATGATGATTATTCTTGTTATTATATTTGAGAAGAAAGAAGGCAAGTCACAACACATTCTAAAGCAGACTTAATGATTTCGAAAATGTATAGTTCTTTAAACTGTAGTTAGACATGAAGTAAACCTTGACTGCATGTATATATATATAGTTCATTTAACATTGGAGTTACACCTTGCTGGCAAGTGCCAACCAGCACGAAACCCAAGTTAAGTTAGGTTTCTTGCCGACTAGCCATCTGATAGGGTTATTCAGTACTTGTTAGTTTTTAGTAGTTTTCTCTGAGAACGAAACTCCACTATAATCATCTAACTGAGCTACAAATTTTCTCCGCCATCTCATTAGTTCTTCCTTCAGACGACATCATTTCATGACAAACATTTTTGCTGCAAACACATTCTAGGTTTACAATTAACACGTGATTCCAAACACTAATAAGTCGGGCATAAATTAGTAAACAACCAACTGTAACAAAATCTGATTGATAGAAGGTTAATCGAAAAGAAATAACAGATTGATACTGAATTTTTAGATAATAACTATTTACTCTCTGTTCATAACAAAACCAAAGCATAAGTTGACTATTTTCTCTCAATAAGAGTTGCTTTAAGTGACATCACCTTTTATGTAGATGAATGGATCAGTAAAGATTGTTAAATAGATTGACTGAAGTTTCATAAAATTTAAAACCCCGACCACAAGATGAAAGTACGTTTATTGCAAACTGGCTGATCAAGTATTTGTCATCCAATGTAGGTTGAGATATAAAATCCAATGAAAAAGATGGCTTCTTCGAATCGCGTAACAGTTTTATTGATCAATGTCACGGTAAAAGAAATACTGTATTAACTTAATGGTCATTAGAATGTTACAAGGTTACTTCCGGTGACTTAACAGAGAAGTAGGATCGGCTCGGAAAGTTATCAAACGTTGACCTGTGTCAGTCATGCAAGGAGGGTGAGGTCCTTGGGTTGTCAGAATTTCATGACTGAAATGCACTACAAAAATGACTTGAAATTCTGTCGTCTGAAGCAATCTCTTATTCAAAACGAAATTTCAACACTTTTATCAGTAGTTTGAATAAGGAGACATCTGTATTAGAAATAATAACATTTATATACCTGACATGGAAAAGATGTTCCTTAATCGGCTGATACTCCAATAAGCCAATCATAGGGATTAATAATACGATTGAATTGAGATTATTGTAAAGTGTAAGTCGCCATACACTGCCTTCTACTTTTGGTAAACACTTTGCTGTGTAGATAGAATTCAATGCACAAGTGATACTCGATGCAACGCCAAACATTAATCCAATCCAATTTAAAGAACCTAAAAATAATTTGTTTTCGAATACAAAATTCACTAAGTACAAACATGAATTGAATAATAATTTGGTGAAAACAATGAAGAAGTTTATCCAGATTAAGAGCTCTCGTAAATACAATATACAATATAAAGTTGTTATGGCTTTTGAGACATTTGGTGTACATATTCTGTTATTAAGTAATGACATCAAGAAAAGATTTCCTTGACTCACTTATTCAATATTAAAAAATGCAAAATCTGATAAAAATGTGAATCGGTACAAGTTGATAGGACTTCATATTAGCGCAGCGAGAGAAATGTAGTGTACTCATTAGACAGGCTTTTCGTATGTATCCTAAAAAACTATTAATTAATGACGTTCAAATCATTACACCTGCTCACTAAATTTGGCAGTTTCGTTACTTAGTTGATAGTTGACAGAGAAACTTACTAAATTTCCAGTAAGTTAGTGCATAATCCGAACAATAAGGAAATGATTGTCTATTTCAGTTCCTCCATATTTTTTACGAACTCGTCTAATAAAACTACATTAAAGATACTGTTAATAATGGTTTTTTTTAAAGTGATGTAGTGAAAATTTTTCCCTGGAGAATTCATTCTCAAAGCTGTATAATCATAAGTACAGACTAGTTTTCTCAGTAATATCTTACATGTTTGTTAATAACAACATTTTAAGCCTCCTAATGAAAATAGTCCAATGTTTTGTTTACTTTGTCTTTTTATTAGTATGTACGAGAAATTACTGTTACTGCAAGCAACGAAACTGTCGATTATCTTTATGGAGAGAAAATAGTATATATTTGCTACTGTACAGCTCTGATATTTTGTTACTCAACAACTTTTCCCGATTTTATACCTCATTATGTTTTATGGTTACTTTGCTACGATTTAAATGATATTTACGTTTTCTGAATACGTAAGTTTTATGTATAATCCTACAAGAATCGACAAGGCACTTGTAGTAAACTGAATAATGATAGGTGATTTGTATTTAAATGAAGTGCACTCGGAAACCCAATGACCGATATTGGTCAAAAAAATAAACTGTTTAATTTCAGAACTGAACTTGCTGGACTCAAATAAATTGTGAAAAATATTAAAGGGGTTGAAAAAGTTTTTTTAAGAAACAAGACTAGAAGTGAATGAAGATAAGCCAAAAAGCACTATACATCTCTGGATTGTTTGAATTGTATGAGCTACTAGTATTTTACATCCATTCGCAGTGAAAATGTAGATATTTTGTTAATCCATTTGCGATTTCCCATGCTATTGGATTTAACATTGTCTTACCGAGACGACCAGCTTGAAGAGTCTTAATCATGCCGACAGATAGGTTGAACTTTTAAAATTATTAACGGTCTTAACTCCACTACACATAAACCTTAAGTAACTAGTCGTGTTAGCCAGTTGGGTTGTTGGTTCATTTCTAGCTTGAAACACTAAACCCGTAACTAGATAACTCTGTACAGGACTAGTTAAAGCTTGGATTTACACAAACCTTGGCCTGTTTCAATGACCTTTGATACAACACAGAAACATACACTTATAAAAATACTTCACCTGGGTAATGACAAGTTAAAAAAGCGACCAAATACTTAAACTTACCTAAATTACCTTCAACAATCACTCCAGAACAATATCCAAGAATAATGACAGCACAACAAATCAATGCCCTGACTGAAGTTTTCGTATTTAGCAGTAAATAAGTGAAAATCTTTTAAAAAAGAGATAGGAAACAAGAAACTATTATTAACTGAGAAAATATTCCAAGAAAACACTAACTAAAGTATCCAAACATTTTAATTGTGGCTCGTCACTACTTAGTAGAAAATACGTTTTGTTTTAAAACCAAGAAACATGTAAATTTAGTATCCACAACAACAAACTGAATAATAGACAAACATTTAAAGGGACAAGATAAATAAAACACATAAAGAGTTAATTTAATTTAATTAGCTCTCTATTATAGCTTGACAATGATACTGTAAATTGTTAAATGAACCATACAATTTTAATCCTATATTGGTAGATTAAACAAGTAGATTAATTTTAAAATGATCGGTAGAATTAATAAATGACCGATAAAATTGAGACAAATAACTGTTAAATAGTTTTTATTGGTGCAGTCACGATGAAGTAATAGTTCAAATACAATAATGCCTTATTGAGTTTATCAGGTTTATGAAGATCGGTGTGAGTAATTTTTAGATATGGATATTGATTATTACTGTAGGAATTCTTGAGAAATAAATAAGAATGGTACAATGATACAGAAACAAAGTAGAAAAAACATTATTTGTAGAAATTGTATTTGAATAATCTCAGCGATTGGAATTTTGGATAATTTCAACTTTTTGTCCAGCCATCTTGTCTCGAAGAGACGTTGGGATTATCAAAAATTTCAATCAACGAGACTATTAAGAAAATACGATTTCCACAAATACTGTCTGCGATATACTCGGCGCCCAATTATTACCAAATTTATTGTTCAAATATTGGTGAATATGCTTATAAAGTATAAAAAATTTGAAAAATTAGTCTATAACAGAAGCGGACCCATTTGGCTGAAGGCTCAGTCAGTCAGTTACAATGTAGAACTTCGTGCGTAAGTACATCAGTTCAGGTAGCCATACCACATTAGCACAGAGACGCAACCATCAATTCAAATGCCACAGTGGTGGAGACAGTAGAAGAACAATCAGTAAGGGAGAATATTAAGGATCGAATATATGTGGAGAAAAAAGCAGCTGACAGTTCTACTGTGCACCTACAATCCAAAGTCTTGAGTAATTCGTCCAAACCATTCAATAATTCAACAACTTATAATATATGATTTAGGATAGCGATTTCTAGTTATAAACCGCTCAGCTCATAATTAAAGTATTTATTGTTGTATATTTTTGTCTTCTCATTTCGAAAAATTTACATATTTGAGTTAGACAGGGTATAAACATAATCAAATCAGATAATATGCATTAATTTAATGTAGATACTGACGAAACATAACATGGTTATAAACAAGTAGTGTACAATGTTTCAGAACTTTATAATGACAATAAATGTAAAACTTTATCGAAACGCATACGTTAAAGCAGCAACAAGCTTTGAACGAATCATCCCTCATGATATGACTATTTAAAGTAGATATGATTGGTATACACTCATTACTAAGGCGAATTTTTTTTATTTATAAGTCAATCACTTTCTCCAAATATGGTCTCGACCAGTTCATAAAAGAGATGTGGTTGTGGACACATGGCTGCAATGAACGATTATTCGTATTAATCCGATAAATCGATAATCTACAGAGACTACGTAAACGTTTTTTTGTCTGTCTGCCTTCGTTATATTGAAGCTGTTACTATCAAGAGCAACATTTTTATTCCAAGCTACTTAAGCCAGGCTTTTAAAACTTCACTAAAATATATCCTGAATAAAATTAGAACCACAATAATTAGTATTCATTATAGAGGAATACCTTCAACAAACCATAGCGACAGCTGTAACGCTTGAGTACATATATAGAAGCCTGAATAAGTGTTGCTTAAAGTTTCTCAAGCTGTAGAAAAAAGCACTTAAAACTACAGTATGCTTTAATAGTTTGAAGAAAATTCAGTAAGATTAGGAAATACATCAATAATTAGGAAACATATCACAACTCTTATTTATTCAAACATATTATAAAACTTAGGTAACTATGTATCACTGTCATTCACATTATATAAACTAATATTACAACATTTACTGTTCATTTATCATAGTCATTTGCTGTTTACATTTCCCTACGGAAACGATTACACTTATCGCTTATTAAGATTTTAGTACATTGGGAACTAGTTGACAGACACATTCCTAAGTATCATGCAAAGAACAAACAGTTACTCCAAAAACTTTCGGACAGTTTATGTAATGCTACTACTTTGTACTAACATCGGAGCTACAAGTAATCACTTCACAAATCGTTATATTCCGATAATTTGTATAGCCCGAGAACAATCTTCAATAAACTCTAATGCTATAACAGAAACTAATAATGTGATAGTGAATATAATTTATCAAACAATTGAGCGTTAGAAAACAACCCTGTAAATAAAAGTAGCTGGGAAAGCTTATTCAATAAAAGCGAATTAATATTACACCAACTATCATGTTCCTAAATTTAATTACGTGTGAAGAAGCATGAAATAGTTGGTTAGACTGGGCAAAGATTATGTGATTTAAAAAATATTTGGAAAGAAACAGAATTTGTAAGTTTACATTATCATCATCACACTATAACAATTCAGTAAATCGGGTCGGTCGACCAACTATCTATCATAAGCTTTTCTACGACGTGATGAACAATTTTCTGGATTACTTGTCATTCACATTTAACTACACAATTTCCAGACTTGACAAAGACGTATATTTGCCTTTGTAGTTAACAAACAGCTGTATTTGTGACCCAAACACAGTATGTTTTAATGACTAAATAAACAGTAGAAACAAAATTAGACTCAATAAAAGGAGTTATCAATTATTTATTAGTGATACACAAATAACTTACAACATTGAATATTGTAGTTAGTGATCGTGCGAGAAAATAAAACGAGACACTCAAGTACTTCAAACATAGATTATTAAAACAGACCATTGAAACAAATATTATAGACAGCGGCAAGACCTAAAGAATGATCAATTTATTAATAACGTATCATCTACTTCAATAGAGGTTTTGAGAGAAAAGTTCAACGGTGGAAATTTCACATGACTAGGCAAAAGTAGAGCTGCATGCGATGTTAAATAACATAGGCATGCTGTAACTGCACATTGAAACCAAGTAATGAATATCGGTGCATTTATCTAGTAAAGTAATTTTTGTTTATTATTACCATTAACAATGAGTGCTTACCGATACAGACTTATCACTCAATAACCATTTATTGATAAACACCAAAGAAATGGAAATAATCCTTAAAAGTATTTTTCTATTATTATGCTGTAAACATAACTTACCAATAGGCAGAAACAACAAAAATTATTTTTTTAATCATTCCTCTTTCTCTTCTTGGTAAGTACATAGATTCAATGTACCCAGTAATGATTCTTGTCTATTAGATTTGCATAAAATCCACCTAAATATACTGATAAGAGAAGTACGATGAAAAGCGTTTTAATGAATAAAGATTAATAGAACAGCAAAGCAGAAGGGAAGTAATTAAGCTAAAGATTTTATATAAAACACACTAATTTGCTAGCAAATTACTATCACATTCAATTTTTGTTATATGCTGTCCAGGGATAACAACAGTGGTTAGATTTCTTAGTAAATTATCCGACGTTGAATCAGAAGGTGCTGAATATTCTGTACACGAACCCATTACAATATTTCCAACATTATCAGTGCACCACAAGCTTCCAATATATCTTCGACCATCTGATACATGGACAGTAAGTTGTTGATCACACAAGCGCTTGAGGAAATCTTGAGCTTCATTTTTGGTTTTGAATGAAGGATCACTAAGGGTCATAAGGAGCTAAATTGAGGGAAAAATAATCATTTTCAGTAGAGGTGATTAGAATTCTAAAGTTGTAACGTTTGTGAAAAATAAAACATTCCTGATGACAAATTAACCATAATATAGACGTAAACAACGAAATGCCTAGGAAAGCTATCCACCAGTCTTAACGGCAAGTGATAACATAGAAACAAAACATAATATAAATGGGAGCTAATTTGAAACATTGTTGTCAACTGCAGTGGAAAACTAGCGAGTTTAATTCAAAGGACATAAATGAAAGTCAGGAATAAAAACACGAATTGTCAGCATTCGCCAAAGTGAAGGAAGAAAACAAAAATAACCACTTTTATAAGCCTATTTGAAGAAATCAGAATCAAAAAAGGAACAGAACGTAATTTAGAGTAACGTTGCTTCGAAAAGTGGAATATGTGTTGAAGAATACAGTTCACATGAAAATTAAACCTATACAGATTTCGGTGACTCGACAATTACATCTTGTCATTAATGAAAAACCAAACCACAAAAGCAGTGAAACCAATTTCTGCCTAAAGATACACTTCGGGTTTTTGATGTTTACTAGGACTACATTCAGTGTATAGTAATGTGAGGTAACCAAATATAAACATATTTTGTTCGTGTTGGATAAAAATTTGACGTTATTTTTCAACGAAATCGACCGGATATTTAGGGAAGTAGAGTACACAAAGTACTCGTGTTCGTGAAATAGGAATTTCTTCAATGAATTTAAGCATTAAAAAAATCTTCATTATCCGTAGAAACTAAATTGCGATATCAAAATAATGTACGCCAGTCATCGCATTTCTTTAAAGCCAGACTATTTTTATGTAGACAAGAATCATCTCTTACAAGAAGCCAGTGAACATTTCCAGGTCATAAATCTGATTTCATATGTGCACGACCACAATAAAGCGTAATAAATCCCAACGCTCATTGAAGAACCAGTGGCTTAAGTTATTATTTTGTTTACCAATGTTGGACGCATCAGGAATTACATAAATTTCCAAATTCTTCTCGACGGCTGATTATTAAAAGTGTATGGAGAAGCAAGCTTGTATCAATTACGCCAAGGAGAAAATCGCAAACTTATGCAAAACTAATCCTTATAAAGACCTATATACAATCCCGAAAATGTTTCAGAGGTTCTTCTGAACTGTATTTGTCCATCAAATTTTTGTAACTAGTGAGAATTGATAGAGGTTATATTTGATAAGAGAAATACATGGTTATTTTCACATGGTTTACATTGCAGTTGTCACTTATTCAAGTCAGTGGTCAGAAATTGGAACCACTGTAGCAAAAGCGATAACACCATATATAGCGAAGTAATTTCATACATTTAATGTACTCTAAATATAGGAGAACTGGGAAGGAAAGAACTGAGGAGGAAAGTCTTTCTTATTTCTTGAAACTGGAAAATACTTTGTATTTAGCTGTGTTATAACCAATATTTCATATCTGTTTATATACGACAACACTGAAGACACCCGATAATAATGAAGGTGAGTTTACGGCTATTAGATATCTAACAGCAGTAGAATCCTGCAGTGAACATATTTATCATCACATAAATCACGAGACATATAGGCTGCTTTTATAACACTAAAGAGTAGTGTGTTAGGGCAAAATAAGGCAGGATAAATTTCAGAGATAATCCGTAATCAACGTTGTACAAACACAGCAAACTTACAACTCGACAACTTAGTGAATGTGAAGAAAGGCCTTGAAAAGTCAAATATCCCTCACCAACATCAAACTAAATAGTTCCAATGATTGTGGACAGAATAGAAGAAGCTATCGCTCAAGATGCTTCTATATCTAGCACAATTAGATCGCCGATGCCTTCATGTAGAAACCTAGGTATATTCAACCGGTAAAAGACAAAATTTATTGAAAATTAAGTACTGCTCTAATTCCTTTAGAAAGTTTCACGTTTCTTACTGAAAAACTCAAGAGAAGTAGCTTTTAAGACCTAATTCTGTAAAAAATCCCAGAATTCGGCAACTGGTTAAAAGTATAAGGTGCATCTGCAGTTCACTTTTCTGCGTTGAGCCTCTAGATCCTGGATGTTTCCCCTAAGGTTCGCGTTGAGACTGAGCATATTTAAGTATTGTAGGGGATGTTTAGGAGTGTTTAGAATCCTGAGAGTCATTGAGGGATCACTTCTAACGGGCAGGGGCCCGACCCTTTTAAGAGGCTCTTCATAAGGTTTGACCTAGGGTCCTGGGCTGATCTCATGATTCGCCAGTGTATTCTCCTTCTCTTGGAGCGAGAGCAGAACATCGTATCACTAGCCTGCTTGGGCATCCGCCTAATGTTCCTAGACACCACCCTAGCCGAAATACCTTTTGCAATTCTTCAGTCTCTCCAAAACATGTACCTAACCCTTTTTTAACGCTCACACCCTCAACAGAGTTGTTTTTCTACCTCCAGCTGTTACAGGCGATATTTTCCCCTCCTTCAAGTCATGCTCTGCATTCTGTGATGTAATGGATGACAATCGATCTTTGCCGCTGTCTGCCCCTTCTAGCTGTAATACCTTTATGTATGGTCCTTTTGAAAAACCACCATTCACATTGTCCAAAGATTTGACTTACTCCACTATACCTTATCCAATGGACTTACGAAACGATCCACCCTTATGCCCCCTAGCGACTTCCTCATCTGTTCTTTGGGGGTCATCAGTTAACTCTGACGAACAACACTTATCATATCCTACCTCACATGTTTCTCTCACCATGCCTGTCTCTGAATACCTTTCTCCCTCTAACTATATCGCTCCCAAATTAACTGATCATTACAATCAAGCCTATATTCCTACTTCCAGCCCTTCTTCAGAACACACACCATACAACCCTCCAGATGCCCATCGTGCATCCCTGAAAGATGAGTATTCGTCCTATGTTACACTAATGCTAATTAATTCCCGATCTGTTATCAATAAGATTACCCACTTACGCTCTCTAGTAATTCTAATCAATCCTTCCATTGTCCTGATTACTGAAAGCTGGTTGTCCTCCGATGTCCCTGACTCATACCTTCTAATAGACTCTTATGAACTCTTTCGCGGTGACCGAGGATCTAAAAAGGGTGGTGGTTGCCTCATCTATGTATCTAGAGACATCAAAGCAGAAATGTTTTATGACATTGTTCTTAATCAAGTGCCTGATTCGATATGGCTCACTGTGCACGCTCATGAATGTAAAATACTGATTGGATGCATATATCGAGCTCCAAACACTCATCGATCGGTTGACGTTGCTATTGGTGAGTCGTTTGCCAGGGCTGCCTGTCTTAAATTCACCTGCAAAATTATTTGTGGTGACTTCAACCTCCCTGGAATCAACTGGCGGACACAGTCCGGTCCACTACGCTTTGATAGCTTACTTGGTCCCCTAGACACACATGGTTGGCAACAACATGTGCACCTGCCTACTAGGAACCACAATATTCTCGATTTGATATTTTGTCACGATGTCACCCCAACATCTGTGTCTGTCTGCGAAACGTTTCTCAACAGGGACCATAAAATTGTCCTCTGCACCCTTCCGTTTCTTGCTAAATGTGACAAATCTAAAACAGTAAACCGTTTTCAATACAGAGACTATAAACATGCTGACTGGGACAGCTTTCGTTTTCTAATTCAGCACTCAGGCTGGACTGCGTTTTTTTCTTGTCTTGAACTTCCTGATGCATTACATATATTCAACGTCACCATCAAATCTGCTCTAGATACTACTATCCCACTCAAAACGTCTTTCAAAACAGTTACTCCTTATATCACCTACAAAGCTAGGGCTAAACTACGTCAACTAAAACGGGCGTATTGCAAATCTAAGGACTTCAGCATCCTGTACCAAATTTACGCTATACTTGAAGGTGTAAAATATCAACATGAAGTGCGTAGGCAAATCGAAGAAAATAATGCTCTCGCTACTGTGTGTAAGTCCCAAAACCTCTGTCGTTTGCTTAACAAACGCATAAAAAAGGACTCAGATCGCAAAATTCATTATATACTACAAGATGGACAGACTTATTATGACAAAGCTGTTATTTGCGAACTGTTTAGTACATGGTGTAGAATCCTTTTTGAATGTTTTGTTTTTTGGAAAATCCCTCCATGTTTACATATTTTTGTTATGACATTACGGACTTTTTCTGTTGACATTTTTGGTATTTTATTTGATTCCAATTTGAGATTTTATCATTGTGTATTGTTATTATTTCTAAGGCGATTACTACACTGAAGCACTCTTACATTGAAGGACCAGATGGCATCCCTGCCAGCATGCTAAAAAATGGTAGCAATGATCTGAGTGCTATTCTTCTCAAACTATTTACTATATCTCTCTCCACAGTGTTACCCTAATAACTGGAAGACTACACATATCATCCCCACAATAAAATCTGGGCCTACAGCGAACGTTGAAAATTACCGACCTATAAACATAACTTCGGTAGTATCTCGGGTCATGGAGAAAATAGTTAAGGCAGAGTTACTACAACATCTAGTTAGTAACAATCTGATATCGACCTCACAGCATGGGTTCTTGAGGTCCAGGTCGTGTGATACATGTCTTTTAGATTATTTCAACGATATCACGAATGAACAAGACAAAGGGCTTCTGGTATCAGTCCTTTTCTTCGATTTTAAAAAGGCTTTTGATAAAGTCCCACACAAAAGGCTTCTACTTAAACTGAAGTCATTTGGAATCATCAACCCACTACACTCATGGTTAGCTTCATTTCTAAATGGGCGACAACAAATGGTTAACTACAACGAATGTCTTTCATCACCAAGACCAATAACCAGTGGGGTTATCCAGGGAAGTGTCTTAGGTCCACTCTTGTTTCTAATGTACATAAATGACATATGTAATACTATTAAATTTGGAAGAGCATACTTATATGCTGATGATCTGAAAATAGTATACAGCTATAAGCCTGAACATCTGGATGAAAATATAGCTAAGATTCAGAGTGATCTTGAT